CGCACTCACACTCCGCACTAAAGAATATGACACGAACCAGCTCGGCTCGTGGGCCGCTGAGGGGGGCCCCCTCCAGGCTCGAAGCCCTGAGTCATCCTCGCACTGGCGGGTGGTGTCCCGCCATCTGCCCCGGTGGGCTGGGCGGCGGCAACACCACCGCCCTGTCCACGTACGGTCTTCTATCCCCTACGCCTCTGGGGTCGGCCCCTCTTGCATTCTCCACCTCCACCGCCCCTCCTCCAAGGTGAAGGACGTCCTGGCCTGCCGCCGCCCCTCCGCAAGCACGCCCGCCGGCCTCATGCCGCCGCCGCCCCTCCTCCGTTAGCTGGTCCTCCTGTCGCTGCTGCTGCTTCAGCTTCATCTGGCCCAGCTCCTGCCCCTGCTCCTGCTGGCAGGCCGCCTCCTCCTCCGCCAGCAGCTCAGCCAGGGGTAGCTCCGCCAGGCGCCGTTGACAGGGGTCGGACAGGACGCCGCTGGGTAGCCGCTGCTTCAGCACCGAGGACACGCTATGCCTGCAGTCACGCACATATGTGACAGGGTTAGTAATCGCACTGAGAGGTAGAGGGGGGAGAGAGGGCCCCCGTAGGGAAGGGCAGTTGGCCGGCTGACGTTCAACGGCATGCTATCCTTCATCATCCCCTTCCATCCTAATTCATTCGGACCCGGGCGCCCTTTTGGCTTTCATCAGCGTCCCCAGTGCCGCTGCTGGCCATGGCAACCAGGCGAGATATCCGGGAACGCTTAATCCATCCCCGTTGCCCGCTTCCCCGTAGCCGCCTTGCCGTGCTGTAATTGTTTGGACTGGAAATGCCCTGTGCACCACCCCTTTCCTGGCCCCATCCGCTGGTTGTCCACCCTGCCTGCAAGTCTTCCCCCTGTCTGGCCAGCATCCCATGTCACAGCCCAACCCAGCCCGTCCCCCACCCTCGCAGCCCTCGGAGGCCCACCTGGAGCTGCAACCCACCGCGGGACTGTACGGCTTGGGTCGCTGGCTGCCTCCCGCCAGCCCGCCAGGCTCCTCGCCACTCGCCGGTCCGGAGGCGGCGGCGGCCGAGGACGACGACATCCTGGCGGCTTGCATGTCGCTGAAGCTTTTCTGCAGTCAGGTCGGGTCAGGCGTGGCTTGGGCCTCAGGATGGATTGGGTGGTGACTCAGTCACCCGGCGACCAAAATAGGAGCTGGCTGGGGAGCAGAGCCTGGGTGGGTCAGTGGGAAGGCGGCCGAGCACCTCAAGGGGGAGAAAGAAGGGTTGGTGCGGGACGTGACGTCTGCAACATACTACGACATGCCAGCAGGAGGTTGCGAAACTTGGTTCTAACCAAACCGCAAAACTCTGCAGGGTTCTATCGTGTCCAGAAGAGCATTTTACGCTCGGCGGTGGCTTCGCCGCTTCAATTTGGAGCCCGCCGCCGCTCCCATCCCGCTCCCGCAGCGGTCCCCTCACCCCTTGGTTCCTCGCCAGCCACATCGCGTCCACCGCATAGCCGCCGAACAGCAGCAGCCCAACCCCGGCAAGCGTCAGCCCCGCCTCCAGCTTGCGGGCACCCACCGCCCTCTGCAACTGCTGGAACCAGGCTGCAGCGCAGAACGCAGCACAGAAACACAATCAGGAATTTCCTCTTTCTAGTTTCTACTTAGGCGGAACATGTTTTGGACACGTTTCCACACGTTTCCAGGGGTGCCTTTTCCCGCAGCCACGTTCCCATACAGCAGACAGCCATGATATGTGTGTGTGCGCCAGTTCTGGGAGACGCGACGGGAGTTAAGTATTGACTCACAGAGTCGTGCGCGGCCGTGATCCCGGTGGGAATAGTTGCTGTAGGCCCAATCCGTGTTGACATTGTGATGGTATGTGTGATGAGCACTTGAATGCCGCCGCCTGCCATTGACGCCATGTGCGGAAGCTTCATACTGAGCGCGTTTCCGATCTGCAACACGCAATGGCAGGGAATGTCGGGGGTGGGCAGCGAGCTCGGCCGCCGTACAGCGCAGGTTAAAACCCGTGGACTGGAACACTTCACGGAAGGAGTCGTCTTTGCCTATGCAGTAGAACCGGCGCGTTGTGTCTGAAGGTGCGGTGGAGCAGCAGGCGCGCGAGCACCTCTCCTCGCAGGCAACACGGTGATGCGCTCACCTGCACCGAGTGACACAGGTTGTCATAGGCATCGTGACAGCTGGAAGAAAGCGACACCTTAAGAGACGGCTGCCCAAGGTCTATGCCTGTCTAAAGCTGGGTTACCGAGGTGAAATGTTCGGCTCATTAAGGACTTACCGTCCGTAAGAAACTCGTAAGCTTCGGTTATCGCCTACAGCGTTTGAGGTTTGTGAGGTTCCATTCAGGTTAGGGAATGGCTTAAGGGCAAGGGCCTGGTGGCAAAATAGCGTTCACACAATGGTTACCTTGAACCTTGCCGCCGCTTCTTCTTGCTTCGCCTTGGATGAATTTGTGTGCCTGCCCAAATACTTCCCCCGTTACAAAAAATGCTCGTGGTGGTTTCCATTTTCACAAAGAAACCCTTGTTACCTATCCGGGTGATGCAAGAGAGCAAGCTTTCTGAAAGCGACCTTGATTTCATCCTGACTTGCGCCATAATTCAAGCCTAATATCCTAAAATAATCTCCCATGTAGACTTTATGCGTTTGTGGCTACAGCCAAGCACCTCCAGAAACGCCGTCAATAATAAATGTCAGTATGTTTATCTAGTTAGCAAAACATCCTACGTTAGCCAAGACAATTGTGCTACTGCCACACGTCCTGCGCTCCAGACCAGTCTCGCCGTACGTCGTGTCTCTTACGAGGGTTACGGCCCATGCGTGCGACGCGCGCATATCCAGAAACGAGGCACATGTTTGGAAGGGTTTTACACATTTTCGATTACTTCCGATTACACTTCGTTGGTGGTGCCTTCGGGGTCTGTGCTTAAGAACGAGAAAGCGAGCAGCAGAAGCCTGCAGGCTTTCCGAGGTGCAATTCAGAACGAAAGAACGAAAAGCAAGGTAACAGAATCCCAGGAGTGCAGGACAGAGATCAAATTACGAAGACTTAGCACATCGTTTTCAACCCAGGGCAACACATTGACCGATGAGCATATGCATAGCATGGCACACATGTGTCGCATTCACAGTTGCGCAGGACCCCACGCTTCCTATTCAGCCACCAAATCCAGTCTGTCGGATTGCGTAACAAACTGTTACTCCACGTGCGTATGCCTCAAGGAGCCAGCCACCATGTGCAGCGTGATCCTGTAGGCAGGTGCGCCACGGCATGCATCTGCATTATCCGCAACACACTGTTGGTCAATTCGGAGACGGGGGAGCCCCGAGCAGTACCGGCCCTGATGCGCGCTCCAAACGCGCCAGATATGATACAGCCAACACGCTCGGATGATTCGCAGGAGATACCACGTGCACTATGGGCCTTAAGACTGCTTTGCTGGCCTTTCCGCTGGCCACTTCCGGTGACCCCTGTACAAGAGCCGCCATGGTCCAAATGCACCGCTTCCATTCATGCCAACCTCACGGGGAACCCAAGGCACAAGGGGACCTACTCTCTTCACAGCCATGCCGCATCCATTCCGCAGCTACTCCAGCCACGCTAGCCCTCCACCTCGGGAACAAAACAGGCAGAGCCCGAGGTGTGCAAGCTCAAGCGATGGCAGTCTCCAAGCATTCACTACCAGTGCAATCCTTGTACGACAACAGTACTGCAGCAGGTGTTATTCGTACATCCGATCTGCCAGCTGTTCAGCTTTTCCGTGCGCCTAAAATCTCCATCCGTGTCCAGTATGGACCCATGTCCGCAAGAGCACGAAAAGGGTCAACATGGACAGCGATCAGTAATCACTATCAATAGGCTGTTCTTAAGTCGTTCGGCAGGGTAGCCTAGATACCCCACACGACGACAGTCGCAACCAAAAGACACAAACCGTCGTATGAAGAAACAATGTACGAAGAGGTGCGCTCTGCGTGCGGAAGAGGCAGCACGGGCACAGTGCCCACCGGCCTCCACCTTCGCATTAGGTTCCGACAATATCGACCCATTACAGTCAGGATGGTGGCAGGCACGTCACAAGGCATCGCGCTCCAAGTACACAACCAACATCCGTCACTCGCCTCACTTGCAAGATCTAATCGACCTAAGTATATAACTAATCCGCTCCAACGAACCTCACCACCTGAATTCGTCTGCCGCCCCTTTCGTTCCTGAGCATATACGAGAATGCCTACCGCAGCTCACTTGCTTATTGAGCAGCGCTACCGGCGTGCCTTTGCGGTTGCTCGTACGGGTTGCCAAAACTCTCAACCTAACTTCCTTCTTTCGAATCCCACGGGATTCTACTCCGCAGAAGCGATCACGCGTCATACCGCTTAGATTGACGCAGCAGTGTAACACACCCACCCTACCAAATGGCCTGCAGCGCTGCCTCATAGCAACCGAATGCAATAGCGCGAGGCCACTAGAAGTGGCGGCGATATAAGCTCCATCGTCCGCCTTCGTGCCACCACAAGCAACAGTTTGCACCAGTTTGATCGCTCTTCTCAACCGGGTACTTAGTTTCCCGACATTCAAGACGCTCTCAGTCTTGCAAAGACCGCACGAGCCACACACCCCTGTCTTGCTGCACATTTTCGCACCTGTTCCAAGCATGTCATCCCAGCGCCAACTCGTTTCCCACAACCACATCCCCAGATGACATACAGAACAGCCGGTAATATTAGAGGCTCCAGAGCCGCTATGCACATACAGCACAGTATGGATGAATGCCGACCCACATCTTGCATGCATACGCAGTCCAGTGCTGCCACTGTAGCGGCTTATCGCTCTCGCCATGGTGCAAGGCCGAATTTGCCTGGGGACAAACCCGCCAAGGCTGGGCATCACGGAGCTGTTACCGACGGCCAAGTAACAGAACTCCCACGCCTACCAATCTCCAACCTTTAAGGCAGCGCCTCCACATCCTGCGCCCGAAGATGTGCGCACAAAGAAAACCCTCCCGTTTCACTCCTCCTCCGCCACCGCCGCCATGGCGGCCCCGTTGCCCTTGGCCTTAAGGATGCTGTACGCTCGCTTGATCTTGGACAAGCTCAGCCGCGTGACCTCCTCTGTGGGCAATGCTTGCACAACGGCGCGGTCCAGTAGCGCCTGAGCGGCCAGGCCAGACACGGGTACCGGTCGCAAACGATATATGTCACATCGGAGGAAGGCAGCAGAAAGCATCAATACTGCGCAGTTTTGCACGTGTATGTTATCAGGAGGACAATTGGCCATGTCGCGGGAGGTGTAAGAAAGGCCGGATCCCGCTCAAGATCAACAATAACCCAGCCGAGAAACAGGCGGCCCCCGGCCAGCCATCGCTGGCGGCAGTACAAACTCATTCTTGGCAGAAGGGAAGAGGAGCACAGGCAGAGGGGTACACGCAGACCCCAGACATTGAAAAGACCTGCATTACCCGGGCATTTATCACAACCAATATCTTAATATGTCCATGTCAAGCTCCCGGTCCCTGCCCTTCCCACAATCAACCGCAACCCAATGCCCTCCTATGTCCTCGTACCTCAAGCGCCTTGTCCCTCTCGGCACTGTGGAAGGCGCCCTTAGAAACCTGCTCGTCAATCACCAGCTGCTCCTCCTCCAGCTCCTTCGAACAGGGCCACGGAGTGTATTAGCAAGCACGGGTGGCTTTAACCCACGGCTTGAGTTTTGGCCCTACCTTAAAAGCCTTCTCTGTAGCTACGGAAACGCGCATTCAAGGTTTAGTTGTATTCAGTTATGTTTAGTCTTAGAAAATCACATTTTGACCCCAACAAATTTGAATTCCTTCAGGACTATTGTGAGTAAAGAAGGACAGGGAACATAAAATTCGACAAATGTTTGTGCTAACAAGTTAATACTGAGTGCCTTGCGGAAGCTTCGGCCATGTCACCAGGAAGCGTGTACCTAGGATCCATTGTATCCCTACGGGAACTAATCGGACATTCGGTCCGGTCCTGCTTTAAACCCTCCACCTCCACCAAATGTTGCACCTTGAGCGACTCCTCAAATTTGGCCGGCAGAGGCTTATTGAACCAGGGATGTGCCTTGATGGTGTCAATGCTGGCGCGGCTCTCCTGCAGACATAGGAAGACATACATCGCGGCGTGACGGGCTAAAGTAGCGAGTGCGTTAGGAAGGTAGAAATGACAAAGGGGGACAATGTTAAGCGCGTGGCACTTCGGTGCTAGCGGCGCCGCGCTATATTTGCCCAGAATATGTCTTCTAATTTCGCACCGACCACCAACAGCGGATTCCTGCTTGTCGGTATGCAAACGTCGTGAGGGACGACATCAACCCCAAAGCCATCATCTCTCCCAAATCCATCCATGCATTCCGCAGCCCGTCACATCATCCTCGACCATCCTACACACCTGTTTTACATGGAACATCTTATCCAGCAAATCCTTAAGTTCAGGGGATAGCCGCGAAGCGGCAGATGTATTGTTGGGCACCTCCCGCCAACTGGTCTTGATCTGCTGGAGCCAAATGTCGTACAGCCCAGCCGTGTTGTTGAAGTTGTCATCCTGGGATGCAGCGGGAGGAGAACGCGTTTCAGCAGCAGGACTGCCATTGAAGGTGCTGGTGGCGTAGATAACCAGCCTGCTGTCAGCCATACCTTGTTATTAAATAAGCCGACCTCGGTAAATGAGCCTGGGTCGTGCCAGACGCGCTGATAACCACGTGAACGAACAGGGTTTCTGCTAAGCGGCATTAGTGCAGTGCCCTCTGCCCCAGTGCACAGCCCTCTGTCCCTGTGCTCCGAGGACGGAGCTTTACACCAAAGCCTCCATTCAAAGCAGAAGCCATCCCTCAAGGCCCCGACTAGTAGTGGTATGTACATAGTAGATACCGCGCAGCGCACTCTTTCCAGTTGACACACGCCCCGCTAACCGCGTGGTTGAATGTGATGCGCATAGAAACGGACCTACCTGCGTCTCAAATGGGAACATGCCAACAAGCATGACATAAAGGAGCACGCCGGCAGCCCACACGTCCACTTTCTTTCCGTCGTAGCCAGTCCTGTGCGGATTGAGCAGTAACGGCGGCGCAAGGAGCTTTAATTTATGGCCAGCTAGTAACTACAAAATGTCGGGTTTTAGCCGACGTGTGCGGAAAGTGGTATGATCGGCAAGGGCGGTGGTCCAGGAGATGAGAACGCTCTCATAGCTTCTTTTAAGATCACAATTAAACCGGTGCTGACGCAACCGAAACCCAGGGCATAGCTGTTGTGCAAGCAGCCGTGCGCAGCCTATACATCCCGCCAACTGCGTGCGCGTCCCCTCGTCCGCCTTCTCTACAACACCGGTTTCTCAGAACGCGACAATCTTTTCAAATGCGTAGCCCCCAAGTTCAAGACCACTCATGCCTGGGACAGTCTACAGGGGCACGATAAGCAGCACAACTCAAGACGTAATTCCGTAACCGTGTTTATCCAGAGAGAGCATTCCACTTTGCAACATAATTGCCATAGAACAGCCGCTCAAGGCGCAAACCCAATTACTCGGGGCCAGACATCACCCCCCGCTGCAATTCCCCAAGGCCAAAACTAAAGCTCCGAAGAGGATCCTACTGACCTGCTGCTGATGAGCTCGGGGCCCATGTACTCAGGTGTACCAATGCGCATCGTGTCCATGTTGGAGTTGGCCTGTAGGGGGTCACAGCGGGTCGAGAGAACGCGGCGAGGAATTCCAGGTCGAGAAAATGACCCACTGCAACGGACCACCATGGCAGGGCTGGAGTCAGGAGCTGCCTAAGAGCGGTTAAGGACTTCAGTGCCACATTTGACACAGAGCAGGCCGAGAATGCAAGTGAACGGACGACGACGGAAAGCAGGCAATGGCTTGCTACTGAGCAGTGGATGGCCCAGCAATGCTGCCCTGTCCACAATTTCAACAGCTCCATCCATGGGAGCGAGAAACTCCCAACCTGCCGTGGCACACAGGCCTCGACATAGACTTGACCCCTGCTAATCAAGACCCGTCTGCTCGACAGGCTGAACCCGGTTTAGCCATTCACCCAGAACCGGATACTCAATTGGACAGGGATGTGAGAGCACGGCTGTTGTGTTGCAGTTTTGATTAACGTCGGTCATGGAACTGACTGAGGCTTATACAGCATGCGACTCGCAGGCAGATCAAAACATGCCTCTGCCAAGGGCAAGGCAACAAGGGCAGCACATTGTTGCGAGTGACAGCGATGGGACATGCACCGGATGGGCCCGGGGCAGCGAGGGGCAAGCCGTACATTTATACACAACGCTCCCCTGTTGCGTAACCAAGCTTCTTGGAGCTCGCCCTCGCTAAAACGGACCCGGCTTACAACTCATGACCCGGCGGCTCACAAGTGCCCCACTATACCTGCTTCCCTCGGGCATGACATAACATGAAATTCCTAATCCAACAAGACAGAAAAACAAACCCAACTTAGGCCCCATGGACAACAACACTGTCGCAGGGTCCATGTCGAGCGCAAAGCCCATTCGTTCAGCCCTACCCTCATCGAACGTTTACGCCACCACCGCACCTGCCAGTGCTTTGCAAAGCCGAAATCGCACAGCTTCAGCCAGGCAGGGTCATGGTTGTCCAGCAGAGTGTTATCCAGCTTCAGATCTCTGTGGGCCACGTTGTTGCGGTGGCAGTACTCCACAGCGCTGATCAGCTGCCTGCAATTACGATACGCACCCCCATGGGGTTCCAGAAGGGACTTCCAGGGTGAGCGACGGCGTGGACATAGATGATATTTAACAATGTGGCGAATAATGTCACATTGACGTTTATGGTATGAAAGGATGGCAGGACAGATCCCAGAGTCCAGGGAGTCATCCCAATCCATGCATAACACAAGCACATACAACCATGTCAAGCAAAGCCACAGGGGCGCTTCATTCACAGGAGGCCACGACAGACGACGTCCCTTAACCATTCTAAAATGTGCAAGGGAGCGGCGCGTACCCAGATCATTACTAGGGCCACGACGACACACATGTGGACACTGCGTGAACACGGCTTCCAGTGTCCCCTTGTGCTACTGTTCAGCGCCTAGCAGCGCTGTCCGCTACCTGTGCTGGTTAGGCCCGTTTGTCACCATGTTGTTTCCATGACGCAACGGCACATCGGTCGCAGCCCGACATACCAATGTGCGTCATGGGTCCCATAGGATTACCAACCTGAAGAAGTACCGCGCCTCGTCTTCATCCAGGCACAGACCCGCGCGCTCCGACTTGGTTTCACGCTTTTTCGTCACGTATCCTACCATGTTTCCCCCTGGTGGTCAAGCCAAGCATCAGAGGGCCCCGGATAGCGTCAGGTCAAGAGGTACGGTGTAAATGAATAGCAATAACGCAAGGGAACAAAACGCTTCGCAAGTTGGCACGTGGAAGGGACTGGAAAGAAGCATAGGGCATCCTGAGGCCAAACCCTTAACCGCTCGCCGCACTGAGCTTGCTGCCGCGGCTCGAGTTCTCCCAACTCCGTATTTGCCTCGTGGCAAAAACAATCATAATTGCACAGGATACTCCATGGCTGGACACGTACCCTGCTTTAAGGCCCCCTAGAAAAGACCCGAGGCGGCGTACCTGGCACATACTCCATGATTAACCCAAGGTGCGACTTGCTAAGGATGACTTCGTCTGCGCTGACAATGTTCAAGTGGCCCTGACCCAGATCCGCCTGTATTTTTATTTCACGCTTGATGACCTGAATAGCCGGCTTCGGAATGGGCCGCTTAATAAGCTTGATGGCCACCTCCGTGCCTGCTTGCTTATCCCGGCACAGCCATGTTTCACCTTCACCCCCGCGGCCTAGAAGCTTGATAACTTCATGAGTTCCCGAAAGGCCAAAGTCAGGAACACTTGGCTTCGTCGGCTTCGGTTGAGTGGGCTTGCTGGTTGACTTGGAGCTTCCGGCAGGTGCTTCATACTTCGCACTGCTAGGCTGTGAGCAGCAAGCGCCCATGTTGTTGTTGTTCGCCGAAAAGTAGAGTGCGAGCTGTTTTCGTGCCGGCTGACACCCTGTCTGTCCAATAATTCCAATGAAACGGAGCCTGAATTCGCTGACCTTAGCTGCGTGTCACGCAAAGCTTGCCGGGGTGGACGGCCTTGGAGCCATCACCAGGCACTGGACCAGTTGGGATCGAGGCAAAACGGGCCGTTCACCTTAGTTTCACAATACCCGACACCAAAACATTCCGCTGCCAGTTGTGAACAAAAATTGCTGGGCAAACATACCGGTAACGTGATACAAAAGAACTTGACATCAGGAAGCCACGCCACGGAGACCGCCCCTTAGCTGAAGCTCCACCTTTAGTTGAGAAGGAGCGCAGGACTAGAGAAGGCTAAACTTAGATAGGAGCGGACCAGCCAGCCTATCCTGCCCACCTGGGCGTGACTGAAGTAACTTTAGGTGAGACAGGAAGCTTACTACGTACGTTACAGCATATGATATGCGAGCCACCTGAATTCTACTGTTTAGGGTTTGAGATACATTAATATTTTGTAAAGAGGAACTAGGCGCGAGGAGCAAGACGGAAAGGATGATACTGTGATTGATGATCAGCCGCGAGCAATCCACAATGTACCTGTATATCAATCCTTAATCTCTGAAACCGAAGTCCTTGAAGCTGCAGCAATACGGCAGCCCCGTACACTTTACCGACGAGAGCAAGCGGGCAGAACCCGAGGCATGGTAGCACCTCAACGCACGAGCAAGTGACAGCTCTCTACAGCAGGATCACATCTATGACCTTTCGGTAGTGATCGGACAACCCCAGGGTGTTCCAGATCACGGTTCAATTTGGCAGAAGCTGCTTGCACCTGCCAGAAGTAGAAGCTAGGAAGGCTAATACGAAATGGCAGTGAATCAATCAGCCTCTGGACCTCACTGGCTTGCGAAGGACCCCAGCAAAAGGTGGACAGAGGTGCTCATCCTGGCGTACAGCCCGTTCTGGATTATATGGGCCTTGGTGCTGTTGGTCCCCTTCCAGATTTATGAGGTAAACACAGTCACAGCTAGCGTCGTGCCTGAAGCCGCTAACGACCCTTGGGCCCGCAACACCCGCGCATATGCAGTACTGCGGCAATTATGGCTACATGTTGATCGGGCTATCCTGTGCAGCTCCGACAGTTATATTGCCTCTCTTCATACGCTGCAAGGTAATTGGCGAAAGGGTGGACGAGGGGCCTGTTGGACGGTTAGAATTCTCCTTCCTGATCCTGTACGACAATACATCACACAAACTTAACCGCTGCACTGGGCCATCTCGGTCATGGTCCAGGCACGCTAAACTAGCCACTGGCTTGGAGTAGGTTACAAGGTAACTTCCTTCAGCCGTTTTTACCCGACGGGTTGTCCCGTTCCACCCCTGTTCTCATTCAACGTCTTTTCCATTTGAGGCATATTGCCTTGTGAAAGCTCTGCGCCTGATTTTCTCGTGAGCGTCGGGGAGCCTTGGCCAACTCAAAATCGGACGAAGTTTGATGCGGCTGCACACTGGCCTGCAAGCGCATCCTTAGCAGGTCATTTCTACAGGCCTAAGCCCACGACCCAGTTGGAGCGTGATAGTCAGCCGAAGGCTGGCAGTACGAAACGTACAGAAGCTGTCCCTACAGCACGACCGACAAGGCTGGAAGTGAGATTCAACCACACTGGTAGCAGCAACTGCAGCACCTGCCGTGAATGTAAAAGCACTGAACATCAGCATCTGAACGTGGAGCAGCGCAGAACCGAAGCAGGACACTGTTTGGACCCAACGAAGTAACCGCCCAGCGGGAAGAGCAGCTTGGCAGATATTACTCAGAGCCGCTTAAGCTTTCGCACACAGATCGCTTAAGGGTTTTCGGCTGTGGCCTCGTACCTTGACTTGGGGGGGTGTTCGACTGATGCCCAAGAGTCGGCAGAGGCCTTCGTCATGCAGCAGCATGGGTGGAGCCCCAAGTTTCACAGCATGGACATTTCCTGGAATCCCAGGGCTGGCCTGGCTCTATGTTTGCTGGCCGGGAGCTGTCCTGACCGTGAAGGTGCCTAGTTTATCCTGCCGCTGTTTCAGGCCAGTGTCACCTGCCCTGAGCAAGGCAATGGCCGCTTACCTCCCCTGGCCTGGGCTGCGTGCAATCTTTGCGGCTAGGCCGTCCACTGCCGGGAGGTTGACCGGATGATGCACGATCTGGACGCACCCATCTGCCTGCTTGCCTGCAGGCCGACCAGGGCAAGCCCATGTGGCAGCGATTCTGGGTCAAGGTGCGTGAGGAACAGGGTGCGTGGGTATAGGCTGTATGGGTGTGGCAGGGGTTCTGAAGCGACATGTAAGAATGAAGCTTCTCATAGGAGAAGGATAACATCACGGATGCCGTTGGTCGGAGGGAGGAGAGGGTTGCCGCCGAGACGTTGAGGCAAGCGTGCGTCCACGGGTATTTGGGGGGATGGTGGTAGATTCCGGGATGCCGCTGCACCAGAGCTGGACGAGAGAATGCGGACTGGGCAGGCAGCGGTGATTTTGAGTATTCCTCCGGCCCAACCGTTGCCCGCCTTTTGCGTTGTTGAAGCATTCCTATCAGCCGCACCGTTCCTCATCCACCGTCATGCTGCCCCGCAACTGCCCGGGTAAGGACCGGAAGCCAGCATTTTACACCGCCATGTGCGGTGCTCAGCTCAGATTCGGTCCTTGGCCTTGCTCCGCCGCGCCCTTGCAGGCCAACATTTGGATCTTTATCTTCAGTTTTATCGGGAACTATTTTTGGACGCACTACTTCTACAAGGTGTTGGGCGCATCGTACACATTCGTATCCTGGCGGATCAATGACGTAAGCTGAAAGGCGTGAATCGTATGGAAGTGGGATGGGCTTGGGATCATCCCGCTAGCGCGGATATTTGCTCCAGCCAGGGCTTCCGGAAGCCAGGTAAGAGACCGGAGGAACTTACGTGCGGGATCCTGGAGTTTGGCGGACGCCCATGCGGCATGGCGGAAAGCATGACCAGGTCCAGGGGCATTGGCTTGGAAATAGAATCCAAGGGCAATGCATGCCGAATCCATGTGCCCGTTCAGGGTCTGTGTGCATATGCCGCTTACGACGCTCCCAGCAGCTAGTTAGGGCCACAAGCTCATCTGCCGCCTGAGGTCCGGATGCGGAACGGGTGGTCATGGAAATGGCAGTTTGGTGGCCCCTGCAGTGAGGAGGTTCCATCGTTCTAAGGGCCGTTATCCTGGCCCGACCGCGTCCTTACTGACCTTGTCCGTTTGTCACCCACCCCACCAGGTTCCCATCACGCTTATTCTGATGACCCATGGATACTTCTGCTTTTACCACGTTATATCCAACCTGCTGCTACGCCGGGTGAGTGTGGCCATGGGGCCTGCGCCCGTGTCGTTGTGGGGACGTTGCGGATAGAAAACCTGCCGAGCATGTGAAAGGTACTTATCGGCTTTAGTAGCCTTAGGAGTAAATAAAGCCGAAGCTCGTACGGGGTTGGGGACGCAGCGCTTGCTTCGATGTGCTGGAAGAGCATCCATTCAGGGCGCGTTCGATGCGTGTAAGGGGAGCCGATTACCTGCGATATTCGGCAGGCGCGTGCGCCGGCTCTGCGGCGCGCTCTTAAGGGGCCTGGCCAGACCAGTCCCTCAGTGGGGCAGGTCAAGGATAGGGTGAGGTTGCAAGTGCAAGGGTTGGCTCCGGCCGCTCCAACCTCAATGTCCAACTCCATCTCTCACTGTGCTAATGGCCTTTTGCTAGGTTGGTAATTTGATTCAGGTCGTGTGGGACCCGCTCGTTTACAGGCGAAAACCCCCTCCCAGACGCTTTCCTCACGTACACAGTACTGCCATGCCCATACCGATGCATCACCACACAGGTCCAGACGGGCCTTGCGAAGAGCTCTTTGCTGGTACGGCGAAGCGCCATGGCGCTAGTCGTTTTCCTGCTATCATACGCTACTGCCTACGCAGAAACGCTGACGATTGCCCACGTGAGCGCTGGGGATTAAGGGGCAGTGGGGGGGAGTCCGCCGCTGCTGGCTTATGGGGTGGGCAACCTCCATTTTATCCTGAAAGGGAAGCCGTCGATGTAAGACGTGATCCATGTAAGGGGCAAGGGCCGTCCCCGTCGTGTTTTGTGCCGGCAGTGATCATGTTCTGTGTCCCTTAGGGGTGTTGAGATGCTACGACTAGCATCGTAGGGTGAACACCTGGACGGCCAAACGAACAAGGCATGACCAGCGAGCCGGTGACACTCGGCACGCACCCGCACCTGCATCCCTCCCTCTTCCTCCCTGTGCCGTAGTTCCCGTACTACACCTTTGTGGATCGGGACAAGATGTACACGGTGGGCTCGTTATTCTATGCCATTTACTTCTTTGTCTCCTTCCCCATGTTCTTCCGTATGGACGAGTACCCGCAAAAGAGGTGCGGGGGAGGGCAAGCGGAGGGAGATCTGCGCGTGTCCCGATGCCCCGGGGGCTTGATCGCGACCACAGCAAACTTATTGTTAAGCCAATCCAGCCAAAACAATAACGCCCAAACGGCCAACTTCCAGCCGCGGGCCAAACCTGCACACATTTGTTACTACGGACATGCCCAACCTGTGATGCCCTTTTCTCATCCTCCGCCGGTTCTTTCCTTCGTTCCCTGATCTCTCCTCGGCATTTCGTCCTTGTACCTCTTACGCCTATCGCCTTACATGAAAGTGTCCTTTAAAGCGATTTTGCGTTGGTCGCCGGGTAGCAGTGTCGGCGATGGCCTTGTTGTACTTAACTACTTGTTGGGACTTCACTCTGGTTGACAGCATATTGACTATGCACTTGGCGGCATAGAGCATCAATTTTCCTGTAAATCTTTGCTTAGTAGGCACACGTTGACAAACTCCTTTTCAGGATCCGCCCGATGGCTCCTCCCCTGTCCACTTTTAGTTCCCTTCCCTCAGGTCCCTACTCCAGTCCCACGCCGTTCGACCCCATTCTTCTCTGCTCCTCGCTGTCCACCTCCGCCTCTCCTGTCCCGGTGTGTTTCCTCCCCCTGCCTCAGGGGCGCCAAGTGGACCTCCAGTGAGGCGGCTCTGGATGCCCTGGCGGCTGGCATGCTGGTCACCATCCTGCTGGACCTGTGGCGCATCACCCTGGGGGGCATCGTGGAGCTCAAGGATCAGGGCCTGCCATGGATGTAAGCCCCGTGTATCCACCGCACGACTGGGGAGGAAGTGGAGTTGCCGGCGTTCGGAGGCCTACCGAGGCCTGTTGGGGGTAGAGCCGCAGCACGAGCCTGGCGCTGCTGATGGCCCAGTTCTACAAGACGGTATTGGGAAGGGGGACGCAGCCACGGGTGGATTGTAAGAGGCTGGGTTTTAGTCTTAAAATGTGGTGGCCAATTGGGGAATGGCTATATGGCTATATGCGGCGCTTGGCAGGCAGCAGATGCCGTATGCCGGCTTATCTTCGAAAATTCAGCACCAGGACCTCGGTGGACATTCTGCCACGGTCGCTGTATCTGCCGCACATGTTTGGGGGCCCCAGCACAGGGAGCAGCACCACCTGACCAACCTCCTACTAGTTCTGTATGAAATGAGCGGCTAATGGGTATGGTCAACAGGCGCTGCTGCAGGTTTGGGAGTAGGAATGAAGACGCGCACTAGCGACCTACGTGCCGTGATAATAATTCTCTACCAACGAGCCTTCCGCGAGCGGGAAAGTTCGAGGGAATCCCGCACCCAAGGATGAGAGCCCGTGGGAGTGGGTGCGTGGGGCGTACGTCGTGGGGGATGGAGGGTATACTGCGTAGGCTGCGTTGAGGCGTAGAACTGTGTCCATGCAAAACCTTTATGTGTATCAATGATGCCCAGGTGTTCCTGATAGGATAATAGGCGTTCAGTCGTGCGTAAAGCGAGGTCCTCTAACAGCGGCCAACGTTCAGCATTTGTTCGGACGCAAGATGATGGCTCTGGCTTGGCTTCATTATAGTCTTCCTGGTAAAAGGGCTGAACGAGGTACCCACGTGTATCAGCAGAGGTTCGTTGGAATCTCACTATGGCCAGTTTTTGCGGCCACAGGGAGGCGAATGCTATTGAAGGAGCTTTTGCGCTGTCAGGCATACATGTCAAGGACGTCACATGTATTATTCTCCTTACAATAGTGACAGGCGGTACATGATTGAATATTTCAGCGCACAGTCTAGGACAGCATCCATTCTCAAGCCTAGGAATCTCCATCGTTCAGCACAGTATCGTTGCTCGCGGCAGCTGCCTGTCCCACCATCGCCACAACCTTGCAGATGCCCAAGCGGCATGCGCTGAGGGACATGCCGCTTCTATGGAAGGTGTCACCACCTGGAGCTGCTCTCCTGGGGTGGCAACTTGGGAAGGCACAAGAGACCGCACCAAGTAGCAACCCCATCATGCTCCCCCTGTTTTATGTACATTAACCACATTTTTGCGACGCCAGACTCCTGACCCGCACAGGTCAGGTTTAAATATGCAATAGATAACCAGTTGATGCTAGTTGCAGCTTTGCCCGATGGCTCGACTACGTGCAGGATACGCTCAAAACAGAGTTTGAACAACCTCATGCGCGTTTCATGCAGGCTGATCGCTAACAGGGCTTTTACTCCACTACGCTGCACTGCACTGAAACCAGCACCCGTCAACTGCCAGACCACGCAAAACAGCACCGGCGGCCGGCTACCACCGCACCCAGGTCTTCATTATGGCCAGACACCATAACGAACATCCACAATCGCACCGTCATCCTGTCACTGTAAAACCCATGGAAAGCTTCTTGAGGCCCAGAGTACCGTCTGTCTGGCCGCTGCCCTCGTCTCCAATCGTGCGGGCCCCCCTCCCGCTGCGAACACTGCCAGCTAGCACACCAGCATTCATCATTTCAATCGTCGCAATCATAGCCATCACAGACGTGTACATCCCCCCCCCGGGCCATACACCGCCGCCGCTCATGACCGCTTAACAGCACACTCTGCACATGGCCTGTGCTACCAAAGCTTCTCCCGCAATCAGCACCAGCACTAATTCCTTACTTAGCCACCGCCGCGCCCATGGTGTTGACCTTGACGCCCGTCTTGCGCCAGTCCACCGCCGGCTTAATCAGCTCCATGCGCACGCGGTCACGGTACTGTACCGCAAAGTCCAGCAGGCTATCAATCATGCTGTCCGCCAGCAGGTGCGGCTGCAGCCCCAGCTCCACCAGCTTGGTGTGCTTGGCGTTGTAGTAGTGCTCCTCCGCCTCGACACGCGGGTTCGGCACGTTCTGCACCACCACGTCCAGGCCCAGCTTGCGGCCCTCGCGGTTGACTATCTCGGCCAGCTGGTTGACGGAGAACTGCTCCGTGAACTGATTGAACACGCGCATCTCGCCGCGGGCCGCAGGGTTGTCGATGGCAATTTGAATGCAGCGTACCTGTGATTGCATGCGCGGTCCGCACCGAAGAGGAACGGGGGTTAAAACGCAGGCAAACCGTCGACTTGGACAAGACCGTGGCCGCGCCGTGAGATACAGCATATGCTTCACAAACTCAGTAGCTACGGGTGTAGGGGGGAGACCGTTTCACCACAACCTCAGTGACGCACCCACCGTGTCGCGGATGTCTAAGAAGCCACGGGTTTGGCCTCCCTTGCCGTACACGGTCAGGGGGTGGCCCACAGCAGCCTGAACCAGGGGGAGGGAAGCGCGTGCGAAGGGTATGTAAGGAGTGCCACGTAAGGAGCCAACCCACCCGCAGGTGCTCCAATTGCGCATGCCTGTATATGCACATCGATGATGTTATAGCGGGCAATTTACTGTGTGCAGTCGAGGGCCCATCGAAACTGCCTTGGCAGTATGCCTATGCCTTGCCTGACAGTAAAACATTAATTCTGCAGCTGGCATTTTCTGCCCAAATCTGTCTGTTTTGCAGTTCCTATGTGCTACTGGCAAAATATACGAAAGGATTCCACGCGGGGGACAGGAGACGCCTGCTCAGGGTGGAGGAATAACGGTTAGAAGCACGGGAAGGTGAGCGGATGCTGGGAAGATGAGCTTGGAATCTGCAAGAGCGTAGAACAACCCTTCGCTCGAAGGGAAGTCCCCACATAAGACCAAAGGGGTGCAGAAGACTGCCGTTTCCGGATACTACTGGATACTTCTTCCAGGTTGCAAACGACAACAGATAGCAGGGAGATACCAGCCTTCAAAAGCTGCACACCGCCGTCCCACGCCTCGCGTACCCAATCCAAGTAAGACCCCGGGATGGTGGCCAAGTTTACCGTACCTGCACAACAAAGCGGTTAAGCGCCGTGCCGAAGATGCCGTCGTAGTCGTAGCGGTTAATGAGCATGGGGTCTGCCATCGTCTCCTCCGTACGCACGCCGTACACAACGCCCTGCAGGTTGGCACGGCGTGTGACGAGCAATTATACATCATTTCAGGACGCGCCTTCCTTTTCACAAAACTCTTTCGCCCGTAACAACCCATTGAAGGAAGTCCTTCGACCGCAGCTTGCAACCCGCAGTTCCACCCGCGTGGGAGCTGTGCCGTACCTGGTTCAAGTCTGTAGCTGCCACCTTCCAGGCCTTGCACGTGAACAGCATGTTGGTCGAGTCATGAATCTTGGATAGATGGTAGAAAGAGTTGCCCTGTTAAGAAATACGTTATATTGGTGTCGGGAAAGCGTGTTACCGATATTCTTAAAGTATTTCTCCCTTTGGGGTCAGCAGCGACCGATCGCAGCCCTTGCTAGGGCGTTAGGGAACTGCGAAACCGGGGACGCAGGCAGCTATACCTAACGACCTAATGCTTAACCTCGTGCCAATGCACAACGGAATGCCCTTGCGGAACGGCGGCCGCAACCCTTGAAACACCAGCCGTACCTGCTTGGGGTACGGCAACGTGTCCGTACGGCCGTTGTGCGTAACGGTGAGGTAGCCCTCCTCAATATCAATATTGGGGGTACCATACTCGCCCATGGTACCCAGCTTGACCAGATGGCAGTCGGGCTTGAGCTCCTACTCCCAGCAAATGAATCGGGAAGATGGGATGAAGGATAATGGGATAAAAAGGAGTGGGACGAGAAAGGAAACCAACCTGACCAACATAAACTCAGTCCGTGGTGCTGGCGTCGCGAGACTCCCAGCCCTTGGTTTGGATACCCCAAGAGGACATGGGTGTAACAGACAGCGCCGCCAAAGATATAGAATTGAGGGATACTGGATATTGGATGTAGTTGTATGGTGGGGGAGGACGTGCCTCGTGGGAGGGTTGGGTCAGGCAAAAGAGAAGATGCAGACTGGAAGGTGGCTGCGAGAGCATCAAAGCCCACAGACGACCACCAAACTGACGACAAGGAGGCCACTGGTGAAGCTTAACCACCCTGTAACAACATCAACGACAGCAGCAGCACTGGGCCATTTTAAATGTCGTCATAGCAGAGTTATGAACCCTCTCACGGCGCCTCCCTGTGCCCGGTGCACAGCTGCGCCAATATCGCTTTAAGCCCGTCTCTATTTTCAACTTTCGAAATGTTAGGGGCTTAACTCTCCTGCCCCTGCTTCAACCCTTCCGAATCCAGCCTGCTCAGACGGCGGATGATACGATTAATCCGCTGCCACTGCATACTGCACAACCGCTTCCCGCTCAACCTTGCGTCCGGGCCGCTCCTGATCCTTCTTGTGCAATCCATTCCAACCGTTTGCGCCCCCACTCAAAGCCACATTCCCTACCCTCAAAACCAAGACACGCACGAACATCACCCGCCTTACCCCCTCCTGTCCATCCCAGCAACAGCCCCGTATCGCCAGAGGACCCATACTCCGAAGCTGCCAAACAACCACTCAACCTATACTGCCGCGACAAAAAAAGACGCCACCGCGCCGCTGGAGACGGTTACGTGCTTTCCCTAATATATCCCCACTCGCGGGCCCCTCCCCAACAACCCCTCCCGAGGTCGCCATTTCCAACCCCCATTCACCTACCTTGATGGCGAACAGCACATTGAGGGTGCCCACGACGTTGTTGGTCTGGGTGAACACGGCCTTCTGGCGGTCGATCATGGAATAGGGCGCAGAGCGCTGCTCGCCAAAGTGAACCACATGTTCAGGCTGGAAGGAGGTGAAGGCCTTCGGAAAGGGGTGTGGGGGAGGGTAGTGGAGGTTTAAGACGAGCCACTGGCGAATGAAGCATAGTAATGGGGGGTTGTAATGGGGGGTTGAGGGAGCTCGGGGAGGGAGAGGGTGGCGATGGTGAACTGTCAAGGGTAGGTTAAGGGGGAATGAGGAGGGGGGATTGTAAGCATTTACAAGTTTTTAAAAGTTCAGCACGCACGTGCAAGGGTGTCCGTAAAAGCTGGGGGGCCATGGACGATAGGTTATTGGTATTGATGTGGGTACGCGGGGGGCCATTATCGTTCTCCCTAGTCCGTTTCAGCGACGAAGGGAAGCGCCTTCTTAGCGCAACGTGCCTAGCTTCCCCGACTTCCGAGAGGTGCCTGGCCAGTGCCAGGGCCGGCGCCTCGGTCATAATGGTGCGCATGCTCCGCCCTTGAATAACGAGGTCACCGTCGTACCTAGCCCGTGTGCTCGTATAAGAGCAGGGCATTCCGCGAAAACATGCAATTTGCCTTCAACTATAGGAAATCAACCTCCGGCTTCCATACGTGCGGAAAGTGCTGCAAATGCTTCGACGTATGGGATCGTTAGGACATGGGGAGCTGTGGGCGCGGTGCTGGCAACCACCACCTTGAGGAGGGTGCCCCCCATCAACAAAACGCCGCTGCTGCTCCGGTAAAAGATGCTTCGGTGCTCGTGCTTTTGGCGCGGACCAAAGTTCAGAACCCCTATGCAGGAAGACGGAGGTCTCCGCTGTACACTCGGGTTCAAATCGGGAAGGGTGCGCGCGGACACACGCACCTGCGAGAGGAACTCCCAGTCGCAGATGTCGCCGATCTGCAGGGAGATGTACTTCCCGGACACCTCCGCCCACCTGAAAAGCGGGACGAGGAGCGGGGGTTGTGAAGAAGGGGAGGGCCGGGGAAAGGAAAAAGAGGAGCCAGCTGTGTACTGGTCACGTGGCATAAGCGTGCTGGGGTGTGTGAAAGATCCTTTGCGGGAATGCACGACGGTGGCCGCTGCTGGCTCGCTCCCGCTCTCCTGAACCCAGGCTGGTCGTATCATGTACGGCATAGCAGCATGAAAAACCCCTAAAAACAGTAACCCAACAAGGCAGCGCACATACATACATATATAATGCATACAAACAAACATACAAACAAACATACAAACATGTGTGCTCCCGACCCTTGCGCTGTGTTTCGGCTTCGGCCCCCGGCTCTCGCAGCCCACAGTGTAATCTAAGTCATACAAACAAACATACAAACATACATACAAACATACATAGAAACATACATACTTGCGCACACGGTCGTGGATGGTGGCAATGGGGGTGAGGGTGTCCAGGCCCAGAGTCAAGTCGAACTGGCGGCGGCACAAGTTGTCCACAATGCACACCTCGTAGCCACGGGCCGAGAGGTGCAGGGCGGTGGCCCAGCCGCAATACCCGTCACCGCCTGTCAGAACGATCAATCGCGGCCGCGGTGGCATTGGCGAGGTGGGTTCAACAGAGGTGATGTTTTGTGGGTGCGCGTGCCCACGTGGGATGTTGGGTGGGCTGGAATGTGGGAGGATCCAGGGAAGGATGTGGAGTGCTGTTGCCGCAGGATTGCCTTAACAGGGGTTACTGACGCGCGTTTGGTGGAGGGAAGCGCCTTCCAGGCGTGACGGAACGCTTACGCTTCCCCGGAGCATCGAGGTGTGTAGAAAGCTCTAGTCCCAGTGCCTCATAAGCTGTAAACCCGCCAGTGCTGCCGGGAAAAAAGGCACTACAAAACAGCTGCACATGGATGCATGGAGAGAGAGGGCGGCGACCCTCCAGGATCTAATATGGTAACCTGGTTCGTTAGAAGTGGGAAGCACAGGCGACCGTGACCCCAGGGGTTTGGCCGCCCGCAGCACCCTGGTAGCGTGGTTGTCCACATCGCAGCTGTAAAGACCGCTTTGCTATGAAGTCAGTGTCTGGATAGATTCAAGGGAGAAGCCTGCTGAGGTGGCCCTCGTCGCGCGCCTGCGAGCTGCTCACCGATGATCATGACGCGGGTGCCAGCACCACCGCCACTGGAAGTCGGAGCAGGTCCAGCGGGCCTTTCAATTGTAGCGATAGCATTAACCTTTACGGAAACAGCGCGGCTGGCAACCTGGGCAGCGCTAGCGGCCTGCAAAGGGGCGCGAAAAAGCTGTAACCAGCTGCATCGCCACGGTCGGCACTCAACGCGCTAACCGACCTTGCGGCCGACCGATGCGCGCAATGCACAGACGCGTCCTGTACATGTTATGAAAGCATAATTTGGGTCAGGGAGATTCTGTATGCGGTGGCATCACGAAGGCCTCTGGGCCTCACCGCCAACACGCATGCTCGCCACGCTCTGTTGAGACGCAGCCTTGGCCGCACGGCGGCCTGTACAAAACCATCGCAAAACGGTTGTGTAAAGCGATTGAGCAAATTCGGTCAAATCACTCAGCGGCGGCAGCAATTTATGGTTGAGATTACTAGAACTGTAAACGCACCGGCGCGCTGATTTTGCATCATTGGGCACTGCATTTCCGCGTCTGGCTTATCAAGCGGTATTTGCACAGAAGTAGATGTAATCCGCGCTCAGGTAAGCATAAATCTTTATGATGCCGGAATGTGCCGTAAACCGACCGAATAATTATGCCATTCCAAAATCAAACTAACTCAATGCCAACCATGCCTTGACATCTACTATCCCATCTTTACATGAGTTGTTTCCTTCCTCCAAAATCAATATTCGTCCCACTTCGTCGTGTTGATATAGCGTCGAGGGTAGGCTCTGCTTGTAATGCCTTAAAGACAGGAGTAATGAATGTTCAAAACATTCATAAGATCCAACGAGCCGCTGGACCATTTGGCTGGCCCGTGGGTCCGGGCATTCAAAAGTTCTCTTCGCTAAGAAATCAACAACAAATAGTACGCAGGTGCCTGCATTCTTGACTGTGCATGTTAGGTTTTCTCGTTAGTTAGAGCCCATGCCCTTTCAGTGCAGGGCATTAATTTGGAATTGCCAAGACTTTCCACGTCTTCCAGGCGTCCATTTCCGTTTCTGCTTGCCTCTGTTTGAACCGCGCACATCACGACCTGCAAAAGTTTGATTTCGTCAACATCTGGCCAGATTGCAATGCGCGTGGCCGTTAGCAAGAGATCTAGGAGTTTAGGGCAACTCCAGAAGAGTCCAGGGACCCACCGCCAGCCGTCCGCCGTACCGTAGCGATAAAGGCGGCACACAACAGATAGAGCTAATTCCGAGGGCTTTAGTAAGGAGGAGATTTGTGAGTGGAATAAAACTGTGATTAAGGCCGAACGGCGATTTTGTACTGACAAACCAGCTGATCAGGCTGTGAGGGATTCGCTCCAAACCCATCCATCGTCCACCACCAATCTCTGCAGATATTTACAGCGAACAGGCCCGACGGGCCAAAAAAGGCTGTCAAGCAGCCACGGCACCTTAAGCAAGCTAGGATCCGGCACGATTTTCTGCATTGTCCTGAAGATGACGCCCCGACCGTACCGTACGCCTCATAACCAAGACCCTTCACCCTGGCCTGGTGCAACACACAAGGGAGCTGCCATCTTACTAACGTAAGGCCGAGGAGCTCAGGTTATGGCAGAACAAAGCACGGCTTATCCGAACCTTTATGTGGCCACGCACCGCGACTTCATCCTAGGCAAAGGCTGCGCAAAGACACCATCCCGTACGGCAACAGAGATATCCCATGCGGCACCCTATGGGGACCCCCTGTTGGACTCACAAAGACAAAACTTACGCTTTCGAGTGTTTGTCAGGGAACCCAAAGATCGCCAGAATATATAGCACATTGAAAGATGCCGCAAAACCCGGCCCTCCGTTAGCTGCTGACTGTCCAAAACTCCCCGCTCGTCCCACTACGAAGTTTTACGTTACATAATGTGCACAGGTTTCCGAAATACCCATTGAGACAAAGGGAACCCAATTCCAAAAATCCGAAATACCCATTGAAACAACCAGTTTCATAAGGACGGGTTGTTCCACAGTGGTTGTTCCTCAGGCCTGATGCCCAAGAGATCACGGACGGTCACGCGAGACAGCAGTCTAGGCGCACTTCACATGTCCCGAGCACATGCGCGCCTATCCCTCACTTATATATCGCTTACGACATATCCAAGCCGGTCCCTAAACCAAAAACCAACTGCTATGTTGGGGTACCAATAAGGGTACTCGTGCTTAAAAAGCGGTGGCTTGTTGCCCGGCTCAGTGGGCATTGCGCCTCTAGTGCGCACACAACATTTAGGCATACTTTCACCGTACCCTTCTAAAACATGGCTAGCTCCTTATCTGTGGCCTTCCTGGCACTCAATTACTGATCGTGCGCGGAGTCTCCCTTCTTAAGGGTGGCAGGGTAGCGTGTCTGGTTGTTTGGGGCTGTCGGGAACTTGGTATGGGACTAGCCTTGTCGCGTCTTTCCAGGCCTTAACATTGTTTGGAGCACCAATCTTCTGCTCGGATTACCTGTAGCCTCGTCCGTGCATTTATCTCTAAAACTGCCTAACGACAGCTACCCAGTGCCTAGCTCTGGGGCATGATGTAACGTTACGAGCCACCCGGCAAGCCACCGCAAATCTGTGTATGCGCGTGTGCCACTCAATATTACAACATCGGTAGACACCTTAAGCATCGTCCGCTCTCACCCGCATGGGATCAAGGCTCACCGCATGGAACCAGGAGTAGTGCTGACGCGACGTGCTATGGCCAGACTAGAAGCTAACGGCAGCTGACTGTCAGCGGGCAACCGCCGTTGGTTTTGTTAGGACTTCAACATCTAAGAGTTTCTGGGAGTCGTAAACGAAGCGTGTGCATTTGGCGTCAACATCTCATAGCTGACGGCATGGCAGTGACCCGTCAAAACTGGTTGCGAAGCTTCGCTGTCACGAGTTCACGCATGGATAATAAGAGCATAAGCCCTGGGTACTAGTTCCTGACGGTATACACTTATAACTGCAGCTTAGCTTGGGTTAACAGGCAAGATAGCAACCATCAGCAGCTGGCCGTTGATTTGGCGGTTGCCGGTGACGGACGACTGATCATAAATTCGTGAGCTAAAGTATCACCAAGAACAATAAGGAGTTGATATAGCAAAACAGCATTTATGCCAGCGTCGACATTGCTGCTGGTCGCGAAAGGCAAAATGCCAATCGATGAATTTGTACGACGTACATTGCCCGTACGGTGGCATTCATGGAAAAGCTTCTGGCTGCGATTAGCACGCGGTACCACCAGCGCTGATAGTCTCTTTTGGTGAAACTTATGGCGAACGTGCAGTCCGCTCTGCTTAGTTGAATTCATCCACCTGTGACAGTCAACTAAACGTGGACCCCCATAGTTCCTGGCCCACTAAGTATGATGGACATAGAGGACGGTTAAACAGTAGAGCTACAGGCGATTCGGCAGCCAACGGTGCTGACCGCCGAACGCACGGGCGGAGCCTGAAGAATGCCTATCTCCTCTCTACGTGGAAATCTGGGTGCAGGAGGAGGTGAGTAACCAAGAAGAAAATTTTGATTACATCGGTTATGTCCAAAGTTTCGTCAAGAGGTTGACGACGAAGTGATCAATGGCAAGTGCATAATAAGCGGGCTGTGTAGCTCACCCTGAGCTTCATAATAAAATATCGTGTGCAGCTGATTACTTTAGGCGTTGGGTCCTTTCATAGGCACAAAGTTGCGGCAGAGACTTCTGGTGTACAGTGCAGAAACCATGTTCAGTAATTTTGGATTTACTAATGAACATAGCATGCTGTGCATTTTTAGCTTCAAGTGCACTTTCGCCTCCACCGAGGGTTGGACCAAGGACACGGGCCTCGTGTGTTCACTGCGCGTGTGGTTTTGAGGGACCCGATTATTAGTGTGGACCGCGGCGGGGTTGAATCAGGGGGCTCAATTGTTGTTACGCATTATAGCATGTAACTGAGGGCTGAAGAAGCGAAGGATCCCCGTTATGAATAGAGGGGGGCGTGTGCGTGTTGCCTGGCATGAGCAGATTCCCAGCATGCCTCCCAAGCCGCAAAGCGGCCCATATTGCAATGCATCACCATGTCTTCCTGCAAGTGAGAGCGGACGGACGGCAGACACAGCCGCTGAAACGGCATGCGTCATTCGACTTCGCGTTCATGTCCGTCGGGATTTTACCGCGTGGGCGCAGGCAAAGAGGATGCTTCGAGCATTTCAAGCGGCCCAGGAGCGGCCCAAAACGGCCATGCCAACGCCGACCCGGGTGTGACGGCGGAAGGGCAGTTTCGTGAAGTTCTAGCGCATACCGTGAAGCCGGTGAATAAGAAGAGTGTGCTTCTGCAAGTCGCCGAAGCGGCGTTTGGCTGCGTCCGAAGTGGGGAGTACGCATCAAATGAAATCCGAACGGCGAAATACACGTTGGTGAGGAGGATGCTCAACTGTGCGTTGGATCCGCTCAAGCTTGTGTCAGCAGTCCACTTGGTTTAATCTGGTTCACGGGTTAGCGTTGGGGGAGCGGTAATTTGGGTCCCCGGGGTTCACCACGTTGCGTGGGATCAGCCTGGCTTGGATGCCTGGGCCAAGGGGGCAGCGTTCTAGTGGAACTCGTCTGTCCAGCGCAATTTCCGTCAACAATGTGGGCGGGGCACCGGCAGGGTGGGCCAATCTTGTGGCAGGCTGACGATGCTTATAGTTCCCGGCACGTCGGCACGTGGGAGGAGGCAGCGGGGGAATGGCAGCGCCACCGGGTTCGGGTCGGACGGAATTACCGCGATGGACTGTGAATGGAAGGTTTAAACGTGTGGTAGGACTCCCGTATGCTTATAGTAATCCGGGTCCTGATCCTTGCAGCTGCCCTATTCCATTGGTGCTGCGGCTGGTAAGGCGCTCTGCTGGTTACTAGCGGGTGCGCATATATCCCATTTCCGCATCCAAGGCTTTTGCACTTCACACAAGCCCAAAGCATCGTCCCCTGTTTCATCACTTTCTGACCCTTGCCCATTCCCTTCTTCTTGCCCTTTCCTTCCCCCTCCGCACTGCCTCTGCATCTCCCGCCTTCCCGCAGCTAACCTTCGTACCGGTGAACCTCTTTCAGCAGTTTACTCGGATCGCCAACCTATACTTCCTCGTCGTGGCTGTGCTGCAACTCATCCCCGGCCTAGCACCAACTTCGTGGTTCACCACGGTGGCACCTCTGGTCATTGTGCTGGCCATCAACGCTATCAAGGAGATTATTGATGATTACTACCGCCACCTGTAAGGGGCCGGTTAGGCCGTTCGAAGTGCTTGGGGCCGGGGAGGGTGGTGCCACCACGTTCCCGGTGCGAGTCTTTGAAAACTTATCTTCTGAAAAGAGCACTTTCGACTGCTAGCCCAGCGCCGTCGAAAGGGCTCTTCTCAGCCAATGTCCCCATGCGCAACTAGCAACATCCCGCCAGAACCGCTCAGCTTGCCCTCCCGGCCAGCAGTTGCCATGCAGTATATGTTGTTGAACCTCTCCAGTGCGAGGTGCATTGTAGAAGCCGGGGGTATTCAGAGAAGCTGGGTGATTTCGGGGATTGGGCATCCCACACCAACTGCTCATGCTCCTCCTCCCAGGACGGGACTATGCTTCCTACTGTCCAACACCCTAGCGGATGCTTCTAGGTTCCCATTCTGCATGTCTAAAAATAATTGGCTTCGCATACCATTCATGCTCACAAGCCCGGCTCCGTCCCCCACGGCTTCCGTATAGCTCTGCTGGAGCCCGACGCGCTCTGCGGGTTCGTGTTCCTTGCGTGGCTGGCAACTTGTCCCGGCCTGGTCTCTGATGTCCCATTTTGTTGTGCCGCTCCCGTTGCCGGGTCCCCTGCAAACGGTGCTGCCGCTGCACAGGAGCGACCGGGAAATCAACGGTCGCATCGCCACCGTGCTGGAGGAGGGCGGTCGTGAGACCCCGGTCACGTGGCGGGACCTGGCTGTGGGCGATATTGTTAAAGTGAGCGGCACATGGGCGCTCCGCTGGACTGCTGCTTAGGCCGTGCCAGGGCACACACAAGGAGAACCGCGTTTAGGATACCGCCGTATACTAGGAAGCCTGGCAGGAGCTTAGGGCAGAAGGGCATGGCGGGGTTTAGGGTCTTAGGGTTTTAAAAAACCTAAAACTCTAGCCACCTCTCGAACGGGGATGCTAATCTAGGGGGTGGGATTAGACGAGCAGCTGCGCCACCGCAGTGCATGCAGCTGAAGATGCGGCCCCTTACACGTCCGGTGTCCGTTGAGGAGTGATCCATGGTTGGCTTGATGCGGCCAGATGTGCCCCTCCTGCCATCGTATTGCGCATAGCACATATGGCAAAGGAAGCAGAGACCGAGCAACCCTGCGTGCGCGAGTGTGCGGGTTGGTTGCTCCAACGAGATGGAAGGGACTGGCAGTATTGGAGTACTGTGCAAGAGCAATTGTGGTGTCTGGGGCGTAGGGATCTGGCGTCTCCGTAGCAGCACAGATTATTTGTGGAGCTTACTCGCCGGCAAAGTCGCCCTGGGATCAACCTAGCTACGTACCGCCAACACACGCAGCCATTGTTTATTTGGTGGCTGTGCTGCAACTAGGATTGGAAACCAATGCGAACTCATTAATCATTGACTAGGTTACGCATTGCGCACCGCCCTCCGAGCCTTCACTTACAACCCCATGGCCAGGAGCCGCCAAAACCACCCAAATGTGTATTCCTCGAAGCCTTTTTCCCTGGACGCCCTTCTGCAGCAATCCCCCGGTACGCGTTAGCCAGGCTCGGCATAAGGCATCAGGCAAACAGCCACCAAAGCGACTCGCCACTTGCTTCCCGTGCAGGTGGCCAATGACACGGAGTTCCCTGCGGACATCGTGTTCCTGTCATCCGCAGACCCCGGAAATATTTGCTACGTGGAAACAGCGAACCTGGATGGTGAGGACACGCCAGCGCGGCTGCTGTATTACCTTTTCGGGGGCTGGCAGGGGCGATATGGGGGCCGCGACAGTTCGTGGAGGAGGTGGTGCTGGTGCTGGTTGGGATAGGTGGGGGTGGCAGTAATGTTGTGACTCGCAATGGGTGGGCTGACGGTTCCGCAGTACGTGCTCCGCTTCTCAACCTTGCATGTTGTGGGACCATGGCATCTGTGGGTTCTTGGAGGGCGCAGGCCCGTTCGGTACAGTACGCGACCGACCGGCTTGGAACACGGCCTTTTCAACGCCTATTTTGCCCAGTGCTACCTAGGTGCCGGCCTCATACTTCACGGTACTTAACTGCTTTGGTCCGTGTCCAGGTGAGACAAACTTGAAAATGAAGAACTGCTTCTCAAAGACGGCCGGAAAAAGTCTGGCGGACGAATTCAACAGCTTCGCTGCAGACTACTCCGTCCGGTGAGCACCGGTTTTCGGCCATGATAATTAACTGCGCGCGCCCTGATTGTGTTCCTTGCGGCATCCCTAACTTTGCTTTCCTGCGTCCCTGAGTGAATTTCCTTCGTCCTTTAGGGTTACTTGATCCGCCCTCTGTGGCCAGGCATCCGTTTTCCTGCATTTGCCCACTTATTTCTGCCTGCCTTTTGTCTCGTTGTCTCTCCTCCCTTCGGCGCTGCCTCCGTAACGTTTCCCATGTATCATACTAGCACGTTCAAACCTCCGCATCTGCAAGCGCCAACCGAACCCCGCTATGTTCGTCGCTTCGTCCGTCTGTATGTCTCTCTGTCCCAGCTGCGAGCTGCCCAATCCTGATCTGTACAAGTTCGACGGCGCAGTGGTGCGCCGGACGGAACCTGACGATCCTCTTGCGCAGCTGCCATTGACAGCCGATAACCTGCTGCTCCGCGGCTGCACGCTTCGCAAGACCGACTGGGTGGTGGGTGTGGTGGTGTACACTGGACTGGATTCCAAGATTATGATGAACCGCACGCGCTCTCCACGCAAGGTGGGTCCGGACACGTACCTCCTGCATCTCTTCTCCATCTCGGTCCACGCGCTCGTCCGGTTTCGGTGCAGCGTTTCTTGACCCATTTTAGCCTTTACGGCTGCATGAAGCCCCGGGGCCCCTCCCTCGTCGAGTTTGCACACGAGTATCGCCCGTATCGCACTTGAAGCCGCCCGGCCGCCCACACTTGCGCTTTGCCGCCGCGCGCACGGGCTTCGGACCTTTTCCTGTCCTGAATGATGCCAGGGCCAGAGTGGCCCTTGCCCGAGCCGCTTTCACGTCCTAGGGATGACGTCGGGTTATCTCGGGGTATTAGTTCTTCCGATCAAAATCCTGAATGCATATTGCCGGGCGTTGCGCCTCGCAGGTGACGCAGCTGGAGAACCACATGAACGTGCTGGTTGGCACCATGTTTATCCTGGTGTTCTTTATCTCAGCGTTCATGTCTATGGGAGTGCAGATCTGGGACAAGGCGCACGTGCGGGAGGACTGGTACCTGGGTTACAACGGGAAGTACCCAGACTACTATCCGGGCTTCGCATCTTGGGTGCTTGGGGTAAGCATCAAGAGCGGCATGCGTGATGCAGGTTATGCTCAGCTGCTCGAGTTAAGTAGAAGGGGAGCGAGCTGAGTTTGGGCGGGCCTGATCTGTCTGTGAGCTTGCGCATGTTTGCAACATTGGGTAGCCACGGAGAGGGCGGTGCGCTTCGAGCAGTGGTGACCACCAACCTTGGTCCAATCTATGTGCCAATCTTGGCATTAACTAGTTGCTATACATATGTGTGTACCGTTTGGGGGACAGACGAAAAGCAGAAGCAAAGCAGCTGGCGGGAGCGCATGACGTTCCTGGATGGTTGGTGATGTCCGTGTCCACCACGCAGGTCATTCGCTGGATGATTCTGCTCAACGGCGTCATTCCCATCTCCTTGTACGTGACACTGGAGATTGTTAAGTTTTTACAGGTGGGCGGGAAGTTAATAGCGAACGAAGGCAGGGACTGGCAGATGTAGGGGCTAGGGCTGGGCAGGAGTGGGCTGGGCGAGAGAAGAAGCACAGTCTCCGTGATGCACCACGCCTGATACACGGTACCTAATCGTGAGCATCCGCCAAAGCACCTGGGTCAGTCAGTTGGATGAAAGTTGGATTAGCTATACGGTTCTGTTCCCTCGAAAGTTATTTTTGTCACCGCCAAATGCCTTGCCACCAAAGGCTTTTCCCAAGTCCTGCGCTCAGTGTGCTTTGTTCTTTTGCGTTCGATTGTGGTTTGTTGTTTGAACGAGCTAGCAAAACCATGTCGCCCGAGAGGATGCAGTTGTTACAGCTGGACCACCCGCGTGTGCACACGGCTTTTCCTGGCAGTGACTTTGCCGCCACGCATTCCACAAGACTGACTGCACATCCTCCGCGGATCACATCGTCCTGTCCCTACCTTGGGAATGTCCCTGATTTGGGAACCAGGCCATTAGCACTACAAACGGTTTGCCTTACATTCATGTTCCAACTCCTTGCACCCCCGTCCCGCGCCGCAGTGCAAAATGATTCTGGACCTGGATCGTGAAATGTACCACGCGGAAAGTGACACCCGCTTCTCCTGCCGCACTACTAACCTGAATGAAGACCTAGGCCAGGTAGGAGAAGAGGAGGGCCGCCGCGGGCAAGCTGAACAACCTGTTCCGTTAGCCCAGGACCTGTTTCTTGTTGCTGAACACGGGACAGTTCCCCTAGCCCATGGTGCCGCGGATGCTGGGAATGCACACGTTGAGGCGAGGGCCGACCACGAATGCGCTGGGGATGCTTACGGTTGAGGCGAGGAGTATCGGTTTCGTTTCTGCTTGACGATGGCGCGCTTGGCCAGCAGCAGTACTCCATCCACACCGAGGCCGCTCTCACTTCCGCATGCACTGGGTTGTCTCTGCTGCCGCCCCAGTGTTACGATCACGAGCCAAACGATTTATGTCAGAAGGTCCCCATTGCGTCATATACCCGACAGTGCTAGAACGTTGCACCCAGCTCGCGCCACCCCTCTTTTCCCGCAACCTGTACCTACATGCCAAACCATTGGCCTGGTGCGTACGCACGTTGTCTGGGCCTTTTGCTGAGTGCAGGTACAGTACGTTCTGTCGGACAAGACGGGGACCCTGACGCAGAACGTCATGGGGTTTGTGTGGCTCTCCGCAGGGGATGAGATGTACGGCAAGCGGGACTGCAGGTGGGTCGGGGGGGAGGGGGTTGGGTGGCCAAATTGCGCCGCGCTAGGGCTTGGTTTCGTCTCCTTGTTTTTTTCACGCCGCCTCAATCTGGACAGAGTGTGGACTTCGTGGCAAGACCCCCCTTCCTGTCTGGACGTGATGATCCCCAACTCCTCAGGGGTGCTGACTTCCCCAGCCCCAGCCACATCGACGAGGCCACCCCGCACTCGGTGTCGCTTGACCCCGACCTGCTGCGGGGCCTGGGATTGGACCTCAGGCTCCTCGCGCAGCAGGGTGAGTACGCTCGTAAGCGTGGGGATGAATGCGGGCCTTGCGATTCCGGAATCCCACATTGTGATGGATCTTAGCTGAGAAGAAGCAAGTAACCTTGTCAGAAAGACGGGGCAAGACCTTAGCATGCTCTCCTGGCACTGCAGTATTGCAGTATCTTTTACCCATTAATCTGCGTTCCGGTGCGGTGTTCAGCAACCTACAGGCTCTCTTGAGCTTCTGTTTTCCTCACGCCTGCATGTTCTTCGCCCTCGCTTGCTCTTTGTCATCGTCACCACCATCACCATCGTCATCATCGTCACCATCATCGCCCAACTAACCATTGCAGCGCCTACCAAGACAAACAAGAGCATGCGCGGCCATGCCGGCATCATCCGCGCCGCCGCGACCAAGCCCCCTGACCCCGAGCTGGAGCGCTTCATGCTAAACTTGGCGATCTGCAACACGGTCGTCCCAGCCATCAGCGACGAAGGGCACTTCGTGTACCAGGTCCGTCCCTCCGTCAGGGGCAGCCTGTCGGGTTAGTCGTGTCCTTTCATCCGGAGCTTTGTTGGCCAACCCTCGCGTGTTGTGAAAGGTCACGGTTGCGACGAGCTCTATTAATGGAAAAGTGTAACTGAACTTGGACCATGGGGGGTTCCACTGCGTTTAGCATGACGTATCTTTCGGCGTGTGCCACACCAGCTATGCTCCTTGCTGAATATGTTTTCGGCACTTACACGTCTCTTGACGGCCAGGCCTCCTCCCCCGACGAGGAGGCGCTGGTGACAGGTGCGGCGTTCCTAGGCTACCGCCTATACAGTCGTACTACAGACAAGGTGGTCGTGGAGATTTTGCGGACGGGGGAGTACCGTCAGTACCAGGTGCGTTGCAGGAACGGGGAGGTGCTGGAAGGGGTCCTGGGCCACACTTGCACTTTGTGTTTGCCGTTCCGGTGCCGTTAGGCTTGGCTTGGGTGTGCGTAGCGGGGAGGAGTTGCTTCAGGAAGAACAGGGTTCGGTTGAACGGGATTTTGGTCGGATTTTGGTCGGCGGATTTTGGTCGCTAGTGACTGCGGGTGTGATATGCTTAACCATTAACTTTGTTTCGGTGTGAGCCGTTGTGGGGCTTGAGGGAAACCCCTGGGGCCCTGTTGTCCGTAGGAATGAATGGCGGGGTGGATATTATTCTCGCGAGCTAGATTGCATCACCCCGCGTTAGTTGGGTTACATACGACATGCTGCTGTATAAATCCCTCAAGTGCAACCCTTACCCATCTACCGCGCCCGCATTCCCCGATTGTGCAGGTGCTGGCGGTGCTAGAGTTTAACTCGGATCGCAAGCGCATGTCTGTCATCGCTCGCTGCCCCGACGGCAAGATCCGGCTCTTCTGCAAGGGCGCTGACACCATGATCATGGCGCGGGTCATGCCCAGGCAGCCACGCAGCTCCAACGTGCGCAACCACCTGGTGAGGTCCGACAACCGTGCGACCGAGTGGGACAGCGAGCGGGTGCTAGCGAAACGCAAGCGATTTGGAGCCCAAGAAGCCAACATCTTAGGGGGGGAAATGCTTGGGCTCGTGGCACCGTTGTTAGGCTGGAACCAATACAGAAAATCGCTCGGAGACTCCTAGCGAGGCTGCTGCAGTAGGGTTTGCCTTGCGAAGGTTTTTGTGCCCGGCCTGCGGGCATGATACCTGTGGAGGGCAGGGTTGTAATGCTAAATATCCGAACGCGCTGTAGGAGCGGGCCGAGGAAGGGCTAGTGTTCATGCACCAAAGGCAGTCGCCGCGACATTTGCCCTGTCTGATAATAACCATGCGTACACCTCTCAGCCGAACATCTTCAGCTTTTTCTTAAAGCTACGACGTGTCCGGCCACTGCCATGAACAACGCGGAAGCTTATTTGGGAACCCAGAGCACTGATGGAAGGGAAGTCAGTGCACAGAGCGAGTGCGCTAGAAAGAACACCGCCACACCGAGTGCGATTTTGTGCGCGTCTCCCTGCGTGTACTTGTGGTTCTGATACTAGCCTTGGGCCTGGGTCGGGCTTTATGGCCGCCTGTGCTGCAGGAGGAGATGGCGCTGGCGGGCTACCGGACTTTGTGCGTCGCAGAAAAGGAAATCACCGAGGCGGCATATAGCAAGTGGGCGACGCAGTACGACGCGGCCTGCGTGGCGCTCACGGTGCGATGAGCTGCGAACTGCCTTCGCCAGCCATATGTCCATCGCGCAATTACGCATCTCCGTGACAATGCCGTTCAAGTTCACGCCTGAACACTCGGACATTGCGGTACCCGGCGCGAGCTATCGCTGCAGTAGTTACCAGCACACTGCCGTCACTTTGTGGCGTTTGCTGGTTTTTATGATACTACCGCACGCTTCAGTGCTCGGAGTCCTGCTGATTTCGCTCTCATTTTCTCGCATTTCCTTGGGACTCCCAAACGCTCTTGTGCCCTCAGGACCGTGAGCACAAGGTTGCGCTTGCCAGCGAGGCAATTGAGAAGGACATGGAGCTGTTGGGGGCGACCGCGGTGGAGGACAAGCTACAGGTGGGGCTGGTGTGGTGCGAGGGTCGGTTACCTTGCCTGCACACACGGAAGCGAGGAAAAGAGGGAGAGGGAGACAGCTTATGTGAGATTGTGACAATTTAGGTTTTGCGCAAGCGCGAGAGGAAGAACGGCATAGTGACCGGGGTTGCATGGCGCGTGTTGACCATGGGCCCAGGCGATGCGAATGGGATGACGTCGAACGAATGCATGAACCCCATAACTTTTGAGGATGCAGAGAACTGCCGACGGTGTACATGACGCGGTTCCCTTCTGAACACGACACTAAACGATGCTGTGCATGGAGTGTTCGTTGCAGTCATGATGGCATTAGGCGAGTCAGGCAACAATTGTACCATGGCCATTCGCGTGTCAAGCCAAAAGCTTATCGATTCAAAAGATACATCGTACGGCGCCAGTCATTTTTCGTACAACCTTCGTCGTGCAGGACGGCGTGCCGGAAGCGATTGAGGCGCTGCTATCGGCGGGGGTCGGTGTCTGGGTTCTCACTGGCGACAAGGTATGGGGAGCCAGGTGACGCGTATGACCCTGCCAGGGTACCTGCAGAGCAGAGCAATCTTTCTGAATGATTGGGTCAAAATGGAACCATACGAGAGAGCAGCCGCACGTGGTCTTGCTTAGCGAAGCTGCTTCGGCAAAGCACACTTTTCACTGTCCTCGCAGACGCTATGTGCTGATGGCATGACCTTGAAATAACCCGTTGTTTTGCACTTCGAATGTAAAAGCGTATGGAGATTGTCATGCTCCCCAGAACTACCCTGGCATCTGCGTTCATGCGTCCCAATAGTCATCGGCAGGCACTGATTTGTTATGCTTACCACGAGGCCTCTCCTTTTCCTTGTTTCGTTTCCTCGACGGCGATGGGGTGACGGTGACCAGGTGGAGACGGCGATAGCCATCGCGATGTCATGCCGGTTGTTTACGCAACAAATGGCGCTGGTGGAGTTACGGGAGCGGGACTTCGAGAGGTTGGATGAGGAGGCGGTAAGGAGGAGGTTGAGGGTGTGTGAAGAAACGGAAGGGGGCAAGACGCAAACCTTCGGTACCTCTTCCCGCTTATTTATTGCGATGCATTCACAGACTTCCAGCCCTCTACCCTGCATTGCCGTCCAAAGAGGGTTTTTCCTTCGGTGAAGGCCCTTAAGCACGCACGTCAGACGACTCCCCTCGTCCCTGTCTGCTCTTTCCCTCACCTCGCGTCACCGTCGCACCTGCCTGTCTCCACTTCCACTCTTTGCCAAGCAGCGTGCTTTGATACCATCTACATATAAAACATTCCTAACGCACGGCACTCCTCGCTCCTCGTCACTTCACCTCTCTGCTCATCCTCCTCCTACGTCCATCATCCGGCAGGTTCTCCGCGGAAAGTACGAGGAGGCCTCCATGGAACAAACTCGGCTCAAAATGGAGCTGGGCAATGACTGCGGCCCCATGGTGGGGTTGGTGGTGGAGGGTGGGGCACTGGCGCGCCTGCTGACACCGGCGTATGAGGGCCGGCTGCTGGACCTGTTCACAACTTGCAAGAGCGTGGTGTGCTGTCGTGTCACCCCCAAACAGAAAGCCGAGGTGCGTGGACTGTGGCCTCGTGGCAGCTGCAGACTGCCTGGATCTGGCGGGTTTCGCTGGCCCGTTTATGCAAATGCCGCAATTCTTCTGCTGCTTTCCGAATGTGTGGCAGCGTGTCCCGGTATCAGGCGGACCAGGCAGCTTGGTGCGGTTGGCCCTTCCTCGCCTTGTGCCCGCCTGCACCAAGACCCCATCCCGCTCTGCGTGTTCCGTCATCCATCATGGCGGACCTGCGTAAGGAACGCTTAGCACTCCACGTCACCTGACTTGCGTGTCCCGGGCGCAGGTGGTCAAGCTGGTGCAGCGCCGCCGTAAGGCCATTGTGCTGGCCATCGGCGACGGGGCAAATGATGTCAGCATGATCCAGGTAGGGCTAAGCCGTGCAGGGCAAATCAGGGTGGCAATTAGCTGGCTGACTTGGGCAGCCTGGATCGTGCGGTGCAGTAGAATGGTGACTACAGGTAACCGGGCTGGAAGGGAAAGGCGGTAATTTGTGACGGTAATGTGCTGACGATGGTGTGCGATGGTTGTGTGCCCGCCTGATAACACTTAACCCATAGGTCCCGCCGCCTTGACCAGCTAGCTGGGTAGGCACCTTACGTCCATACCCCACACACGCATCAGTGATTCGGGTGGGAAAGGCACACCTACCGGGCACGGCACCTCTTCACATCCATTGGACGCATTATTCCGATCGCGTGCTGGAATATACTTGTATTGCTTTACAACGGCGGCTGTTCAGGTGTCATACTTAACCGGGTGGACGCCGCTATCCTTTCCAATTAGAAGCGCAAACTCTCGTTATTGGGCTCTGCTGTAGGCTGCGCATATCGGCTGCGGCATCAGCGGCCGTGAGGGTCGAGCGGCGGTCATGGCATCGGACTTCGCATTCGCGCAGGTGGGGAGGTTGGGGTCGCGGCTCGTGGTTGGGTTCACCATATGCGGTCAGCACTATCAAGCCGAAGGGGAAACGGACAGCAGGGTTAATGCAACGAGAAGCTGGTAGTCTAGCTGGACGGCATTGCGGCGTGGCGCATCGCTAGCCCTGGACTTGGACAGAAGGGAATGGGGCAGCGGTCGTCCATCGCGTAGCTGCATCAAATGCATTGTGTGCGAGGGGAAGGAAGGATGGAGTTTTGGTAACGTCTGCGTGTTGTCCGGGCGTGGATTACCAAAGAGTGGATAACTATGCGTCAGGAACATGCAGACGGATGGAGGGGATCGCCCCAACATAACGTCCTGCGTTCTCCATGACCCGCTCTTTCAGGAACGGTGGACGGCGTCCGCCCATGGCCTTTTCTAAATTTCCCCGGGAACCCGGGCTCCGCAGATGCCTGGCCGGCGCATTGCTTACCTGGGCGATGCGCCGTGCGATTCTAGCTGCTGCTTCACAGGAAGGGTCCTCGCTCCCTCGGACCTTGCCTTCTAAACGTTCCCAACCGCGAATCCTAACCGCAGTTCAAGTACGTGTCCCGCCTGATCCTGCTACACGGCCGTGCCGCCTATAAACGCAATACGGAGGTGGTTTGGTACGCCTTCTACAAGAACTGGATTTACAACCTGGTGCTCCTGTACTTCGGCTTCGTGACAGGTACGGCTTACATATGCGAAACCTAGGGCCTGTGCGTTACCGGGTTCCATTAACGTGGGGGCGCGGGGCCCCAACGAAGGCGGATTTCCTGGGGACAGGCACAAGGGCACGAAGAAGTGATTGCATCTTGCATGCAGTTATTGGTTTCGGAGGTTGGTAGCTTAGGGATTTTTGAGGTGTTATCCGCTGGGGTAGTTGGGGGACGCCCTGAGAGCCGGAGGAGATGATGTGGCCGCGGGTGGAGGTCAATGCTCGTGCAGCCCACATATTGTTCCGGGCGGCGTTGGCTCCGTAGGCGTGGTGGAAACCAGAAGAATCCTGTATTAATCACTTCCATGCCCTCCACTTTCGGACGCGGTGCGCAGGCTTTTCTAGCCAGCCGCTTTTCACATCGGGTCTCATTGCCGTCTTCAACCTGTTCTTTACGTCAGCGCCTACGGTGGCGTTTGCGGTGCTGGAACAGGACGTTTCGATGGTGAGTGCAACACTGGGCCTGAAACAGTGTACATAAAAAGCCCTGCCCGGTGTATCATTGGTGGCGATAGTGAGACTGAAGAAGATTAGGTATTGGAGAAGGGAAACGTGAGCAGGTATTTGGGTGACGTGATGGCATGGTGTGTCCTCTGGGGGCGTCCTTATTTTTCATCAACGTTTCCTCTCCCAGCTAGAGATTTACCAATCTGGCAAGCAAGGTCGCTTTTCGCCTGTCCATGTTCTTTCCTCGCTGTGGGGATGCCTCCTGATCCCCTCTCTCCCGCGTGTTGTGTGCCAACAGGCGACGGTACTGTCGGTACCGCAACTGTACACGGAGACCATGACCGCCACTCGCAAGCAGTTCCTCATGGAGCAGCTGTGGTGGCTAGTGCTGGTGCGTTGCGAAGTTGGAGACTGTTTCCGTGGCGATTCAATCCGTGGCGACAAGCAACGTTCACCTTCTAGTTTACCCACAACAGTACCTGAGTGAAAAGGGGCAGTCAGAAGACGAAAACGCATCAGGGACACACCAGGATACCTTGTCTGAGATTGGATCAAAGCGCACGGATGCATGTGTGTTGGGGCTGCGGATATGGGATAGGGGCAGGCGGCGCCCGGTTAGTATGAAGTTCCGGCCGGTGTGAGTCGCAAGGGTTCAGAATCCCTTGGGTGTGTGTTGGATTGCACGCCAAGCACGATGACCTCTGCATTGCTGCCTGCAACTGATTGCAGCGTTCATTTGTTCACCTGCCACGTGCGTCCCCAGTCCAGCCCATGCCGGCGATCTCGGTTCCTGTATCCCGACCGCAAGTCGGGGTGTTCGGGATACAGGAATCTACCATCCCGACTTGTGGGGCGTGACTTAAAACACATCGGTTCCCCTCCAAACCACGTTCTCCTCGTTCGCAGGCAACCTGGCACTCTCTCTGCATCTACTTCCTGCCCGTATACTCCATGTCCAACCCCAATAAGGACGGCTTAACCTATGACTGGCAGATGGTGGGCGCAACAGTGTACACGGGCATCATTATGACGGTCAACCTCAAGGTGGGTGGTGACATCCTTTGCACCTTTGTCACGCCGATTGGTCGGGGAAGGCGCATGCGGGTACCAGCCATGCGGTCATCGGTTAAGGTGCAATCGTTTCGTCTCCTTCCTGATCCCCCTGCGTCGTTTGATAGCGCCGATTGAGCCAGTTGAGCGAAGAGGCTGCGGAAAGTTGTGCAGCCAGCAGCTATATTATACCGTGCTTGCGGCTACATTCGACTAGAGCTATACTCTCATCTATGCCTGCGCCGCACCCACATCGGCGCCCGCACCGTCGTCGGCCACTTCGTGGCATGGCGGGTGCATCCCTATCCCGCCACGTTTAGCCGGCTCACCTTTGGCAGCCCCCTGTCCTCCCCCATACACCCGTCGGCAGTTATTTCCTTTGCTCCTTGCACGTGATTCTTCCCAACCACATGTGCACAATGGATCGCAGATTGCCCTCCGCACCCGGTATTGGACCTGGATAAACCACGTCTGCATCTGGGCGTCCATTGCCCTCTGGTGGCCTTATGTTATCGGCTACTCGGCATTGTTTGAGGTGCGTGCAGCGTGTAAGGACTACCCTGGCCAGTCCCTGTCGCGAACAGAGAGCACGACAACGGCGATGGCGTGCGGCGTCAGTTCAGAGAGGACGCGACGGATCCTAAAAGGAATTTGGTTCCGAATAGGGACTTGTGTCGCGATCCTCATGGCCCAGTGTGTCCCGTAGGCCACGCTGGGCGTTGCTGTTACACATGAAAACTTCCTTCACCTGCTCCGTGTCAACCCAGCTAAGTCCCGACACCCACACCAAGGTCGGGAAGAACCACTACAGCGCCTGGCTTCTCTTAACTGCCCACTTTTCGTCCAGGAACATGCTTAGTCTCTTACCTGAGGGCCTTCTAGCAATTGTTGCCCACATGCACCCCGCTTTCCCTGCGTATTGTCCATCTGCGGCCCGTCGGATGCCCGCAGGTGGTGCCGGTGGCGGGTGCGGCTGACATGTCCGGGGTGGCCCTGGATATGATGGGCGGACCGCACTTCTGGCTGACGTCGATTATGCTAGTACCGGCCATCAGCCTGTTGCCCGATATCGCGCACATGGCCTTTCAGCGCACCTTCGCGCCCAAGCCGTTCCAGATCTACCAGGTGCGTCATCTTGGGTACAGCCGTGGTGGGCAAAGAAAGGGGGAGTCTGTTAAGCAGAAAGAAAGGAGGTCGAAGAGAGACAGGGGTAAGGCCGCCGCGTGTTGTGGCTGTCGCAATTGGGAGCACGTTTTGCCATGTGCGGTGGCGGCCAGTTTTGCCTTGCTTCGGATATGGCTTTGGCTTGAAATTGCCGAACTGGATGGTGCTGGCGCCCATACTCGATTACTCCAGACCGTTGGCAGGTAAAGCATACGAAAATATGCGCTGTTTGTAATGGGCATACATGGATCCATCGGGCGAATGGGGAGAGTGCGCTTGGCCGTACAACAAAGTCCCTATTAAGGGCTGCGCGGTTACCAATCTTGGGCGGGCCATTTAAGAGATAATACGTCGCTTAATAGGGGCTCCTTTCGTTCCTTTGCCGACTGAGATCTTGAGCTTGCGCAGCGTAATCCGTCGGCTTTTTAATGGCACTGGCTCTGGATAACCATCGCTCTGGATAAATGCAGCATGCTTAGGGCTGGCCCAGGTCGCCCTGGCCCTCTCGCTTGCTTCCCTCCTTTCGCCGACTCCCTACTCTCCTGGGACGCAGGGGAGTTGATTTCGGCCGGTTTTCCCTTGGGTGGTGAATCCGCAACCGTTTGTTTACCACATCACTCCGCGGGTGTTGTTGCCGCTGCTGTTCCCCCTACCGTTGCAACTACAGGAGATCGAATGGCTTCAGGAGCTGGCGCCAGAGACTTCACGCACGCTAGGGTTGTCAGTGCCGCAGCCGGACGACGGGACGGCTTGCGATCCCGGTGTGATGGAGCTCGGGGAGCAGAACACATAGGAGGCGTGCTGAGAACACGCAGCTGCGGTGGGAGAAGCGGTAGCGGCGACTATACCACATGTGGTGTATGCTGGCCGATGTGGACCAGTTTCCTTACAAGGCGCCAGGGCACAGCGTATGTTTTTCGACCCCGGACGGTGCTGAACTGTGTACTCCGAACTGTAGGAGACTGGGGCTGAGATTTTTGATGTGGGGACCTTGGGCGATCGGAGAGCCTGCGGTAATGCCCCATCCCTGATTGGGGCGAGCCGCAAATCGTTGCGTGTATAGGGAACAAGATCTTAATGTTTGGGAAATCTGAACTCGAGGCCTTGAAGAATTGCCAAAATGCTCAACGGGAAAATGTGGGCGTTGTGGGACCTAGCAAGACAAAGGGCTGCGTGACTCAGGAAGCACTGTAGGGTATTTGGGAGCTGTATGTGACAGGCGGCGTCAGGTGAGGCGCGGCAGCAGCAAGGTCCCCCATCGGAAACAGTATGTTTCCTGTTCGGGTCACGCAGCTGACGTGCCACGCCGTTTCTGAGAGGAAGTTCTCCTTGCTCGAGTGATGACAAGCACTATGTTGCTACGTATCGTATGCGCTTGATTTTTGCGTAGCCGCAAAGGTTGCTTATTGCATGACTGCATGGTGCGAAGGCTTGCCTTTGCATGCTGCGGTGAATGATCGTGAGTCGTTCAAGCTCATTCGGGTTCCGAACTCGCGTGATACTTTGTGTGCTCGTATTATGCACTCTGATGAGGGCGGGAATTTCGGAGGTGAACACCGGAGCGTGGATTGCACCTTCTCATTTTCTGATGCGGTCTTTCCTTATGCACGGCTAATGGAAATCTGGTGATCGCTCTCGTGCTTATGTACGACATTTCCCACGCCCCGGAGCGCCTGAAATGGGCTAAGCCGCAGAGTGATACATACGTCATGGCGCAGGTCCGTACAGACACGGGCTCTCTACCTTGAATCACCCTCCGCGTGTTTATTTTGATAGGACGTTTCGCTATAGCTCCGTGGCTTAAACTCTGTTCCGCAGTAACTTAGTCGCAGAAGAGCTATTTTCCTGGATCCTAGACGAACTTAGCTGGAGGGACAATGAGGGAAATGGATTAGTTCGATGCTCCTCTTTCTTCTTATTGGTAAATTTTCATTTAGGTTGACGGAGTTAGTCGTGGCTCTATTATTTTGACGGTTTTAGACGGTATGGTCCTCATTCTTGCGTTAAACAGCTTTCGTCGAGGGAGACCGGTAGTTTAGGTAATCCAGAAGGCCACAATTGGCTAACGTACGGGTTGATACGGGCGAGCACAGTGAGCATTTGCTCCACAGCGGTATGTGACTATCCCGCGCTGCCGGGGAAGATTGGTATCTGGGGCCTTACAGGGTCCCATTCGCCAGGTTGCAAGCTATTTGTATGCAACGCCAAGATAGCCATTTCCAGCCCACGAATCTGAAATGAAGCAAAGCATTACGGGCGCTTAAGGGCTCCCATGTGCTCGGTGGCAGGGGTAAGGATAGGGACCCCTCCAGAGGGCCCCGACTATTTCCCACTACTCTATCCTCCACTCACAGGCTAATCATGTACTCTTTTAATCGACATCAGCATCCGCCGCACGCGTACTCTCTGCTTCACCACGCAGCTGTTTCAAGGCAGCTGTCCGCTCTACAGGAACGAACGTCGCTAACACCCTAGCACCCAGGTGGATGTCCTCCAAAGGTTCTTTGGGAGAAATATTCGCCCATCCAAATCAACAACAATATGAGTTCATTTCTGCCTTGTTCGGCCTTTTGGGTTGCCAGGAAAAGCGAGACCGCTGGCCGCGTAACACGACACGTCACAACAAAAAAAATAAAAGTTTTGCAGGAATCCCGCCAAGGGTCGGGTAAGCGGCCGCTGCAGCTGGACATTGCAATCCTCGAGCTCCGGAAACATACTGCAATGCACGCAGGTCAAGGCTCCCCACCTCGGAGCCTGCTTGTAAGCACACACAGGCCGCGGTGCACAAAAAGTTCCCTCGCTACAGCCTTTGCCCATCCAGCAACCGAATCCCGTTTCCCTCCCTTTCTACGGAAGCACTAAGGCAATGGGTGCCCTGAGCACAGCAGCGACGGCCTCCCGGGACAATCGAAGGTTTACAGCTCTTCTTTCTCGCGCTGAAGCGTCTCCATGGCTAGCCCCCCATGACGGCCACGCCGTGTCAGTGGCTCGGCGCCGCCACCGCTGGCACTATGAATGCCGTCGCCGCACGCAGGCACCGGCGCGGCGGCTATTGTCGTGACGACGACTTCCTCCCCGCTCACAATACCGACCCCTGGAGCGCCTTCAGTCGGCGCGCCAGGAGCTTCGGCGTGTAGGGTGCTGCTTTCCTCTTCGACGCCAGCACCGGCTCCTCTTCCGCCCCTTTCCATCGCGGACGTTCTCGCCCCTGGGGCCCTATTGTACGTACCTGGCTCAACCGGCGTCGCCTGGATGCCGCTACCGGAATGCGTATCCACACCGGCAGTGGCCTCCGACGCACCGCAAGCGCCGGTCGCCTTGTCGGCGTGCGGTTCTGCAGGCTTGCCGGTATCTTCCTTGTTTAGGTCAGCAGCGCTACCGGCTGCGGTCGCATCTGCATCACCGTTGCCTCTCGCCTGGATCGCTTTATCCCCCATGTATTTTTCCAGCATTCGCAACAGGAAAGGAGTCATAAGTTCCACGTGGTAAAAGTCCGCCTTGTACGTCTCCACATCCTGCGACGCTCGGGTGAAGCACGAAAAAAAAGGCAAACAGACGTAACAGTACTTATAGCGGCGCGCATGGCATGGAGAGGCCCCCACCTCGCGAGCACTTACCGTGCCGTTAAGGAAGAGCTTCAGGGTTGGGGTGCGATCCACTCCCAGGCGCTCGCACATGTCTTCGTCTTGCATACAGTCAAATCTGCGCCACACGCCCGTCCGATACCACCTTGTCAGTCGTGCTCTCAGCCGGCTACCATGTTGCAACCGAGCGGCGTACAGACGAAATGTGCGACGTGTTTTTGCCATGCCCGGTCATGAGATTGCGGGCGCATGGCTCCTTTGCAGTTTATCTACATAACGTGTACAAAATGTACGTGTACAAGTTGTAGGTGGCTGTGCATTGTGCATTGTGCCTATGTTCGAGGCCTCACGCCGATTTCTGGGATATGCAGCGGTACCTGGCAATGGCGACGTTCTTATTCGACATAAAGGTCTGTGCCAGCTCGTCGTACTGGCCTACCATACGCTTGCAACCGCGGCACCAGGGCACATAGAACTTGACAAACCATAACCTGCGTGAGTCCGCATGGGGTCAGCAAATATTGAGCAGCATGCGATGTCTTAACACGAGTCTCGCCGAAGGGCGTTTGCCTTTCACAAGGACGGTTGCCTTGTTGAGCGATGCTCGTGCAGCGTCAGCCAAGGCCATGCGACCCGCGGGTCGGACAGAACGCTGCGGATGAAGCTGGCCCAGCAACGAGCAATGGCAAGTCCTCACGCTCCTCTGCGCTCAGCATGATTTTTCTTACGTCACCGCTTGCACCTGCCATCTCCAACAGAGCCGCGGAATGTCCAGATGTTTAGCTCCGTGACAACGGAGCTCGGCGGCATCACTTGTGGGTTGGATGGTGGTACTGAATCAACCAGCTTAGCTGTCACGCCTAGGATGAGGAAGATAAGCCATTTGTAGCGGACGGTCATTTTTGCAACGATGGACCTCGTTTTTGCGAGAATATGTTTGATGATGCTATATAGAGCAGACATCCATCCTGCGTGTCGGAGAGCATGGGGCTGAAAAACATTGGTCTCGGAGCTCCAATGCAATTCTGACACGGAGCAAGCTTTTTGCCTAAAACAACATTCTGCATCTTTAGGTCGTATTGCCCGCTGCGTTGGGTCTCTGACCTTAGCGTACTTTCCACCAGATAGGCTCGGAGAACTTTGGACGGTTGTCGTTCACTTTGCAGTTTGCGTCACCTGCACAAGCGTATCTTGGTGTACATTTACCATTTGTGTAGATTTCGTGTAGCTGCATTGGCGAACATCAACGCCTGTACAAAGCGTTTGACTAGGCGAGGGCCCCGTCCTTAAGGCAACGAAGAGAGAGCAAGCTCCCAGTCTTACCGTGTGTATTCTACTGGAGCCACTATCTTATAATTAGGCTTCGATATGGAAGCGCTACACGCACGTTCTTTTGCCTCGCTAGGCCAGTGCCAGTGGCGCGCGCGGCCACTGGCGGCGATGCCTCATCGACGAGCTTCCCATGTGGTGTTGTCTCTTAACTCTGGCGTGGTTGCGGCAGCGACCGTCGCGGGCGCTACATTGCCTTTAGGCACCGCAACGGCGACTCCAGTGAAAACGGAGCGCGCTGTATGCGAACTCGACCCGAAGAGCTTCTATGACTTTATATCGTGTGATGACCTCTGCGTCGTCGACTACTACACAGGTCGGTGCGTTGGCGACTAGGGTGACGTCCAATCAGCGGCCTGGCTGTCGTGTCTCCAGCATCGGCTCCTTTTTAGCATGTCAGCGCTAGAATGCGTGTGTGAAAAATGCCTGGCGTCACGGATTCACCTGCACCGCTGATGATGTCTAAAAGCAAATGTACCTGACTTCGGTGTGGCGCAGACTGGTGCGGTCCCTGCCAAGTGATGCATAAGGAGCTCGACAAGATGACGGCAGCTTTTAAGGTGAACAGACATGTCGGAGTTTGCGTCTGGTTGACGTCGGATTTCCCGTGGCATGCAAGGACAGAGCGCAAACTTGGCAACGCGTTAGACAATAAATTCAGCGGTGGAATCTAGGAAGAAATCTTTAGTTGCTTGGTCAACCAATCCAACGGAGAAGTGACACTTCGGAACTAAATTAAGAACTAAATTAAACGTTGTGACAGGGAAGGTGCAAGTGTGCGACTGCTGGCGTCCTAGTGCAGCTGGAGTATGCTGAAACTGCCAGAGGGTGAAATTTATCCTGGTGACGGCTGGCTCGCCTTGTGATATATGTGGGTTACACATCGTACCTGGCCCTTGACTGCCGCCAACTTCGCTTCGCCAGGGTGTCAAGTTCGCAAAATTGAACTGCGGAAACTGCCAGGATTTCAGCACCCGTCAGCGCATCCGCGCCTTGCCTACGTTCCGTCTGTACTACAAGGGTACCTGCCTGGATGAGGTTACAGGGGCCAAGCCAATGCAGCTGCGGCAGCTGCTCACGCACTACCTGTGTATGACGACCATCGCGCCATAATTGCAACGTCGTTGATGGATGCATTGCAATACAAGTAAAGGTTTTGTGTCACGTGGCTTGCCATCGCTGGTGCTTAAACCATAGGTGAAGGTTCATTTCGTGTCTTTCCTCGGTCCTAGGGAAGCTGCCGACATGGCGGCGATTGTGTTGTGTTCGAATACAAATTTTCGGTTTTTTTGCGGCCATCAAGCCTTATGCCTTGACCGTTATCGTTGCTGTGTTGACTGCCTTAGCTGCAATCATCTTGGTTATTATGGAGGCGCCTAGTCGCTTTTCCGAAGTTGTGTATGCTCAGCTTACGTGTTGTAGCATTGACTTCGCGGGCTCCTACTCCAATACACGATTGCAAGCTCCGACGCGTTCGACTTGTCGTTGGAACGGTCAAAGGTGAAGGTGAGCTGACGCAGGTCATGCCGGGTGCCTGGGCCGAAGAATGTGCCGTATTTTGCGCTGTGCTGAAGGTGTTTTCATGATTTGATGATCCTTAAGCGTTGATGTGCACGTTGTCCTCATATGTGTTGTCTCCCTGCTGTCCTATCAAACCTATCGCGGCCTTTTAGAACTCCGCCGAGCTAAACCGACGACGAACTCTTCAAGCAGAGGTGGTCAGGCAATCGAAGTGGAATAGCAGCGTGAGGGTTTTGAACTGCAAAATGGCGCATCTATTTCGTCCTCATGTTTGGAGCCGTGATGTTAGGTGGTCGGTTAGGTCTGTTGGAAGTATGCAGGCGGAGTTTGGTGCTCATTTGCATGGTTTATGCAGCTGGTTGCTGTTGTGGTGGGTGGGCTCTCGGCTAGTACTGCAACCGTGTGCTAGGTTGTACGGTGTCGAGCAGAAAACAAGCGGCCGTCGGAAATTGGTAGCTGCGAATGAAAATTCAGGTCGACGACGCTTTGAAAAGTGCTGTCCATATGCGTGGTGGATGAAATGGAAGCTGATGAAAAGATACCTGGCATGGAAGACGTTAATTTTAGACGATGGAGAAGGGACAGTGAGGCGATGTCGAGGTGACGCTTGCCATCTAGCAGCGTTGCTGCACGGCCTATTTGGTGTACGTGCTTTCCTAAGCTTTATGGCCAATGTGCGAGGGAGGTGTCGTGTTGTGAGAGTATGTCAAATGCTTTGTGGTGGAGGTGATGAAATGATGTTCGCTTGGTTTGTCAAGAGGCTGCTTTGCCCGCGCTCGGGCGTTGGAACGCACTGCTCATGTACTCTGCGGGTGTGTATGCATATCGTCTGATCCTGCCATGGCTCGCCTTGCTCTTTGGGCACGCCATCTGACGGAGGAACGTTTGGGGTTCGGCCAAGGAGTACGTCCCATGTGTATCCATGGTGTTTGCCGTCAAGAAATCCATGTTATGTGGGTCGTAGGTGATTTGAGTCGAGCTATTGGAATAGAAGACTTGTTATGATGCTTAGAAAGTCGACCCGCCGTTAATGTTGATGTAGATATGGTGTTCTGCATGCTTGGATTAGGTAAAATATTGTATAGACTGGTGCTGTCTGCTGTATCTGCCACCATCGTGCCGATTGGACAGCGTATTACCGGTGCTTCATTTGGAGACAGGGATGCGCTCTGAGTCGTGCATATCTGACGATTTTCATTAATTGGATTCTTCTCGATTGTCTCAGTTTGAAACGTGTTTTTGGAGAGAAGGCGGATATTTTGTTGTATTTTACATCGGTACGCTACATTGAAAGTACGAAAACACAACGTGGTGTTGAAAGCAACATGGTGCTCAAAAATTGGCCAACAGCATGACGTGTGTAATAAATAGAATTCGAATTACTGCATTGCATCTGCACTATTCCGAATATCACGACCCACTTACGTACCAACTACGTATGCGGTGAATTTGAGACAGAAAGGTTATACGATTACCGTCACACCTCAATAACCTTACACTACAGCGCCCGCTCCATACCACATGACGAGCTGTATAATTCCAATATCCAACAACATTGACATCCAATGCACGTGATCCGTTGATTTCGATTAGCTAAACAAACGCTCATCGCGTACAATGTCATATAGTAGCCTTCAACACCATTCAACTGAAGAAAACTCCCGTGTCCGACACATCAAAATTGACACGGTCATCCTGAACGATGCGCCGCTCCATTAGCTCCTTCACCGTCACCATGGCAGGGTAGCCCCCAAGCTCGCACACAATTCGCTCCGCACCCGGAAAGGCCTGTGGAGAGTACCACCGTGGCGGGTGCCACACAGGCTCGCCGATAAGCAGGCGATCAGGCTCCGCAGATTCGCTAGCTGGGGAGGAAGTTTAGCGATAAAATCCGTGCACGTGCAGGATACTGGATAGCGCTCTTGGGTGCTGTAAAGTGTGCTCGTGTTCACAGTATTTCCTCCGGCAGGTATGGTGGGTAAACTTCGAGGAGGCCAAATAACATGCTCGATGCAGCCAACATTTCTCGCCACCGGGCCAATACCTCGCCTGCATTGGATCAACCCTTTGTGGCATTCAGCCATAGTAAGGCCAGTGGGCTTAATCTCGGCTCCATCCCCACCAGTTTGCCCGCAGCATGCCTCCCACATGCCATGTTCACGCCCACACAGGCACGCCAGTCATGAGCTGCTTAATGGTCACGTTGACATGTGCGCCGTCGCCCAGCTCCGGAACCACGAGCTCGGCCCCGTAAAACTCCTGGAGAGCGGAGGTTGCCGTCCGAAGCACCGAGCTCAGGGGCTTGATGCTGCCTATACCTGGCTGGCATTGGCGTACCTAGGGATTCCATAAATGGCTAAGCTGTTCTGATAGGCGAACAGATATGCCATGCCTGCTGTTGAGGCTAGCTACAACAGACATGCATCCTTTCGCCGTGGTTACAGGCATTGTATCGCCTAAGCATTGAAGGCCCGATCCCCACAGGCTTAGTGGTGTGAACTGATAGAACAGGTACTGTATTCCTACGACAGTGGCTCTTCCGCCCTCAGACACCCACCCACCTGCGACTTGGTGGATGGCGTGTAGGTGATGATGCACCGCATGCCTGCGCCTGTGGCCGCCTGCATTGCATCGGTCCAACAAAAGCGAAAACAATTTAGCGCATATCAAGCCCCAGCCGCTGCAAAGCCGTTTCCGAAAAATACACGACAACAGCTCTAGCAATTACGAGAGAATTGGATGAGATCATCAGCTTCTCATTGGGCAACTATCTTGCCCGGAGCGGGCCAGGAAAGGCACATCGTCGGGTAATGCCCACTGGGGCACATACCACAATCATTCACACCATCCCGTCATGGAACCCTCCGCTCCGCCCACCCCTAGCTATACCTGCAGACCAATCATGCTGTCTTCTACCACCACGCACTCCGCGGGGTCGAGCCCCAGACGCTCCGCCGCCACTTTGTAGATCTTCGGGTCCGGTTTCTTCTTGTCCACGTCATCACCTGCCGAGGTGCGGCGCGTAAGTTCCTGGTATCCGATCAGTACTTAAGCCCTCGGGCCTCATCTGCTCGTTACCCATTACTACTACGAGCACAAACGTGAATTTCGCACAATCACCTGCTAGGAAACAGTCAAGGCCCTGAAAGCGCCCCTCGCCCAGCAGATTTTTTAAAGTAAACACTACGCTGGACTTGGTGGCTGCTGAACAGACGGCCAACTTGAGGCCAGCGGCACGGGCCTCGTCCATTAGACGTAGCACGCCGGGGCGAGGCTCCACTTCACCGCTCCTGCGCATGCCGGTGAGTTCACAATGGCTACCTTGCTTACTATCAGAATGCTTACCAAAAAATGTATGGAGGATGATGCGAAGGACGGAATTTCTCCAGCGGACCTCTCTTTACAAATAGTAGCAGGACACCGGCGAATTATACCCCAATGCGATTAATCACACCATGCATGGCATCGGTTGGCCAAAAGCAGAGGAACCAAGTAGCAAGCCAAAGGAAAACTGTTATACATATCCAACGTTACTTGCCTCCTTTCACCAGCGGATAATGTTGGCATGACATATTGCAACCTTTCCGTACAAGTACACGTTCCTATGCTAGAAGGGCTCCCGCTCCCGGCCCACTCGCACGGGAAAAAAAGGCTCACCCAATCATTTGCTGATACTTCTCCGTTTTCCAGTCCTGCACCAATTTCGGACACGGGCAAAACCAGGTTAACGCCAACTGTCGCCTGTCTGCAGTAAGCGTTTGGGTCTCCGACTTATGCCCACGCGTGGCGCAATGTGGCGCAGTGTACGACAGACACAATAGCGAAAGATTTGTGCGGAGAATGTCCCTAGCATTCTCCCTTGCGACGACGGCCACATGCACTATGGAGTTACGCGGGTGACATGGCTGCGATGCACTTATACGTGGACAGATGACAAAGCCCCGATAAGCAGCGACATGGCAAAGGTGTGCTTGTTGTGCTGCCAATATGCCTCGCCTTAATTCGTCCGCATCATAACAAGCGTAGCTGAAGCGAACCTGTAGCGTGTCAACCAGTCGCGCTTGCTCTTCCTCACTTGCAGGCACCCGGCCATCCAGCACACTGCTGGTGGGCCAGCCGTTGCGCTTAAAGAACCAGCGCATCTTCGGTTTGCCCCCGCCCACCTGCAGAATGCGCAATCGAATCAAAAAAGCCGATCCTAGACCTCCGAGGGAAAACCAGCCCCAGCTATAGGGAGGCCTTCAGCCATAATAGTAGCCATTTCGCGTTCTCGGAACCCAATATCCCCCTCGTATTTTGCTCGGAGGGCCCCATAGGCTGGGCGTTCAACATAGACATGCAGCTTGTATGCGGGTACGAGCAGTGTCAGTTTGACAAGAACAGGTCATTAACAATAAGGGCAACGGAGCTTTGCCAAATGGCACCTACAGTGTTTTGGAGCATGTCGTAAAAGGATTCATCCCAGTCGACGTAGCCCTGCTCGCCGCCTGTGTTGGACAGCAAGGACGTCACCACGGTATGGATTTCGCAAAGCTCCATAACCCTGGCTTTGGACTCAAGTCGTTAATGTCTCGCCCACGTAGCAATCCCCCTCGAATACATTAAGCTACCTCAAGGAAGACTGGGTTCCAGTAACTGGGATATACGTCTCCCTAGCCTTAACCTTCAGAAACGCGCTTTGTGGAGGTTGCGTGCCTTGCCCGATGATTCCCAAACTTTATACTTGGGACGATCAACTTACCGCACTTTACTTTGAAGTGCTTAAAGGTGGCATTGTATGCCCGTCTGTGTAGGTCCTCAGACTCAAGGATGACACCATCACAATCGAATATCAACGCTTTCATAGCTGCATGTGTGACCACTGAATAAGACCGTTGAGACACTTTCACTGCCATGCGGCGTCCTGGGATCGCCCTGTATCATTGCAACAACATCCTTATCCACTTGGGTGCGCTTCCCAACAGAAACTTTCAGTATGCCAGAATGAGGAACCAGCTGTAATACAAATACACACAAATCTCCTGCAAAAGCCGCACCTCGTTGAGGAAAGCCCGGATGTCACACGTTGGCGCATCGTGAGGGCCATAGTCTTAGAAAATATGCGCACCCGTAACTAACCACTGTCAGGATATCAACTTTAGGATGGTTGATGCTGGGAGAGCCATAGCGCAAAGCATGGGCACAGTGTCGTACTACTTCCCCAAAATCCTGAACTGGTGAATGCCAGAGCAGAGGCAGTGGACAAGCTGCTTTCCAATCATATCCAATGCAGTTATGCATGATAGTATGACTGATTACCCTTTCACTGGTAACCTGATGTTGAAACTCAAAATTTTGACTTTTTGACAGCTCTAGAGATCACCATCAAGAACGCAGCTTGCAAGCTTTGAAATGGATTTACGGCGAGCCAGCCGGATACCTGGGATTGGGAACAAAGGAGGAGGAGCTGGGAGCGGGACGGCTGATGTGAAACCTTTAGAGAGCAGCAAAGTAAGAGGCTTTGCGCTATCGCTTAACGTTGCGCATCCTTGATGTAAGCTCCCATCGTGCCACTTGGCGTCTACTGAGATAATCACCGGTGGCTTCCTGCACAGTTGGTGAACGCGTCTGCGGGCATCGGGGAACGGAAGCGCAAGGCCGATGCGATGCTGCAATCCGATGCCGCTCCGGACGCGAAGCGGCCGACGTTTTCGATGGGTCAGGGTGGGCAACGCCCGTCTCGTTCAAACACGACAACGGGTGCAGCTGCCGGTCGGGCAACGACACTGCAACAGGCAACATCAGCGCGGACTGCCCCCACTCAGTTGCAGCCTGTCAGCGAAATAGCACCTGCCGTGGAGGAACTTTGGGAGGATATCATCGGCCGGACGGGCCAAACTGCTGACGACGTTCTGAATAAAAAAATGTCGTTCCCGAAAAACACTAAGCCAGAACGCAAGGTGGAGGCATTCGTCCCGGTGGTCAAGGAGCTCAAGTGGGTCCATACATGCGCGTGAAGAGTCGCACGCCCTTTGTTAGTCATGACTCGTGTGGCATCGTGTGTTCACCTCCTATGTTCACCCAAGGATCCCCTCTGGTAGGCGCCTGCTTCACACAACCCGACTCTTCCCTCGCTGCCAAACGGGTCTGACAAGCATGCATAGCATGAAGCCACTGTCGCCACGCTGTCGAACCACCATCCGATTTGTGACCCAGTCGTTTGCGCTTGAACCCCTGATTAGGGCCTTGGGCCGGTACCTGACCCTCGCCAACCAACGCTTAGAAATGGATGTTGAGCAATGGAAGGTCCATAGCGCGCAGCTGTCTCAGCAGTTGGAGGAAAATGAACGCCAGTGGAATATAAAGCAGCAGGAGGTCGATAAGAAGATGCAGGAGATCGGCGAGCTCCTTGAGCTACAGGTGTGTAGACCGTCACGGTGTGAGCCGCTACACGTGCGTATCCTGACGTTCACCTGCTGGGTTGCCTGCCTTGAGCCATCCCTGTCAGGACCGAGAGGCTTAGCAGCTTCTATGTATGAACATCTGCGCCTGCATGGCGGTTTGCAGGTCCAAGAAACCAATAAGCTACAAGAGCAGCTTGCGGAGAAGGGAGCCATGGTCGTAGCCAAAGAGGCCGCTTGTTCGGCCCTCCAGCTTGAACTGGACGGCGTCAACGCGGAATTAGCACGTACCAATAAGAACCTGGAGGAGGCGAACATGAAGGTGCAGTCATGCATTCCTGCAGGAGTGAAGTGCATGCTGCAGTTTGCATGTGTACGGACTTGAAACATGTGAAACGCCCGGACTGCTTCGGTCTGCCGATATATTCCCCGGAACGTGCAGATTCAAAAGATGGAGGAGAGCGCGCTTAACAACCAGCAGTACATGGCCACGTTGCACACGTACAACACCAGCCTTCAGGCAGATGTCAGGGCCGAGCAAGCTCGGTGTGAAGAATTGCAGCGCACCAAGGATGAGCTGGCGGGGCACTTGGCGGAGCTTGGCGGCAAAATGCGCAGTCTTGAACAGATGCTGGCGTACGAGCGAGTACGTGTCGCATGAGTAATGTTAGGACTGGTGATGCCATGATCTAGGTTGCACGTTCTTCACCATGCACTATGCGCAGATAAGCTTGCGGAGAGTCATGGACTCCTAAGTCGCTGTGGTTGCGTTAGGAGGGGTTAGGATGATGAGCGCCCGTTAATGTTCTGCGATTGGACAAGGTGTCATTAGCCTATCTCCTGCATGGTTGCGCTTTCTTGTCACCTGACTTTCAGGAGCAACTCACGAAGCTGCGCGAGGAGCGCGAGGTCAGTGCACGCGATACCGCCGTGCTGCGTGCAGACCTCGAGGACATGCGGCTGCAACGCGAGCGCGCCTTGACGGATGCCAGCAAAGCCAAGGAGGACCTTGAGCGGTGCGCCTTGATGCAATAAACATACGGGATTTGTTGAGCTACGTCGCCCTGGAGGCCATATTATGCAAGCAGCCATGTTTCGAGGTGCTGCATAGGAGGGCCACAGCATGAAACTAAGTGAATCTTGTATAACCCTAGGAAATGCCAACGCACATGCAATTGTCATGATTTGCAGGCTTCGTGCGGCTGGTGGAAAGAGCTTGGAGGCCCTGGAGACGCTGAACAACGATAAGGCCACCATGGAGGCCCAATTGTCTATGCAGGTCTGGCCGTCTCCCGCTGATCTAAACATCGCTTTTGGTGCAGCACCAGACGTCTTGCTTTCATGCATTTATTCCCCAGGATGCCCTTAAATGACGATCCATGTGTGCGTTCATATTGCCCCTGTCTCCCAGCGCAAGTTAATCGCCTCGATGAGCGAGGAATTGGCTGGCGCAAAGGAGGGCCGTGCCATGGCAGAAGCATTGGCAGAGACCCGTGCTGTCCAGCTTGCTGAGAACAAGGCAAGTATTAAAGTTGGGAAGCTGTGTAGCGAAAAAGGCTGGGAATCCGCTTGGAAGTTTTAAATGCAAGGTGTTCCTTTTCCAGGCGGAAATCGAGAACCTCCAAGCGTCATTAATGGACGCAGAGCGCCGCAATTATGAGGGCGAGCTTATTCGCCGAAAGCTCCATAACATCATCCAGGTAAGTCATCATGCATGTTAGCTGTGTGGTGATCTTTCCAGCGCCTTGACTTGGTCTTACACGCCTCTGATGAAATGTTGCTCCTCAGGATTTGAAGGGCAACATCAGGGTTTATTGCCGGGTGCGGCCCGTGAGCTCTGCGGAGGCATCTGACAAAGCCCATGACTCGGGCATGGCCCTGGACTTCCCTACGGATGGCGACCTCCTTGGCCGCGGACTGAGCGTCGCCGTGACTAGCGGGCAGTCGACGCAGGTGAGTTACTTTTCAAAGCGAATCGAATAATTTCTGTTCCGCTCGAAATGCTGGCCTTGATTGTCCTCCTGCAGAAGCACACATTTGCCTTCGATCGGGTCTTCAGCCCCGGCACGACGCAAGAAAACGTCTTTGATGAGCTTTCCGAGCTTGTGCAGAGTGCGCTGGATGGCCACAAGGTGTGGCGTTTAATTGGGGGTGGATATCTTGAAGCATGGATTGACGCACAGTGCTCGCTTCGCGACCGGAATGCTACATATCCCGCGCCACATCCCGTCCCCTGTGCCTCGAGCTCCTTGCTTGGCATGTTACCGCTGATGGGCGGCTTTCGAAGAAACGAAGGAGAAATAAAATTTGAGGGCTCCAGAATTTAATTGAACATTCCTACGCACAGGTCTGCATCTTCGCTTATGGGCAGACCGGGAGCGGTAAGACGTTCACGATGCTTGGCAGCCGCGATCACCCCGGCGTAATCCCACGAGCCATGCAACAAATCTTCCAGAGTGGCCAGAAGCTTGCGGCTCAGGATTGGCAGTTCAAAATGCAGGTAAGTCTCGTAGCTTTCCAAGTTTTCCGTATGCATACTGATACGGCCTGGAGTAATGAGAAATTGATGCATAGGCCATGCCGGCAAGTGTGTATTCGATCAGCCCTTTTGGTACCTGCGTGTTCAGGCGAGCATGCTTGAGATCTATAACGAGGAGATCCGCGACCTGCTGGTGCGCCGTAAGGAGGACAAGAAGCATCAGGTGTGGAACACCGGAGGATGGTTGTTTAAATAAACCTTGAGTTGTTGTCTTGCAGTCCATGTAAACGTTGCCTCCTTATCTGATTAACCCCAAAACGGAACTCACCGCTTCAGGTCAGCCACGACACCAACGGCGTAACTACCGTGAGCGATCTCACGGTGGTGGACGTGAACAAGCCGGAAGCAGTGGAGCAGCTACTTGCCCAGGCAATGGAGAAGCGGTACGCATCAAGGACAGTGCGTTACTTGGGTTTGGGATTTGCGCTGGGAACGCGTCATCAGGTAAATCTAAGTCTCGTATTACGCATGTTAAGCTGTTTCGTTATGTGGCCTTGTAGGTCGGTTGGCTGTACAGCGCTCAACGAGCAGTCTTCGCGGAGTCACATGGTCTTTATGATGCGCATCGAGGGGCACAACACCATCACAGACGCAAAAGTAAGTCGTCGCCCATGCCCTTGCGTAGCCCTAAATGCGACTGCAGGAATACCATGGAAGATCTAAAGTGACAACACCCTCGCATGCCCATGTTGGAACAGGTCTCAGGCGTGCTCAACCTCATTGACCTGGCTGGCTCGGAGCGAGTCAAGGAGAGCGGAGCCGTCGGCCAACGGCTGGAGGAGGCGAAGGCGATCAACAAGAGCTTGAGCGCTCTGGGTAAGGCACGGATGGGAATGTGGGTTGCGTCATAGTACCTGGTCCTACAGCTGGGTTCATGCTCAAGTGATGCCTGCTGCTAAGATAACTAGAAATGCCGTCCCGTACAGGCGACGTGATCGCGGCCCTCGCGAACAAGCAGGAGCACGTTCCGTTCCGCAATTCGAAGCTCACTTATCTTCTCCAGCCATGCCTGGGCGGCGAGTCGAAGACCCTGATGTTCCTCAACGTCGCGCCAACGCGCGAGTTCGCCAACGAGTCCCTTTGTTCCTTGCGCTTCGGTTCAAAGGTCAACGCCTGTGAGATCAATGTGCCAAAGAAGAAGAACGTGATGGTGCCCCGCGCGTAATCGTCGCGTTCCATGTTACTACGCATGGGCCGCCCAGCCGCTTGAGTTGACGGAATGTGTCTGTTGCGGATTCCTCCTTGACCATGACTCGTCTTGCTGGCCAGCGCCAGGTTCGCTTTGAGGATGCTGAGATATTTAAGTCCACCCGACTTACTATCATTGCACACTTCGGTAAATTTTCATTGATGACGATGCTTCAAAGGACGTGTTTGAGAGGCAGGTCTTTCCAGTAATGTCATGCCTGAAAACATGAACGCGGAGACGACGGGTAATGGATATGAAGAAGCAGACGTCTAGCATGCATCAGGAAGAATGAGGCCGTGCAATCATCGGGTTCATCCGCCGACGGAAGCCTGAAGAGGCAAACGTACTGGTTGGCTAGACGGCATGTCCGGGTTGAAACTCACAAGCCGACTTGCATGGACTCATCTGAAAGTCCACACTAATTGGCCTTGGGGTCTCATGAGCCCTCAGACTTGTGTAAGAGCTATTTAAGAGTAAATCACATGGCCTCACAGGAATCGCGCTGTAGGAACACACATGGAATCGGTGCTCAATCCGTGGTCATTTAGGAAAGATGGTTCGGTTTACAAACGAACGACGAGATCGTCAGCGCATATGTCACACAGCCCTGTCGGAGCTGAGCTGCAAGTAACCTCATTGGACCAAGGGGTCTGGCAGCAAGGGTGAAGGTGGGGAAACGTAGCTCACCGGTATTAGCCATGGGACCTAAAGCCCAATTGAATCCAATCTCATGACTGCGCACGGGGGCCATAGAACTGGAAGCAAACTTTTGTGAAGAGCAAATTGGTCTCATCGGTGCTTCATAAGCAAACGCACATGCACCTGAGGTTAACGCTGTAGCCGAATGTCAATAGAGCACCCCGTCGCAGAATGCGAAGAAAGACGTTCCCTATGACCCAGCTCCCGCCGTCCGTGTGCATGCTTTCCTCCTGCTGCCGCCGTACGGCTTCGAACACCAAAATCGCCTGTCATCCATCACTGTGTTCAGGGAAGTGGTCTGTCTTCGCTCTGCCGGACCACCCTTAACCCACAGGAATAAATAACGAACTGCCGCAAGCTTTAACTGCCCATGCGGTCCTATTGCCCACGGTACACAATTCATTCAAAAGAGCCTGAACGGAAGTTGACGGGTGGCGCGCGCACACCTGGCAGTGCTCATTATGCAAACGCTTCCAATTTCGTTTGCATTTTTCGTTGCATTCCGCTGCTGAGGAAACATTAAATCCCCAGAATGCCGGCGCAGGCCGGCATGGCAAACTGTCAGGACCCAGCTTGGCCTACCGGCCGTAAAATGCATCGGCGAAGCATTGCTGACACGCCCACATGTTGTGCGATTAGCTCTCTGGGGAGGCATTTATCTGAGGGAAGCAAAAGAACACGACGAATCTAACGGGACACAAGAAACAACCAAACCCATGCCTGCCAGCGTACCAATGTGTTACGATACACACCTCATCCGCATGCCGCATTCGCCAACACCGCAACAACGGCATTCAGGCAATAACCCAGCGGTACAAGCCAAATCAAAACACAGGACTAAATCAGTGCACTAGGCCTTGACTAGGCCCCCCGGACCTTCTGAAGCTCGACCAACCTAGGCATCTCATTTGGCGCTTGCATGGACTTACTGGCCATGATATGGTTAGGCACTTTACTTCCCACTGACGTGTACTAGCTTTCTAGCTAGGTGCTGCAGCCAGGATCCTTACGTTGATGAAGCCTTAAGTGCGTCGATTAAGAGAGAAAACGCAACTATGGCCTTACTCCGCTAATTGTCCGCCGATAGAGAGAACCCATTCCACCTCGCCCACCGCCCTGAGGCGAGGGCTAGACCGATTTCTGGTCCAGTCACGACCATGCAGTTGCAGAGGCGGCGCGCCTTCCCAATATTGTAGCCAACCCACTCGAACCGCTGACATCCGAGTGCAACACATTCACCACTGTCTGGTAGTCTTACTACTGCTGCTGTCTGCTGTTCCATCTGCGCTCATGACCGCCGCAACAAACCCGAAACCGCTCGCTGAAAGCACATCATCCCAGAGCGCAGTTTGCCTGCCCAAGCCCTCTCCGACCTCCAACCAGGCTTGTGCCCAATCTTTGGTCTCTTTTGCTGTATACCTGCAAGATGTTTCTTTCTCCGTACCACAAGCGCAGCACAAAGTAACGACTAAGATGCTGGCTGCCTACAGCCAAGGTTTTGTTGGAGAAACAAACAATGACGATGTTCCTGACATGATGACTCGTACAGTCCGCAAAATCGCTGAGGGCATTCTGGAAGCTCCTAGAGACCTCAAGCTCCGATCACGTTCGCTCTACTCACGACCTAATAATAACGGCCAATAGGCCGAGCCACCGTCTAATCACCCCTACAATCTAAGAAACCCACCAAAAAGCCATCAACCGTGGCCAAGCTTGTAATAAATAATGACAGACAACAAAACACGTTAACCGCGCACTCTCGTGCAGAACGCGGCCTGAAAACACGACGCCAAAAAAAACAACCGCCAGTCAAGCTATCAGCATAGCCCACCCGCTGGTGCCCATGACCGTCCGTCACGGTTGTACGGATGTAAGCGAGCAGCCAGCGCAACCCCCCTCCCCGTATCCCGGCGGCTAGAAGCTGAAAGGGTCCGGACGGAAAACGTCACGGAAAACGTCGGTGTCCTCTGTCCTGTGAAGACGTCGAATTCCCACACGAGGGGCATGGAGGTGCGCATCCCTCGCATCCATCGACGGCCTGTGAAGAATAATTATAGTATACGGCAGCTTAGCGCACAGCAGCACAGTGCTTTGGGGACCGTAATATTCCTGATCGAAATCTCACTTATAGGAACCTAGGCGCGGCTCGGCCCCCCGCTGCCATTCGTGCTGCCGGCGCCGCCACCGCTGCCATTCGTGCTGCCGCTGCCGCTGGCATTGCCACCTCCGTTGCCGCCTGCAACGACCCCCTTCATTCCTACAAAACTCTGTGACGTCCGCATCAAGCCACTACCGCCAGCCCCACCAGCGCCGCTATTGTTGCTGCTACCAGCCCCTCCCGGCGCTGTTGTCACCGTCATGGCGGCGGCCGCCGCGGCCGCCGCCGCCGCCGCCCGTACCTTGGCAGCGGTGCCGTTCATTATCGGCAGCGGAGGATGAGGAAGCAGCGGCGACGAAGTTAACGAGGCTGCGGCGGCGCTGCCGCGGCTGACACCGTTGCAGCTGCCTTCCTGCTGTGGCCGATCGGTAAAAACCGGAGACGTGTGCCCCATGCGATCGATGCGCTCTGCAGAGCCCGCCCGGCGCGCTAGAAGCTCTAATTGCGCAGCCCGACTGGCAAAGTTGAGAGAGGAGACGGTTTCGGAGGCGGACGTGGCCTCGGGCGCAATATTACAGAGCAACAGGATCTGAAGATCGGGAGTTCAGGGCCAGAGGGTAGGTAGTAAAGGAATGTGTGTACGTGTGGCGAGGTGTGGCGGTTGCAAAAATGCCGGTTTCAGCGGGTACATAGCCAAGACGTGAAATACGTGCGGCATATGGTGTTGCGGTGCGTCACGGCCGTGTGTGGGGTGGAAGTCGTAGGGCAGGCAGGAAGACAAGGGCAGCGCGGCGGGTAGGCTCCCCCACAACCTTCCCGTCCTGCCCTTCCCTGGCAAAACACTGCCTTGCCGCCCTGGGCTCGGCAACCAACTTGTCGGCTCAATTGCATTGCCGTTTTACAGCCTTTTCTCTCCCACAGCACACCACGCACACGCGCCCGTCCCAGCCTCGGATGTTAAAGCATATACGACACACACACACACAGAACAAAACATTCAGGTGTAGGTTTGTCTACCCACAGCGCCCGTCATCACTTCACTTGGCAAGGCTCAATGAAAGGCAAGGAAAGGCGCCCGCTTGACACTCCCATCCCCCACCTCGGAGTCGCCGCATAGGGAGTCCTGAAGGGCCTGTGGAGCCAGCGGGAAGGAAACAGGGATTGGTCTCAGAGCTCTTGATCAAGGCTAGTAAGCAGCGAACCCAAACGTGCCCTGAGGTGTTGGAGTCTGAGGGAAGTCCCCAGTCCCCGTCCCCTCACGGCCCCTCACCCGCCCCAACGCCTTAGTGCATGAAACGTCAAATGCACGCACACGACCACACTTCCCCAGCGGTCTTTTCTGCTTGCATCTCATCCCAACAAGGCATGACGGTCTGACGGAACACCTCCCCTTTCCCAAGCCTGCTCCGCGTACCGCCGTCAGCGCTGAGTTACGGAAAGGGACGTGGGGATCGCGCCTCTGAAGCGCCGAAATCACATCACCTAGTGCCGACAGAGACCGGCCGGCAATCTGAGCCTCCTGCGGGGAAGGGCGGGGTAAAGTGGGTTTCCAAGTAAGGGCAAACCCCCTCTGAATGAGCCCCAAGTGTGGAGCCCGGCAAGGTGAGGTTTGGGCGTTCGGCATGGTGTGGTAGGGGATCTCTGTGTGAGCTAAAAGAAGCGAGTTAAAGGCTCCCATGGCCGCTTTGCGATGTGTGCTCGTGGGTAGGGACGGATGGTCGAACGGGCCGGGATAAGATGGTACGTGCAGCGCAGGAAGCGACGACGCGCAAGCTGCAGCACGCGCACAGGCCGACAGACGAGCAGGAAGAGAAAGGAGGTGCTTCTGTAAGCTGGAAGGAGGAACACCAACCCGTAACTTCCCGCCACAACAGCAGCATGAAGGCCGAACTATTTCACCAGCTCCCTGTCAACCCGCCCACCGGCCCTCTTCTCCTTATAGCTTGACCGATGTTGGTTACAAACCCTCACACATGCACGTGCACACACATGCACACGAGACGCAGCATGTACACCTATACCCGCACTGCATTTCACTCGGTGCAAGCACTACATGTTACATGTAAGCAAGCAACTCGGGTTCCTGTTTGCATGGTGGGACGCACACACGCACAAAGCGCACGCACGTACAAACAAAAGGAGAACGCAGAAGCGCATTCGTGTACCTTGGATTGCTGTCCGGCGACATCGCTCTTGTCCGCCCGCTCAGATCCTGCAGCGGCCACCACCACCGTTCAAGTTAAGCTGTTGATCCATCAACTGCTGCTGCCAAAGCCGGACATTGCCACCCGCAGTGACTCCGCTCCCATCTGGGACAGCTGCATTGACCTCCCAAAAAGCTTCAGCAGACCCCTCCTGAGCACGCCTCTGCTCCTGGGACCCCTCCCCCTTTCCTTCCCACCCTCATTTCCATTAAGCCCCATGCTCCCAACCTTTCCCTCCCTCCCGGCCCCCTAAACATACATACACACATACATGACACGCGCAGAGGCCCCCCTGGTTGCACCACTTGCTTCGGTTAACTTGCTAATGTCCCATCCTTGCGAGCTCCTGCCGGCGGCTCAGATCATTTTAAAACACGCACAACACACACAATCCTCGATAAACCCAACGGAGCACCTAGGCCCCCAGCCCAGCCTTCCTCACCTGCCAGGTCCACCAAATGCAGCCAACCGACCGCACTGACCCCCTCGGTCCTGGCCCCCTCCGCCACCTCCACCCGCACTGACAGCACCGAGTGGCTGCGGCTGCTCTGGATGCCGAGCGCGGCGGCAACAGCTGCCCGGTTCCTGGCGCACTCCCTCAGCAGCGCCTCCACCCCCTCTGCGCTGGTCAGTAATCGCCAGGTGCGACCCGGGATGCGGTCCTGGCTGGGCGGCAGCTCGCAGGGGCCTGAGTGCGGCGGTGGCGTTGGGCGGGGTCGGGTTCAGGAAAAATCAAAACTGCCGGTTCAAGATGTGATGGCGAGTCCTATACAGAAGCCAAGGACCAACTGCTGACGTCCAACGCACAGTTAGCTGTCGCGAGCCGGGTAGCGGGGTTTACGAAAGGAAAGACACCGACTAGGGAAGTGCTTTCGGTGGTGCAGGGCTCTAGGGTCCGAGGAGGGAGACTGCAGATTTAGAACCAGAGGACCAACAACATCCAGCGGGTTGGCTTCGGCTTGCGCAACGGGAGAGGAGTTTGGATACGACACGACAAGGGATGTCCCACACCGGATCCCAAAAAGGGTTTCCAAAGGGTTGTCTGTCCCCTCTAGTGGTGACTTTGGGGATGAAAGACAAACAAAAAATAAAGAAACGGAGTTGTTTCCCTGCCCCCCCCCAAGATCACCCTTGATCCAGCAGCCCCAATCCATCGACCCGTCCTCCCCCTTGCTCCTCGCCCTTACCCGCTGTCGACACCTCCAGCGCCTTCATAGCATCCTCTTCGCCCACCTCTGGAGCCAACACATCGTAAACCGCCTCATTATATATTTCGCACATGGAAACCTGGATGCTGTAGCCGCCCAGGCTCGCGGGAGCAGTAGTTATTGGTGATGCAGCGGTAGCAGGGGTGGTGGCGGCAGGGGTGGAGTCAGCCCCCGTCTCCAAGGGGGTTGCGGCGGGGATGGCGTTGTCGGCGCCTCCGCCAGGGGCTGCAGCAGTGACGGCGGCGGCAGCAGCGGTGCCGGTGGCGGAGATGCTCTCGTCCGACGCGATGCGGAAGAGCTCCCGCAGCACACGTAGGTAGATGCCTGCGACCAGCGCGGTAAAATACGGCAATATCTGCTTTGCTACCACCAGGACGCAGCTTCTGCGCTTCCAAACCCTTACATGTCCTTGTTAAACCCAAGCTGACGGCAGTTCTTAACCCCCAACTTCCCCCTAAATCCTTCGCTGCACCGTACACAAGTGCCTGCGTACTTCCCATATTTCCTGAAGCCTTTTTTGTTACCTTCAGCTCTCATTTCCACCACCATCCCTCTCAAGCCGAGCTCAAACTGAAACTAGGTAGGGTTTCCACCCCTTTGTGGGGCCCTCCCACACCGCTCTTTGTAAGCTCGAGGAAAGGCAAACGCCTCTATCAACTTCGTGTCCATGCTTCAACTCACAAGATCGCACTCCATATTTCCCAACGCCTCTATCCATTGGAATCCATGCCTTTACCCCTCCAACCATCCGCAACCCAGATGACCGTGGAAACGAATAACCGTAAAACGAGTGAAGAAACAAAAGCATCTACCCAGAAGGAAAACCACCCACCTGGGTCCTCAGACGTCCCTTGCATGGTGTACGACTTGCCGCTGCCGGTCTGGCCGTACGCAAAGACACAGGCGCTGCTGCCGTTCGCCACGGATCGCACCAGGGAGGCCACAGCCTCGTCAAACACCACCGACTGTCCGGCGCAGGGCGGAAAGACGTGGTCGAATTCAAACTCCTGTTGGAGGGGCGAGTGGGAGGAAGGAGGAGGGGAGGGGCTCTATGCTGCTTAACGAGGATGGGCAAATAGGCGGGAAGAAGCTCACGCAGCGGCGTTGTGCCTCTCATGTGCGCGAAGTTATAAGTATGACACGGAATACTGGATTACAGGTATTACAGGAATCAGGGTGTGCACGTGTCCATCCTGTGTATACCGGCAGTAACGGTCGCCAGCAACATGATGGCACACGGGGAGTCACTGGGGAAGGATGGGTGAGGAAGAGGCGACGGGACCAGAACGCCCTGTTCCGGGAGTAGTAACAACCACCGCACCGTCACCGCAGGAGGAACGGCTTTACGGCGGGTAAAGAGAGCAGCAGCAGCAGCAGGCGGCACCAGTGGGGCTGGGCATCCACCGGGGGCGCCCAGTAGCTGCAGTGGTCCTTCGATGTGGAGTACGGATGCGGGGCGGCGGTTTGGGATAGTCCAGAGGCGTCCTCGCGGGTCTGTCCGTCCCTCGCTTCCCCCTTCTCTATTACCTTCTTCCTTCCTCACCTGGTACCTCTTGTCCGGGGGGCTCACCGCCAGCAGCCCCTCCAGCGGGTAGCTCACTATGTCCCGCTGACCCACCTGCACCGGGCGGACCCTGCAGCAGCAACAGCAGCAACAGCGCCCAGGGGTGGGGGTGGGGCGGGTGGGTAGGATGGGGTGGGGCGGGTGGGTAGGATGGGGGGGGGGCAGGGAGCGGTGCAGACGGGTTAGACAGGCGTGCAATGGGGCAGGTGTGTGCGTGTGTGTGCGTGTGTGTGTGGAGAGCAGTAAGGGGGCATGGCACAGCGGAACCCACATAACAATGATGGGCTGTCACACGGGGTTGGGGTTGGGGCCAGCGCTGGCGCAGTATACACGTGACCCACATGCAAGCGAGAAGTCCACGGGAAACAACACGGGATTTTTAGAATTTCCCAACTTTTCGATTAGATTGTAAATGAGCGGATATAAACATAAACACAATAACACAGATGATGTTCAAGGGTGGGGAGGCTAGAGAGACAAGTAAGCAAGGGCATACAGAAAGCACGTTGTTGAACGTCACCATTGCCGGCGCGGACTCTACGGGACCAGATCACACCGCACCATAGCTCATCAGGCCAGACCCGACCAGATCAGACCGCCCAGCCAACAAAGGGGTTACCTCACCCGCCTGCGTCCTCCTCCTTCTACACCCTCCCGAGACACCCCAATCCCAACCCCCAACCCCACCTCCCTCTTGCGCGCCTCGTACCTGCAGACGACCCGTATGTTGCCTCTCAGCTGCTGCAGCTGGTCATGCAACCGCCTGCGCACGTTCCGCTCCCGCATGAAGCGCTCCTGCCACTCGGCAGCGGCCCGGCGGGCGTCATTTAGCTGCGAGGCGGCCGTCTCCAGCTGCAAATTGATCTTGGTCAGCCACTGGATCTGAGGGGCAAGGAGGTGTCACATGACATGCAAAAGGAAAAAAGAGGGGACAAGGAGGTGGGGTAAAGGGGGAAGTGACAGTGAGTTTAAGAATGGACACTAGGGCCTGTAGGGTGGACGACGCGCAGGAAATCTCTTGAACACAACTCATGTAATCAAGGGAAACACGGACTGCTCGCTGATCGCGGGGAAGGAATGGCAAGAGGTGGGGAAGAGTGACGAGGTCTGCGCGAGCGAGGGCCCTGTAGGTGGTGCGGCATTCCGAGGCGACGTGGAAACCCAGAACCAGATATACTGTCAAAGACAGGGACACATGCAGGCAAGGGTTTGTTAGGGGTTATGGTCAGATGCGCCGCAAGGGCCGTGTGCGGCAGCTGGTGGGAGAGCGGATGAGCACCCCCTGTCCCTCGGCCCATACACACCTTATTCCGCAGCTCTTCAGCTTCCCTGAGCAACCTCTGCCGCTCCGTCTCCCCGTCGCTCAGCCGGGACCGACACGACTGCAGCTCGCTAAGCCTGGGGGACGAGGGACACGCGAACGAGACCGTCAACGTTGGACGGCAGGTGTTGGGGACCTAGGGGAAAAGGAGCAGCAGCCGATTCAAGGGAATCATAACAACTACCAAACGTGGGTCTCCAAACCCTCCAGGCATAGCGGGTTGGGGAGTGCTCCTCCATGGTCCGTTCAGGAACGCATCTTAGAAGCAGACATGTTTGCATACCGGCCGCCGCGCAAACCCCCAGTTATGTCCGGGTCCTCCCCCCTACCACCCACCCATTCACCTGTTTGTCAGTTGGCTCCTCAGCAGCGTGTTCTCCTGCTTGAGCTTCTCCGGCTCGCCCCCCTTGGACGAGCGCCAAATGTCCGCCTGGCTGCGAACATTTTCCAACTCAGCCTGCGGGAGCCCAGCGGTGCAGACAAGTGATAAATCGTAGAATTGACAATGTGATAAAGCGGCCCAGCAGCCTCCCACTCTGTAACATTAAAAAGACAGATGAGGAAACGAATTATGGGGATGGGTGAGGACGCGAAAGAACCCAGATTGAGAAGCACGAGGGGCCGCATAAAGCAAGCTGGATGGGCCCTGGATGGGCCCTACGAGCAACCGAGCGATGACGGCGCTGCTGCTGCCGCATGCAGGCCTCGTGCCCCAGCGAAATGGCCCCGGGCCTAGAGGTAGTCCAGGGCAGACCGGACTCCCAAGCCAGAATCCTTTGGTATGCGAATGATGGATGGCCTGTTTCACCTTTCACCGCCTTTGCTGTCCCAAAGATCTGGTACCGGCCCCCTAAGCTTCCTCCCTTCCCTTCCCTTCCCTTCCCGAACCCTCATCCATCCCAAGAGCTGGAAGGAACATTTCGCCAGGAAACTCACTCGCACTTCCCTCCGCACACACATCTCACAACCGAAACCCACCCTTGCAAGGCAAGGAATGCTTCAACTCTGCCTGCAACGAGAGCGATGGAGGGCGCGATCTGCCCGCAGCTACATGGATTCGTGACACTGGACGCGGTCCTGGTTTCTCCCAATGTGTGTGCAAAAATCAATCTTGGCCATGAAAGCCCAAATCACGTCGATGTTCGCTTGTCTTAAGGTTCTTTAACAGCACATCGTTTGCCTCCCATGTCCAACTTCGCAGACCTGCAGGCTGGCTTCAGTCTCCTTTATAGCCTCCAATTGCCGCCGTACGGCAGCCATCTCGTCTTCCAACGCGGCCTTGGCGGCATGAGCGGCCGATCGCTCAGCCCGCAGTACCTCCAATTCCTGTAACGCATGGCAGTTGCAGTGCCGATGAGCTGTCGTACGCGCAAACCTCAAGAAAGGTGTTTTGTGCGCAAATGCGTTTTTTACGAACCGAGCTGTAAGGTATGTGTGAATATGTATGTAATACGAATGATAGACCACCATTAGCGGAGGGTGAAACGGAGGCCCCGGCACGGGGTCCAAGCAGAGGGAGGTGTCTCAGGGAAAGGAACGAAGCTCCATCGCAATGCTACCAAGCTGCATGCTACCGCACCAACTCACCACTAGTTACGAGAGCTCGCAACGGTATTCGCTATCAGGTATTTCCTTGTCGTAAGCGAGGCTACCCCTTCCATTCAATGCCGTCACACGCAGGCCACATGCACAAGTTCCCTCTTTTAACTCCCAATTTCCATTGCGTCCATCCCGAGAAAATAAATCGAGCCCTCGCCATCCCCCAGCCCACTGCTTCTCAGCAAGACCCTTCATTCGCTCAGCGCCACTCCAAAACTGGCGCAGCCTTCCCGGGGGGTCGACAAGGCCTTCCCTCTCCCCCACCCTACTTCAACAGAAATTACTTTTCCTCTTCACGCACGTGGGACTGGCCACGAAGTTCCGTATCCGCCCAATCCATGCGCCTTCACCAAACTTCCTACAGAACGGCACCAACCGCCCCGTCACCTCCCCGCACCGTAGGTCACCAACGCGCCCAGCTCCCCTTCGCGGTGTTCCCCATCACCATACCCTCCTAACTCCCTACCTGTTCCAGCTGCTTGGCCTGCTCCACCTGCTGTTGCAACGCCGCAGCCGCAGCCTGCGCCTCCGCCAGCTTGGAATTGGCCTCCATGAGGGCTTCCGCGGCAGCTCGCCGCACTCGGGCCGTCACCTCCATCTCCGCCTGCACGTCCGCCGGGTCAAACACATAGCTGCAGGCGGGCAGGTAGGCAGGCATGGCGGGCCACAAGGTGGGGAGGGCGCGTTAGCAGTAAGAAAGGAAAGCCCCCGCCCCGGACGAGACCCCATCTTGACACAAATAACAATTGAGATAGGAGCTGGTTGTGGAGATTAATGACAATGAGTTGGGAAAAAGAGATAGCTTAGGGGATCTGCGTAACAGTGGGCCAGGGGGACCCTAGGTAAGCAGATGCATATACAGGGCCACGGGCAAGGCAAGTCGTGTGAGGGCTGGCGTTAACAGTGGCCGCCTGAATGGTACTCAAGGAAAAGAACGTGGTTTAGATTCCCATATCATGCACTGTACAGGCAAGTGCAGCACCGCGAGCATACACCGCCGTGTGTGTGGCATACCGTCAGACGGTAGACGGCGAAAAAAGCCACACCACTGGGTTACCACCTTTTAGTGTGCCACACCTTTTCCCAAAGAACAGAGGATGGGGAGAGTGGCGGCCAGGTCGGGGGCTGCACCTCACGTCCCAGTACCCCTAAACTGGCGAGGTGAGAGGGGAGCCCCCCGCAACATGACAGCCTCCATTAGGGGGTAGGTATCGCATCACAAGACAATCAAACCATGACCAGGAAATACACCAACCAACACCTCGCACCGGTAGTAACGGCCACTAATGGAACTGCCGTCGCCGGCATCGTCTCCGCGCGTAAGGCCCAGGTTAACGCCAGCCGCCAACTGCTCCTCCAGGGCCCTATCACTGAAGGACCCATGAGCCGCTGCTGCCGGCTGCCCGGACCCCATGACGGATTGCCGGAACGTAGGGAAGGGCAGCAGGCTGCCGGCTGAGGCGTTGCGTGTGATGCTGGTGGCGCCGCCCTCCCGTGAATCACCGCCGCGGTCACGGCCCCAATGCAGCCCCAGCTTCGATAAGACGCTACCTGACCACGCCGCAGCGCGCGAAGGCATGCCGCTGCTGGCTTGCGACTGCTGCATCGCCGGAGCTTGCTGAGCGGAGAGCGAGGGGGCCGTTGTGGAGGCGCCGCCACCATCGCTGGCGCCGCGGCTGCCGGACAATAGTCGCAGCGGCGGCAGCGGCGGCCTACGGCCGCCGCCACCATTGCCGCCATCTGCGGCGGCGGTGGCGGCTCCACCGCCGCCTTGCGGCAGCGACGGCGCGGGGCCGTGTGCCATATCCGACGCGCTGCCGCCAGAGGGCTTCGGCCGCAACCCTGCGGTGCTCCCTGTCATGCTGCTCCGGCGGCGCTCGAGCTCTTGCTCCTCTGCCGAGGTATCGTACCCCATCCCGCTGCTGCCAACGCTGCTGAGGCTTCCGCCATCGTCGTCGTCGTCCCCCTCCTCGTCCTCCCCTTCCTCCTCCTCATTACTGTTATTGTCATTATGGTCAGCGGTTCCGTCGTCGCCACCCTCTACGCCAGTGCTGCCAATCAACGTATCGTCCTTGCCGCGGCGTTTGCCTGTCCAGCGACGCCCAGGGGTTGCCGGCGATTCACGGGTCGGCTTGCTGTAATCCACCACCAGATGCGTCGAGAAATTAAAGTCACCGACCTGCGGCAAGGACGCATAATGCATCGTGCATGGTCAAACCACACACTCTTAGCCCACGTAGGAAAGAACCCAAATGCGCTTCAAGTCACATGGCCTTATGCAGCTGCAAATCCCAGCGTTTGACATAAAGCAAAGGTTGATGTGCAACGGTTTTATTAACGAGTTGCGACGCCATCCGAAACGCCTGAGGGGGCGTTGAATACGGGTGCGTGCAGGTACAGGGGTTGTGAGCAGCGGGGAACAGGAGACGCGAGAGATGCCGGGGCTTCATAAACTATGATATGCTCACAGGACAAATCTTGGGGTTTTCAATACCCCTGTGTTATGGGCAGACGGGGGAGGCCGAGTGGCGGTACCACGCACGGTTCCTGGCGGCAGGCCTCCTCACAAACCCCGCGGTACTGGGGATTGAGCTGCCTGAAAACGCTGCACCATCTTCGCCTTATCGAAGCGCCCCTTTATGTCTCGGTACGCTGACCGATTTCCCCGTACAGCAAGATGCGTGCCCACGTAAGAAACAACCTTCTATCATGGTAACACACAGCCTCTGCGTGGGTGAGGCAGGCATGTGCCTTCCGTGCCTTGCAAGTCTGATGCATTGCTTCCCTTGCGACGCAACTGACCGCATCCCAGGCTCTCCTGCAGTAAACCTTCAATATGAACGAACAAACAACGCAGCCCATGCCCCTGCGGATCCAAGTTCACAGGTACCGTGCGGCCGTGTCTCATCTCCCCTCACCTGCAAGTCCTCCGCAGACAACGCGCTACCAAGGGGCTCAACTCCATCAGCATCAGCGGCGCTGCCGCCACCACCACCAACAACAACATCGCCGCCGCCACCGCTCCCGCCAAGGCTGCCGGCCAGCTGGCCCCGTGCCGTCACGGCCGCAAGCTCGGCAGCCGCAGCGGCCGCTGACGAGGAAGTACTCGTCCGTGTCGGCGTTGTTACCAAATCCAAGGACCGCATAGGTACAGCGGCAGCAGCGGCTGCTGCTCCTGCGGCGGCTGCGGCCATAGCGCCGCCACCGCCCCCAGCATGGAGCTCCAATCTGGCCCATGACTCGCGCAAAGTGGCCAAGAATGAGTCCCTAAGCCTCGGGCCCGCCGCCGGCATAACAGGCGCGACTGGCGTCTTCAGCAGCTGGTCTTGCTGCTGCTGATTTGAGGCCGGCAAAGAAAAGCCGAAGGCACTGCTGCCATCGGAAGATACGTGTGGAGAGCGGTAGCCTGTAGCTAAGGCGCGCGTGTGCAAAATGCGAAAGTGCAAAAGAGGGGAAGAGAAAGCAGGCAAGTTTAGCTATGTGGGCGATCCAGTTGCTCACACAGGGTCAGTATTGGTAATCCTATGCTTAAAAACGGGACACGAGGAAAGGATTGCTATGCTGGAAGGATGGTGTTGCCAGGTTCGCAGCAAGGGGGAAGATACGAGCACAGGCGTGAGGTGCGTCTGTGGAGGTAAAAGCATCCGCGGGACGTACCTGCCATTGAAGGTTTGCTGGAGGCCCCGGATGCTAATAATATGACAATGCCATGAAGCTGTCTTTCGCGTGGGGTGTGGGTTTCGTGCGTGAAGAGAGTGCAGTCTCCGTTGGGGCGTTGGCTCTGTCCTATGGTGGCCTAGCACCGTGTAACCGTGGAACGACGTAACCCTCCCACAGAATTGCATAGATGCAGCGCCTGACCTATGGCAGGGGCCTCCAGTTCCTTCTTGTAAAGGCGCTCCTCTAGCTCTGCGATCCGCGCGACGAGCCTGGTGATGAGCAGGTCATTCTCGCTCGGTGTCCGAACCTCTCCGCTGGGAGACGTTGCTCTACGTGCTCCAAAATCCGGCTTCGGTATCCCCTCGTAAGGCTGCTCCATACTTATGCGGGCCACAACAACTTTAGGTGTTGCACCAACAACCAGGTAGACGCCGTGGGATCATTGAACGAGCTAGGATTAATAAAAGTTTTCCATTGTTTCTCCACGCACGCTGCGAAGGGCTTCACTGTGCTCGCTGCGCTCACTTCACGTCGGTTGAGGGGAGCTGCTAGAAAGTCGCAATATTAGAGCGACAGACAGTCCGGCTACGATATGTTCTATAAAAGGTCTTTTACACGCATCGATGCATGCAGCAAGAATGCTTCAAGTTGTCGTCTATCATTTGAAAACCCGCGTGCTGCAGTAGAAGGTTCGCATGCCTGGCTCCGGTTGTGACAAGCTTAGCACTATAATAACTGATGATGCTGTAAGATATAACTGCAAATGTTGGAAAGCGGCTGTATGTAAAACCGAGGAATGGTAGGTCGGTCCTCAGAGGTCATCTGCATTTTTGAGCCGTCCAATAAATGGATGCCAAAATCAACCTTTTCTGATCGTAGAAACTTCCTATTCCAGTAAACATACTCACCGGAGCGCTGGGCGTGGGGAAGACTACAGCCGTCACCCAGTTACTCAGACAAAAGCCCCCCAACGAGAAGTGGGCGCTTCTTGTGAATGAGTTTGGTGCTCTGGGCATTGACGCAGCGCTAGTTGAAGCCGGCATTGGCGTGAGCGCGGCAGAAGGTGGTCTTAAAGGTTCTTTCCGGGGGCAAGGACGGGCCCCCAAGGAGCATGATCGGTGCCTGATCGGCAAGAGGGATTTATCAGCGCGCGAAATAATAGTCGTGAACAGTCCCTGCAGCCACAATGCCAGTTTACACCCAACCTAAGCCGGTCCGACCCGTGGGGCCCTTCATCCCATACGTCCCACAAGCCCGCCGCCAAGCTGCATTCCAGCCAAGCCGTCCGAAATCATATATCTAAACCTTTTCCACTACACACAATCCTCTTAACCGCGACACGATCAGGCGCTCCTCCAAACAATCCCAGTCCTCTATGAACGCACCGCCCCCTCCCTACACCCGTCCACCCGTACCCTGCCTCGCCGTCCTCCCCCACAACTCCCATACTGTTCAAACCCTACCCTACCCTTTCCCTGCTCCCTCCAACCCTCCTCCTGCCTCTCTCCCCGTGCACTGCTCAGGTCCTACCGGGGCTGCACCCCAGGCCCCCAGCGGTGCCGCCCCCAACCCCCTTTCCACCGCGTCCCTTGGGATAGTGGTCCGCGAGCTCGCAGGAGGATGTCTGTGCTGCACCCTATCGGGGCCTCTGGGGGTGGCCATCGCCCAGCTGGTGCGCCAGGCCAAGCCGGACCGCCTCATCATAGAGCCCAGTGGACTGGGCCACCCTGCAGGTCAGAGGGCGGTCAGTTTTTTTTATTGGACCTTTAGGCGGATGTCAATACTTCGCGCGTGAGCTATTTGCGTGCGTGTTTGCGTGCCCAAACATGCAAGGCCCGCGTGGGTTGGGCGGTGCGGTGCCCCAGGCGGCGGAGGCATTGCGGTGCGCGCCGTCTTGGGGTGACGGCGGACCCAGAGCACCTGTAGAGCTCCCAATTTTATGCGTGCCGCGCCCTGTATGCGGACGTATAGACATACAGACATGCACGTGCTTCAGCGACAGATGTGTACTTCAATCACAGGGTTGCTGGACACGCTGTACGGCGAGCACTTGCGCTCGGCGCTTGATGTCAAGGCGGTGATCTGTCTCGTGGATGTGCGGGCAGCGGCGGAAGAGGAGCTGGCGGCGGCGGGGGCGGGTACGGCAGCTGTTGACAGGGGCGTCGGCGGCGGCGCCTCCGCGGCCGTTCCAAATGAGACATTTCAGGCAGGTCCTTTTCCTTGCGTGACTCCATCCCCGTCTCCCCCGTTTTTAGCGGTATGTGCAGGAAGTGAAATGTCCGCAGCAGTTTGCGGCAAACCAATTCATTCATCCGCGTCCCCGGCACCTTGCACAATCACCCGCATATCCACCTGTCCAAATCATGTGCCTGATCTCCCGTGTGTTGCATCCTTTGATTCTTCACAGCAACAACAGCAGCACAAAAACAAAAGCAGCAACATGAAAGCAACAACAACCAACCAACAACATCCTTTCCCCGCATCTTTCCTTACAGGGCCTCATCGTCCCCTCCATGCCGCCCCGGGTTCCACTGGCCCTGACCCACCTCGCGAGGGTCCACACACGGACATATCTCGGCAGTTCAGGCAACTTGCAAATGTGCCCTTCCTTCCGCCCTTCCTTCCGCTGGGGGCATACCTGAACATCCGGCTGTCTTTCTCCCACACACACTGCTTTCCTCAGGACCAAGTCAACGTGGCGGATGTGCTGGTGGGCCATAAAGCCGACCTGGCCACCCCCGACCAGCTAAGTGCCTTCTGGCGCTGGGCAGAGCAGCTCTACCCACCCAAAGCGCAGGTAATTTAGGGAAAAGGCAAAAGCAAACTCCCCTGACAAGAATCGAACCGGAGCGTGTATGCGCGTGTGTGTGTGTGTGTTTTACATGGTTGGGGGTGCGTGACCCCATACCTGTAAAACTACCCATACGAGCCGAAGGCCCAAGGGCAATATCTATACGCCTAAAACCCACGGAGAAAAGGAAACACCGCACATCAGCCCAGACTAGCGTCCAAAGGGGGTAACTGAGTTTTGGTGAGCCCACATACGTTCCAACATCCTCGCCAGACGTACTGGTTCCCATTTCATGGCCTCCAACATGCTCTGTTGATGATCGAATCCCTCCTCAGCACGAATATCACTATAGGCTGGGCATTCCAATAACACGTGTTTTTCATCCTTGATTCGGCTAATAGTACCACAACAGCGGCAAAACTGCTGGCCCCTGGGGACATGGTACTTGCCCCTTCGTGCTCTGTTTGCCTCAAAAGCCCAGCAACATAAACGAAACTGCGTGTATGCAAATGCCCGCGTGGCAAGGTCATCCATCAGGGTCAGGCCTTGTGCCTGGCAGCCCCCTTGAATATTTCCATATCTCGGGGGGCTCTTATATCACCAATTTTGTAATTGGGGTAACGCAACTCGAGAAGCTGTAACCCCCTCGCCGAAGGCTGTACAACGTGTACACACCACGCAGATGCGCCAAACCACATTGCGCCAAAACAAGATCAAACCAGCGCTCAGCTCCCTGAGTGGACACCTTGCCCGGCCAAAGCCGCGCCGCGCAGGCACACAAGCACGCACACAACCATATTACGCGAGTCAGTTAATTGAAACACACACACACACACACATGTGACTGGGCTCCCTCATGCCCGCATTCACCCCACAAAGGCCCCGATCAGGGACTGAGCTTTAGTGCCTCTCTCAGGCCGAAGAAGTCTGGTCTTCGTCCGTGTCCTGGGCTAGAGGGGCCACATAGCCCGAGCCAGAAGGCACGGAGTCCCCCTTTATGTTCTGCTTGCTCTAAGCTCCCAACTCGTTGAGGTCGTGGCCTTGTCCGTGCCCTCCTCATCCGCTATGCTGTCCTGCCCCCCTGGGCTCCCAGGTTCTGGTGAGCAGTCACGGCAACATCGACTGGGCCCTGTTGGACCAGCCCCGGGCACCTGTGTTCAGGTAGGTACGGATCGCGGTACGATAGCTGAGTGGCTTGCTGGGTGCCTGGGAGCCCTGGGAGCATACACGTGAAGATGGGCATGTGCGCTTACTACAGGCCAGCCGCGCTGCTGTGGTGCGCTGAGCCGCGTCACATGAAGCTTCAAACGCCTGAAGGCTTCCTTTTAGTTATCCTTAGCTTACGTGTGTATGCGACTACAGGAAAATCCGTCTTGCGTCGTGCGACCTGTACAGAAACACATGCAGACATACATAACACGGACTCTGGGTAACGCAACCGAGGTGTATATATAACACACACATATAACACGGACATATCCCACTCTTGATGCCGGGAGTCCCCGTCGCCATGCTGTGTTCATCCCCATCTTCCTTTCCCCCTGGAAGGGCACATCCCGCTGGAAGCCCAATGAATTACATCCCATGACACCTCTTTACATTTCTTTGGAACCTTCTTGGCGGTCCTTTTCTCAGGCCGTTGTTCAATCCACAGGCCCACAACAGCCGCCGCCGAGCCGCCCAGCGCGCCAACAAAGCCCCCACCCCACATGCGCCGACGTCACAGCTCCCTTTCCCAGCGGCCTCGGCTGTAGCTCCCTCCGAAACCACGGCCGAAGGTGCAACGTCTTCGGGTAAGTTGAAGGCCGTGGACCCGGCTGAAGGCTACAGCATCGGAGCCGCCGCCGCCGCCGGCGAAGGTGGTAGTAGCGACAAGGCGTCGGTGGCGCCAGTCCTACAGCTACTGCCGGGCCGGCCGCTACGGTTTCCGTCAAGTCCTTCGGGGGTCCTTCGGCTGGGAGCGCCGCCGCCTTGGCTGCCGTCCCAGCCGCCGGCGCCGGCGCCGCAGCAGGCGCAGCAACAGCTGGTGGAGGGAGTTGAAGACGCGGAGGCAGTTGGTGATGAAGCGGGGCTTGCGGGGCGGCGGGAGCTGTCCTGCGGCTGGTTGTTCAGCTCGGAAGACGTGTTTGATCGGAGCCGCCTGGTAGAGGTGCTGGGGGAGCTATGGGGTTCAGCGGCGCGGCTGAAGGGCATCTTCAGGTCGGTCCGGAGGGTGTTATGGCGATCGGGGCGACCGTGGTGGCAAGGAAGTGGCTCAGGAGGCGGCCAGGAGGAGAATAGTGAGGTTCGGACAAGGCCAGTAGTAGCAGTGTGTTTGGCGGGGAGCGGGGGTGAGAGGAGGGGGGTCATGAAACAGACGAAAGCTAGGGGCCGCAGGCGCAGGCGCCCCCTCCTAGGTCAGGGAGTCATAGGATGCCGGACCCAGATGGGGTCCAAAACGCGCAAACGCTGGGAGAGTTTGGTTCGTGGTGGGCACGCAGCCGGTGGCATAAGAAAGGCGTGGGTGGCGCAGGGTTCTCACAGTGAGTACAACCCTGAAGGTGGCACGGGCGCGTTGGGGGAAGGGAACGAGGGTGAAGGGAGGGCGCGGTCTGTGTGCTGGAGATCGTCCCGGGGAGATGTTAGCCGATGGCGAAGCAGATGGTGAGGGGGGGCTATCTCTGTCAGGGTACAGTTTTGCCTGCTGCTTTGCAACCGCTCCGAACCCGCCAGAAGCCCTGTCGTCTCCATGCTGGGTGGGACTTTTCTCTCGCTTAGGAGGGGGTTTCGGAGCGATTTTTTTTGTCATATGCCGCAACCCGTATTACTTGGGCTGTGTTCTCCCCAGGGTTATGGGTTGACTTACGGTCTGTCGATTGTCGCCGTGGATGGTCCTCAGGGTCGGCAAAGCTACGTACGTGGTGCCGTACTTGCAACCGGCCGGCACCATAGAGCTACGCCCGGTGTCTTACAGACGGGAGAGCCGCCTGGAGGTCATCGTTCGGACAGACGACGGCGGCACCGGCGGCAGCGCCGCCACCGCCACTGAAGCCGCCGCCGACAGCGCAGTTGCAGCTGCCGAATTGGCGCCGGGCGGCGGCGGCAGCAACTGTAGTGGACGCGGCGGTGGCGATGCTGGGTCGGGAGGTGATGTTGCAGCGGTGGTACCGGTAGCGGCGGCGTGCTTGGGCCTGGGGGAAGCACTGAAGGCTACAGACTGGGATGCTGTGGAGCGCGCCCTCATGGCCGCGTTGAAGCTGGGTCCTTGAAATATGGAAGATAAGCCCCAAGTTGGGGGTAATTAGACCCCGCTGGAAAAGCGGTCTAAATCAAGTCTAACTACATTTTGGGGTTGGTACCATACATATTAAACATAGCCAGCCCTCATTCCATTTACAGGTATTACTGCAGCTCGCCGTCCGTTAGCCATTACCACAACAGGCACCGCTTCCCGACCTCCCATCATCCCCTTTAATGTGCACAAGTGAATGGAGGTGGGGACAGTCCTGGCTGTTGCTCCGCAAGCAGCCCTACAAGATGGCTGAAAACGACCTTACTTAGGTGCACTTGCATTCCCGGACAGAACAGGCGGTCCCCCCTCTAGGCCAGCAGCGGTCCGGCCGCATGCACTACCCGAAACCCACCCGCCACACGACAGCCCGCTCGGTGGATACGTATAGGCCGCTGTCCTGAGGGGGAGAGGGGCTGGCCTTAACCATTTATATCTGCGCGAGGGCATGCAGGCACTGCGCGTCTGAAACAGATTGGAGTATCGGCACCCGGTCGTTTGTCGTCATATACCCACACACATGCGGTCAGGAGCTACAATCAAGTCGTGAAATGAGCTTCCATTTGTTGCAACGAGGTTCCATTTCTCCATGTCCTCGCCATATTCTTTCTGCCACGTTAGTGGGTGTGAGCATTAACCGAAGCAGCAGGATGGAAACCGCGTGTGAAGGGCCTCTTGCGTCGGGAGTGAGCGGGGATGTAGAACATTGTTGTCCCCTGGTAAAACATCCTTTGGTAGCTGTTTGCTCGACTCGACTCGGCGGCGCTTGCTGGTGCAGCTTAACGGTTGGAGAGCAAGTCCGGATGGGGACGGGGTGGGATTGCAGCCGGGAAGGGGATCACGGGATTGCTCTTTCCGTTACCATTACAGATCTGTTGGGGCCCCCGAGTTGGGATGGATGGCTTCTGCAGCTGTGTGTTCGGCAGCCTGTAGCTCCGCAGCTGGGCAGGTAGCAGGATAAGCAGGCCTTAATGCCTGTTTATCCGACGCAGCCACAGGCGCGGTACCACGCGGTGAGAAGGCTTGGAGCGTGTTGTTTTTATTGGGAGGTGGGCTTGGAAGTGCTGTGGAGGTACAGCCCCATGGGAGCTGAATCCCGGGACACGTGCTTGCACAGGAAGGGGCCATTGGGTTTCCTCTAGTGGCTGCGAAGGAGCTGTTTTAAAGGCAATGCCCGGCTGTACACGTGAGCTGAGTGATCTACTGTGTCTCCATGTGAAGGTGGTCATGATTTAGCTACAGCATGGGCTGCTGAGAGGTGGAAGGAGGATGCCTGCGGGTGAAGAGGGCGGAGGCTAGGCGGCAGGTCGCGTGATGAGGAGCCGGAGGTGAAACGTGCAGGGACAATAAGAAAATGAGAAGCGCCAGCATTCCGTGTTTCTCAGCTTAAGATTTTTAAGTTCAGCGACGGGCTGACGGAAGGAATTATAATCGAGCACCGGTGCCATATGTGACGCAAAAGGTTTTGTGCACGTGCTTCGGGTGTTTGGGGGAAACAACACTAATATTGTTACTTCCACTGTCGAGAGACGAAACCAGATGTTGGTTTTTGATAATGGACCATTCTGAATGCAATACGGACGCCGCTGCCGGCAACGTTCAGACGATACGGCTCGTCGTACTGCGGAAGCGGTGTAAGGCAGGTCCAACTTTCGGGGACGCGTTGCTGAAGTTTGATCGGTTAGCTACCTCTAATACGCATAACTTGCATCTCTCCACATAGAGCCTGCGCTTAACCCGGCGGCGCTGAAGTTGACGCAAGCGCTTTGCAAACAGTCGCGACTAAATTATATGTTTTAGGGGGCAATTACTTGGAATTTAGGCATTATAGGGGTCGTAATGTCACACCCGAAGCCGCAGAGCGCGGGCGGCATTCCTCCTCTACCGCCTCCAAGCCCCGCTACCCTTGAAAAGAAAACTCTTGCAGAGAGCAGATTTTTACGCTTCGTAAACGTCGAGTACAACAGGCCAGGTGACAACGCGAAGGTATAAAGGACCCTCCAAGCTGTTCATATGGCGAACCCACTGATACACGAGCTTTCACATAATGGACGTAATCCGATTTGTAGGCTAGCTGGCAGTATGTAGAGCGGACAACTCGGAAAGGTGAAGTTGACGGTAAGACATTTCGTTATAATTCTGACTGGTCGGGTCCAAGGACTCGGATGTCCCATGTAAACCTGACACCTTTTGGGCTTCAGTGTTTGTTCCTGCTGCATGCTTCCTGAGGCTGCTACTCACACGTACATGTCCTTGTCTCCTCATAGCTGTCAACATTTTTGCAATACTGAAGAGCAAGGATAATAACCATCAAGTGCTGATGGTGAAGCAATACCGCCCGCCGCTCGGGAAATTCACGATTGAGCTGCCTGCCGGTAAGGGTGGCGTGATTCCCTAGTCGGCCTCGCCGGTCCGCGACGCGTCAGGGATTCCCATGGTGATGCTACGTTTTGGTGCATATGCAGGTCTTGTTGACAACAACGAATCACCGAAGGTAAGCCAAACGTTCCTGGCGTGCCCATCTATCCCGTCTCGGTCCGTGGACCCCTTTTGAGGCCCTTCTGCGGCATACGATGCGCACTCAACAACAGGATGCGGCTCTCAGAGAGCTTAAGGAGGAGACCGGCTACGTTGGGCATTTCATCGGGTCTACGGGTCAGCAGTTCCTCAGCCCCGGCTTGACAAACGAAAACATGGTAATTTGGTTAGCAGATGAGCAGGGAAGAGAAGGCCGCACGATTAGCTGGCAGGTGGTGGGGTTCTTGTTTAGCGGAAAGTAGGCGGGCCGTCGTGTTCGGGTCGACGCCATTTGTCAAGCAGGGTATTGTGAGCCCGACGGTGGCTTTAAGTAGAGCACCCTCCCCCAGACCAGTGCCTTTGCCTTTACCTGGGGTCCCGTCGTAAGCATCAGTATCGCACCCTCACGACAGATTTGGGACTAAGAAGCTCTGTCATAACAAATCCGGCATGCCCACGTGCGCGCATCAGCTCTGCTTGTACCCTACGCGACTTGGATTTCCATGTTCTTTGCTCACTGTCTGGCTCACGCAGCCCCTCCTCCGATAGTCCTCCATCGGCAGTGGCGTCCAATTGGGGCATAGATTATGTCGCTGTTACCATATTGCGCTGTTGCTGTCCGCTGGCAGCTTTTCCTTAACAAATAATCCCACGGATGAATGGGGAGGTCACTTTTTCTTTGATGTCTGGTTAACATATGCCTTCGTTTGTTTCTGCCACGGCTATTCGCTGACGGTACGGCGCCGCGGCGAAACACCCTAAATTGTCCAGGTCACAATCTTTGCTGAGGTGAGCATGCAGTTCGAGCTCTAGGGGGGAGGGGATACGTCCGGTCGAGCTGCAGTACACGATGCGCAGCTGGACGGGACCTGGTGGGCCGACAGCTGTTCCCTTGGGGAAAAGCTGGTGCAACCACCTCCCAAGAGTTGGAGGGGGAGCGAGTGGGTTGATGCAGCCACGTGATTGGGTCGGTGCGTTAAAGGCATGTGTGGAGGTCATGGGCCGCCGGAGTATCCAGACTAGGGAACTGGTGCACTAACGGACTGGTCCGGGTGGCAGGAGTTTAATGACCGGCTCCCTTTGGGATATGAGCGCTATGTTCTGCCCGGGGTCGCTTCCCTGGGGGTCTCTATGCTCTGTTGCGTGTACATGCTCCGGGTTGACCCCCGGGGCCACGAGAATTGGCTATTAATGCGACTAAGGGCACGTGGGAGACTTGTGACATGATCCCTGGCGCCTAGGTGCGCGTCACGCACAAGGAATTTATCGTGGCCGGCCTCGGTTTGGGCTTCCGTCTTCTCCTGCGGTGATAACGGCCGGCACCCCATTCCCATCCGTGTTGGAACCCCAGATCGACCCCGAACTCCCGGAGAACCGCAACCCCAAGCAGAGCAGGGAGGACCGTAAGATGGGCATCACAAAGATGTGGCTGCCGCTGAAGAACCTGCACCACACGTTGGCCAACTTTGAGGCGCAGGGTTGGGGTGTCTTCGCAGGTGGGTGGGTTGGCGTGTCCCGCATGGGGGTGGCGTTGTATTGCCATGTGACGGGGTTGTGAGCTTCACAGAACTTAACATGTCGTGGGTACTGGGCATGGTATATGTTTTGACTTAACCACACATTACATCGGCAACTCGGCTGTCCAGCGAAGTTCTCCGAGCAGCCTGCTTTGTCTTTGCACTTTTTGCTACATTCCGGACGTGGTCACTTCTTGCTGCCGTCGAGTTGCTGCTTAGTTTCTGGTGTCGCGCATCTCGTCACTTGTTTGAAGCAGAGAACCTTCTTATTCACGTGCAGGTCTGTATGCGATTGCCCATGGGCTGTACATAAAGGAGCGCATGGGTTTATGAGCGGCAAACGGCCCCATTGCGCCCAGGCAGGTTGGGCAGTGGCGAAGGTGCAATATAAACATTCCTTTTCTGTTCCGCGCGACGTATAGCTTGAAGTTATGCCGCCAAGCAAGGGCACATGTGGGCAAGCTGGCCCTGTGGCAGCAGCTTTCTTTACCGCGACGGATGGCCGCAATGCTGTTGCGGGCGTACTTACACAGCTTTTACCTGACTCGTACATCCTTGTTGGTCGTTTCAAACGACTGGGCTGAGCGATGTGATTGCTAACTGACTTTCTCCTTTCCCTGGCTCAGCTGGATTCGGAACTATGCCTTACTGCGCGGACCCATAACAGGAAGTGATGTGTGCGTTGGTGACGGCTGCTAGCGGGTTAATGGGCAAAAAGGGATGATGAGTCCTCGCGGACATGGAAAGGGTTCCGGTGGCATGTACGTGGGGCCATGCGGGGGGCTTGGGAGGATCAGCGCATTGGTACTGAGGCTATAAAGGATTTGGGCGACGAACGTTCCAGGGCATGTGGGTTTGCGTGCGCGTCTGTCAGCCCGGACAATGCACAACACGATGTGACATCATGCGACCGGGAAGGTTTGGCTGGCGGGAACTAACACAGCACCACGTGGAGCTTTGACGTATGGTGTTGCGGTAAGGTTAGTTTTAAGGAGCGGGGGACTTTCTTGAATTACTGCCGAAATGGAGGCGGCTTTATGAAGGTCGTCGTAGGTGTGGTACATGCCCTCTGGCGGGCTTGTCAGTCATGACAGCGACTAGGGAGCACTGTTGGCGTGTTGTCCTCATATCTTTCCTATTCACGATGTGTGCACCTGCCGTCTTTTGTTGGATTGTGGGGCTGGCTTGCAGCGCCATGCAGAAGTCCAGCTTATGGCTGGATGCACTCGAACACCTTTGGCATTACGCGCGAAGCGCCCCAGGGTTACACAGCGGGCAATCTCTTGTCTACAAATCATTCACAACTTGTAAGCCGTTTTGCATGCATAGGACCAGCATTCACGCGTTGGTAGTAGCTCGGTCGCGGCAGTACATGGATGCATGAGCGCCGGGGAAGGCCAACGGATTCGGCAGGGAGGCCAGGGGACACACTTGAGGGAACTGTTGCTTGTCCTAAAGGGTTAAAAGGCCGTAATAGGGTTGGATTTTACTATCGGCTCTAAAGCAAAAGCAAGTGCCGTTCAAAGCCCCAGTGCTTCTAGGACACAGCCCTCGCGCACCCAAACGCTTATGACAGCAACGCACATACCGCGATGCGATACCCTATACCTCTGATTCCCCCATCACCATCACCTTGCATCGCACAGCCAAACGTCTAAATCCATTCATGCACAGCAGCGCGCCTAGTTCAGGTAGCTCACATGTACCTCATACATTCGAGCGGTCTAAAGCCAGCAGCCAACACCTCCCTGCATCTGGTGCATCCGAAACCCGCAGAAGGCACACCTGCCCATTCCCTTTTGCCCTGATCAGTATGCAAGAACCCTTGTACGGATAAAGCGCGCACGCACCAATAAGCACAAGACTCATCCTCCAGCGCTGCATGCATATCGTATTCCTTGCTATCGCAGTCAGGAGAAGAAAATATACTAATCAAAGCAGCTACAGCACGCAGGTAGATGACTGGGGATAGGCCTACTCACGTGCAACACTCGAAATCCTGATCACCATTTCGATTGTAAAGGACTCAAACCTTCAGCACATTAACTGTTCCATACGTTCTAGAGCCAAAACGGATAATAGCGCTGGGCTGTTTCCTGCATTGTGACGAGTATTCTTATTGCCACCAGGCTCGGTACAAGGCTCCAACGCCAGCTGCGCAGGGCGCACCCACAGCTGTACGACGCTGGCATGCCCTATGGCCCCTAGGGTTCGCCACCTGCCAATCCGGCACGCTTGTAAAGAATGGGGCTCTTTCCCTCTCGTTGGCCGTTCCCGTGTTCACAATGATTTACTCGATGCCGCATTTACTGCTAGTACGGCATCTTGGCCATGTCTGCACAATCGACCATGCCTACAGGGCCGTCGGGCCCCAGGCACCAAGAGCCCCAAAGCGCAAATCAAGCTCCGATCCTCCGCTCCAAAGGGCCCTGGACTCTTTGCCAGGTCCAGGGTAGTGCGCTTTAGGTCCGCTGCCTCCTGGGAGCTTTCCCCGCGCCGAGCCTCTTCTGTTGTAACGGTGGCTTGGGGGCCGAGGAGACCAACCCGCAAACTGCCGCCGCCGCACCAACTGAACTGCGGCTGCCTCCAAACAAGCACCGTAATCGCCGCCGGCGCTGTGCCATTCTTCGAAAGCCAGGCAGCCCAAGCTTCGGTGGCATGGCCCCAGGCATGCCCAGTGCCCACGACCCTAAGCCGTGCATCCAGACCCAAACGCCTCGCCAGACCAGGGCCCAGCTCCTCAGCCACCCATGTCGCTCCACGCGCTGCTGGGAGCTGGCGCCGTCTTCTTCTGACGCGAAGAGACCGAAGCCACGGCGCACAGTAGGGTAGCCCATGTGTGATCACTATAATCGCGTAAAAGCCGAAGCTCAGTTAGTGATCATGCAGCACGTGGTGGTGCTCTCGGGATACCGAGAGGATCGGACATGGAAACCGGGCCGGCCAGTCCCGTGGGCCCAAACCCGTGCCGTCCCATCGTTCAGCCGTCACGCGCCGGCCCCGGCAACAGAGGTGGGCGGTCGCGAAACGGGCAGCAGCAGCTTCCAGGAACGCGCGGATTCAGAACAAGGCCTGTTAAACCGGACCCAACGGATACGACCCTAAACTCTCTACGCCAGCTTAGTGTAAGGAGCCCTCAATGACCCGATGTTCCAGTTACACCCTAGGGCATATCCAGGCCGGGCTAGACATCACCATAGGTTCACAGCCACATTTCATTGCGCTGGATAGGCCAACCAGGCCGTGGGAAGGCTATATGCGGAGCGCAGACGGCGGACTACAGCGCAGCGCACAACACGTAAAAGATCAGGCGATGTGCCTGCCGCTTTGAACACGTCTTACCTGCGTCGTATCCACCGGGGCAACGTACGGCGCTAAGTTGAGCTCTTCAGCCAACCCGGTGGCAGTCTTGAAGTCGCCTGCATGCAAATGTGTCACATCATAATCACTATCGACAAGCAGCGTTCCTAGCACATGTGTTCGATGTGCGCCCCAATCCCTGCCTAGTCACTGACTGTTCAGTCACTGAAAACATATCATCGCGGCAATGGCGCAACGATGTACGCAACAACAGGAGAGATCCAGAATGATGCCAATTGGAGCTGCCAGAAAGTGTACAGTACATGCGGCTCCACTCAGACCCGGCCAATGACCGGGACATGCGACAGGACTTCTTTCTCTGAGAACGTAGCTGAGGATTCGCCCCCTGCATCCTGTGTGGTCAGTACACCTACCCACTACCAAGCACTCTAAACAAGCAGTTCCTTTTCTGTTTCACGGAATACTGCCACTGCCTGAAGCCCGGAGTCCTGGATAATTTTTCCTCCCTCAAACACGTCGTCTCACGGCGGCTTCAGATCGACCTGCTCTCCTCCTCGGACTCGCGGAATAGCCGGCTCCCAACCCCAACCCTGGGCGGCCCCACACTTACCATCCGTGAACAGCACAATCCATACCTCTTCCAGCGGCGGTTTGGCGTCTTTAAGTACTGTGAGAGACACCTGCAAGCCATCCATGTCGTGCCATAATCACATCACTGGCTGTTTCAATTTTGCAGCCTCATTCCTGCTCCAGGATCCATCAAGGCCCCACCATGCAACTTCTCACCTTGGCAGCGTCCTTAAAAGGGTAAGCGTACACGCCGGTAGAGATGGCGGCAAACGCAACGCAGCGCACGCCCAGGTCCTGTGCCTTCAGCAACGAGTTCCGGTAGGCGTTGGTAAGGTGCTCTTCGCATTCCTGGTCGCGCTCCTTGGCGTAAACTGGACCGCAGGTGTGGATGATGTAGTCGGTCTTGAAGTTGTAACCCCTGAAGACATCGGGACAGGCATCGCCAAGGGCAGTGCACGGGGGCAAGTATAAAGGAACGCTGTCATGATGCATGGAAAGGTCTAGAGCATGTAGCTAGCTTTTGGATTTGCGTGGTTGGAACCGCGGGTTTGTGCGTTGGCCGCATATGTGTCGGGGTTCGGGGGAGCCATCGTTCCGATGAAACGATAAGGGACTCCGCCGACGGTCATATCCGGCAAATCCGAAACCCATCCTTGTCGTTTCTGTTGGACTGTCCACGCCACGCAGACAGGATTCGATTAAGGTGCACATGCTCCCCTGTTCTCCGGGATCGCTATGCTTGGCGAAGGGGAAAAAAGCGGGGGAGTTCTTCAGCATTCCATTACCAATCCACACGTACTTGGTCACGACGGCCTCTCCGGTCGGGCATCGGATTCCTGGCCGGACTTCTGGCTTGCTTAAGCACTCTTTAGCAAGTTCGGGTCCAGCTTTACTATGTATCACTGCGGTATTGAGGAAACATGCGGAAACCAAACTGAGTTGCTCCCACTGGTTCAAGAATTGCCAAAGATTAGGTTGCCATGCTTACTTCCATCGACGCCTCCGCCTCCGCATAGCCGCTGATTCGCTGCAGTGCAGGTTTGGCACAAGGTTCAGCAATGGCATGTCTTCCGGCCACCTTCGGTCAGCGTCCAAACGTTTCTTACCGGCATTCACAACAGCAACGGGTGTTATCTTATCTGGTCTTTCTTGCTGCATTTTGGGCCAGTCGGGTATACTACCTTTAAAAATAATGAGCTTCGGCCCGGCTTTTAATTTGTACTCCTTCTTAACGACTGTTGGTTGATTGCCTGACGCAGACATAATTACTGGGTAGCACAGCTAGTTAATAACTATTGACAAGAGAGACTATCTTCACCAGGTTCGATGATAGTATATCTAGTCAGATTCGATGCCTTACAATGAAATGAGCATCATGCGTGCGTTCTGCATATCGAGTTTCTTTTGTAATGTGCACTGGTGACGATTTGTCGTACATGGGTTCTGTTGACACCGAAATAAGTGGTTGTTGGCCAATCTGCTTGTTGCTGCAATCTTTAGATACTTCATTAAGCGGGTTGATACGCTAGTTGCCCGGCATGCTACTATCTGGTAGGGCGTGTTATCATCATGGCGATACAGGCTTACTAGTCCAGTGCATGATCCAGTGAGGCAACAGATGGTCACGTGTCAAGCTATATGTGAGATTCCCCGCGTGACCGAGAGCCACCCTTCAGAGCGCCAGTGTACAGCCAGGGACGAGCAGTGCTTCTAGCCTGTGCTGAGAGGCACCCAGCATTAAGTCAAAAAGGAAACAGATGAACTTGGTGGCAGGTGTTTCTTGGGAATACAGGCCATCGTAAAGTCGGTTATGGTCGCTCATGCCCATAACCCAGCCCTATACCAGCGCCGCATAGCGCCGCAAGGGGAAAACGAGTTGGCTCCAATATTGCACAGGGATTCAGTAACTTCTGCAGATTTTTTGGCATGAACTGAGGGTGACAAAAGAAGGAAGGCCGACCTACGGCTGACCAAAAGCATCTACAGTTCTAGGTCGGTTACTACTGGTTTCGAGCCCTAACCGGTAGCGCTCCGGTGAGGATTGAACTTAATAAAAACGTTTAAGCTTCAAATAAAGATAGGTTGATATAAACATTTGGTGAAATACGTTTAGCTTTAGAACTCAATGCCTGGTTCCTCTAGCTCTGCTCGGCTTCGGCGCTCCGAATACAAACATCGAACAATCATCCATCCATATGCAGCAAATATCAACGCACTAGAGCTTTGAGCTGCAACTTCTGGAGGGGCTGAAGGGTAGAAACCCTGCTCCATACTTGTCGTAGAACTTCATACATTTGTAAGCCATCTCTCGTACAACTAGACGAGCTATAAAGCCCGGAACCCAATTGTCAATCTAAACAATGAAATATTAGTATAATGCTCTGCAATCAGACAATTTCATGCTGCACTGTATGTCAAGCAAAAGAGCTCCGGCGGTTCGGACCGACCGCAACCGGACCGACCGCACAAGCTCGGTGCGGGATGACAGAAGTGGTGAAAATTTATCAAAAATGTCTCAGGTGTGTATGTGTGGACGAAGCTTGACGCCGTTTGCACGGTGTCGTGGTGGGCGAACGGCGAACCCAGATTGCCGGAAGCTCGCTGTCTCAATGGATTTGTGATTGAGTCTACTTCAGGAAGGGGTTAATCTTGGATATATGGGATAATGCACCTCCTATTGTATAGTGTCGTAACGCTGGTCGTCGTCGCTGGACGCGCAGCAACAGGTATTGCGGCCTTTTCACATTCTGGGATGCTGACACAACACAAATAAAAAACATGTTGTGCAGGGGGAAGACAAGAAAACTACTGCAGGGATGCCGCCTCCGGAGGCGGAGATGAGCCTCGACGCAGCCCTGGACCACTTACGCCGCCTAGTAAGCAAGCATGGACAGGACACCTTGCCAAGGTGGAAACTTTAGCCACACACGTGAATATTGTAAGACACCTGTCTTTCCGCGCGTAAGGAAGCATGACTTAGAAGTAACGTTCATTGTGGAGTCGAATTGCCACAACGATCCAGCAGCAAGCTGGAAGCTAGCATTTAAGTTCATGGTGCACAGGTTAAGGCTGCAATACTGCTTGGGGGATTTTGGCACAGTGTGTAGTGAGTACCTTGGGTGTCAGCCGCATCCTATATCCGCGGCGCCATACTGAATTCCTTGCGTTTGACCATAATCCCACTCATACAAATGTAGATTTCTGACCTTCAAAGCGACGTCTTGCGCCTTTCGGAAGCCGCCGAGGTAAGCAAAACCGGTCAACCTATGGGCCGCCGCCTTGGTCGAAAGGTGGCTGCTGGCCGATTTGTCAATTCCATGCCTCCGGCATCGAAATGCACTTCGCAGGCCATTCATCATTCATTTTCCCCGCATTCCCGAACTGTTGTCAACAGCAAAGTGCCGGACCCCCCCGTGTCCTATTACTGCTCTCACATTACGAGTGTCGGTCATCCTCCAACAGCCTCCAACACGGACAGCTCCCAGCGTCTAGCGATCAGGAATGGGTTGCTCAGGGCCCTCCCCTCGCATTCGGACGCGCGCACAGCGCAAGCTCTACCACACAACGCGCACAACAAACAAAAGCGGTTACGTAGCTTCTCGTAGTCCGACCAGATGCGCAGTTTTTTGTTTGTGATTACAATGCTTGTGCTGCATATTGTGCCAAAAAACATTGTGTTGGCAGGGCCCGTCCCGTGATTTTCTATGTTCTTCGTAAGGGATTTCCAGGGAGCAGCCGTTCCAATATACTTGCTTGATTTATGCTACTGTTAACCCTGGTTGCAGGCTAAGGAGCTTGCCGCGGAACAGGGTGCCGGGGATGCTGCAGCATTAGCAGTGGAGCCAGAGGAGCACGCGTCAACTGCCGCAGTACGGCCAGCCACAGACGCGGCTTCAGGACAAAAGAGGCGGAAGGCGGCAAAGGAGGTTGCGGCGTCCGTGCCGCCGTCCCATGCGCGTGACGGAGACGTGACGGTAGCCGGATTCCCCTCCTCTGCCTCTTTCACGTCCGGCAATGCGATTAGGGCAGCTGGACGCCATAGCGGGTCCACCGTGCTCGGCTCTGTATGCGCCAGCGAGGGACTACTAAGTCGCGCTACCAGCACGAGCTTCACCGGCAGTGCCGCCAGTCGCCGCCGCACATGCGATTCGCTGCCACCATCCTTCCACGACGAGTTTGAGCAGCCGCCGGATAAGGCTGCTGGCTTACGCTTGTCATCGTGCACATCGAGTCTGGAGGAATGCCATCTGCGGCACATTCGGGGGCCGGCGGCGAGCCCCAGCTGGGAAGGTGTGCCGGCGCGGAAGGCACGCTTGCAGGCCGCGGCGTCGGGGTTGCGGCAGCAGCATCACTGGAAAGGCCCGGGACAGCTGTCAGTGGCCGTGACGGAGGCGCTGCCGACGATATCATCGGCGTCGTCGGCAAGCGGTAGCGGCGCCAGCTCTGACGACGAGGCTTCCTCGTCTCCCGGCTCGCAAGCGCAGCACCGTCGGCAACGTGGTTCAGCTGGCCTGGTGGCGCAGCCCGCCGCTGCAGCCAAACCGCACACCACCGGCAGGTCGCATCCCACCAGCCCGTCTTGTGAGGCCGCCTTGCCCTTTTCGACATCATCTCCACCATCTGCATCACCAAAGACCCGTGCTGGTGGGACGCCGACATCGGGCAGCTCATATCGGACCCCGCGGAGCACGGGGCATGGGGAGCAGCAGCAGCAGCAGCAGCTGCTGGCCTCTCCATACTCCCTACGGATGCCCTCCAACATGAAATCTATGCTTCGCGGCAGATCCAACACCGCAGCTGGCGGCAGTGTTGGCGTCAGCAGCATAGCTGGATCCAAATCATCCTTGAATCTTTTTTACGGCGAGTCGCCCTTCCGCACTGCCAGCCAAACGCCCTTCGACCGCACGTGCGAGTCTTCACCCGCCCTCGGCGCTCCGGCCCACTACGCACCGTTCTCTGATTCCACCTTCGACTTGCGGGTCATTCCCAAATCGCCCGCGTTCGCCACAGCGCGTGAGCAGTCGGAGGCCACCGACGGCACTGGCACGTCGGACGGTGAGGTGATGCGAGAAAGGCACATTGGTGCGTCAGCGGCAGAGGCAACACTCGAGGACCGAGTAGTGGCGGCAGTAACTGCAGCACCGCGACGACCTGTTCGGGGGCCGGCACCAGCTGACGCTGCAGCAGGAGCAGGTGTAAGGAGGGGTGGAGAGCAGCAGCAGCAGCAGCAGCAGCGGAGGACGGCACCGGCGGCGCTGGGCTTCCGTCGGGGGCGCCCCCTCGCTGCAGTGGTCCTCTTCAGGTGTGTTTCAGCCCTCTTCGCGGAGTCGGCAGTCCCACAGGGGCAAGCAGGGAAGGCAAGGGTTGCGGAACGCACTGACGAGTAGCGCTCTGGGTCCGGCCCCTTCTTGACCACGCCTTCAATGTAGCAGGCGCATCGGGGTGTGTGGAGAGCGGTCAGCAAGCTCTCTCCACTGCTGCCGACTCCTCTCTGATTGTGCACTCCACTGCCGCCCCCGCCAGTTCTGATGCCGTCCTGCTGCTGCTGCTGCTGCTGCTGCTGCTGCTGCCACTACTGCAATTCTCGCTGCTGTTGTTCTTGCTTCTCTTGTTGTTCGGTTAACTCTGCTATTACAGCCGACCTGAAAGGAAGCTCATTTCTTGCTGGCGGTCGCATGTGTCTTCACGTGATGGCTGTACACGATACGCAGATATTGCCTACACACAAACGCATTTGAGGACGGAGAGCAGTGCACTCGGCTCTTCGACCGGGTCTTCGCAGCTTGGGAGCAGCAGGTACGGCAGCTATACCGTGTCTGCCGGCTCTGTGACTTGTATCTGGAAGGCTGAGATGGCTTACGTGGTGCCTTGAACTCGGTTCAACATTGCATGGTCCTAAAAGACCAGGAGGGCTGGGCCGGAATTGCTAGGGTTGTCGGATTAGGGGTCGCGCTGGGGGGGCCGCTGGGGGGGGCCGCTGGGGCGCCAGGGCGGTTCGGTGGATGCATTCTGCGTAGGAGACACGATGCCAGGAATTGCCCCCGCTTGCCCGTAATCTACAGCCGAGGCAGCCGTTGTTCCCTGCGCCGCTACAAGGGCTCCGTACATGCACATACAACAGCCTTCGTACATGAAGTGACATTGGGTGTTAAAAAGGAACATTGCCGCGTACAGCCTAACCACCATCTGCGAACAGTACTGACGGGCTGGTGGACACACATGGAGGACATGCATGTGTGTGCCCCTGGAGTATGCGCGGTTCGTTTTCTATGCATGTGGCATATGCCCCGATTGCAAGTGTACATATATATGCAAATGTACAGTTGTGGCTCAGCGCACAACCAGCTTCCCATTCATGAGGACAAGCTATTGGCCGCCTTACCACATCCTGGGCGTGTGCCTTGGCCGTGTCCTGCAGGTCTCCAACGGTCGATACGACATCAACTGCCTGTCGTACTGGCTATCCGTCAGCGCCGCACTGGCTGGAATGCTGCTTGGATGCGGAGCTATCAGCCCATCGGCCCACACCAGTCCAGGTAGCTGCGGTGGCGTTGGCAGCGGCTTGGGCGGCAGAGGCGCGGCCGGTGGCAGTGGCTGTTGCCAAGGTGTTGAGAAGGGGCTCACACGCCGGCACGGCGGCGGCTGTGAGGGCTCCGCAGATGGTGGACGCCATGTCGAAGATGCGGACACCGGGGATGCTGCGGCGGCGTTGCGGCAACGGCTTTTTGCCTTTGTACGAAGAGTCTTCATGGCATTGTACGACTTTGTACGGCGTGAGATTTCCCCCAGTCTCCATGGCTGCGTCCGGGGGCCCAGCGTGTCCGGCCCCCCGTCCCCCATGAGCACCGCCTCTGTGCATAGCTGCTCCAGCTTCTGCAGCAGCTACAGCTACGACACGGATTGCAGCTACTGCAGGTACTGCAAGGAACATGGTGATGATGGTAATATCTCCGCATCGTACGACAGCGAAAGTGGCTGTAGCTATCAAGGTGCGGGGAGCGCGAGCACATTCCAGGTTTAGGGTACGTGCGCAGGTCAAGGAGGGATCTTTTTGGAGTGCTTGGAACAGGGCGGCACATGGGCCGGGTTGGGACTTTGCGGTGGGGGGGACAAAGGAACGAACTTGGCTGCGACAACCCGCAGCCATTGTTTCGCTCCAACCAACAGTTGAGATGGGGAACCGCTCTTAGCTACAGCTCGGAGCACCGCTTGGGACTTCCCTTGGCGGCATGGATAGTCCACACTTGGAAACTTGCAATCGCCAAAAACTATGCTCTTTTACCCCGTAACCCCCTCACCATGAAGACTCGGACGTTGGGGAGGAGCTCGAGGATGGAGATGGCTCTTCCCATCGGCCCTGGTTGGAAGCGCTCAGTACGTTGGATTCGTTACTAGCTGTAACGGTCGCTAACCATGTACCGTCACCGTTAGTCCGGGTAAGCGGACGCAGCGATCTGGGTGCGGGAAAGGAGGGCGGCTTCGGGACGAGGTTGTTCACAGCATGGCTAGGGCCAAGCATTAAACAGACCGGAGAGCCCCGGACGGGGCCCCGGACGGGGGCTGGGACCACCAGGGTTTCAGTGTAGGTAGGTGCTGTGCTTTTAGGTACGTGGAGTCTGTATGTCAACAGAGGTCCTTTGGGGGTAGTGGGGGGTTGTGTGAGGCCCTCCAGGAGGTCGGGAGTGCGGACGGACATCGCTTGCTGTTCCCACTGGATTGCTGCTGCTTCTGAAGCTGCTGCTACTGGTGCGCGAGCTGTTCCAGCAATTGCAACTTGCCCAGGTATGGATGACGTTGCTGCCACTTGCACCACTCTCCGGTACCTACACGCAGGCGCTGCTCCGGCGGCTGTTGAGCTACGTCAACGTGCGGATGCTCAACACGTTGCTTCGCCACCCAAAGACGTGCTCCTTCACCAACGGAGTGTACTTGCAGACGGGGCTGAAGATGATGGCAATGTGGCTCATGGGGCGCGCGGGTGGCGACCGAGGTGGGGACGCCGCATGGGACGAGCTGCAGCACGTACGGCAGGTGTGACGGGCCATAATAGCGGTGTGTGGCTTGGTCGTATGGCAGCTCTTGTGGGTTCCTGTCAGCCAGACTGCCTGCAGGCGTTTGCGAGCTCTGGAGAATGCCGAACCGAACCGTTTATGTAATGGCTGCTGAGAGGCTAAGTAGGCTGAAAGCTTTTATGGTTCCTAGACACCCGGACAGCGGCTGCGGGGGCAGTACCTGCCTTAGGTAAAATGCCTGTATGAGCTGGAGTCATTGTGGGGTATGCTGAGCTGAAGCATGTTAGGTTAGGCATCACGACATGTATGCGTCGATAATATTGCCCAAGGGCGGTTCGGCACGGCGGCGTGCTGCGTGAGAGGATTGCTGCCGACGGGAACGCAGGGTGGAGCTATTGGCGGAGACCCCAAAACTCGGTAACATCTGTATCCCTTGGGTTTTTGCCAATCGTAAAATGAAAATGTCACCAGGCCGCCACGTTCATCGTCTTTCCGCGGCGCAGCGGCGAGGTCATCGTGAGGCCCGTATTGAGCGCACGGCAGCTTCTCCATCTCGCCATGTCGTACAAGGATGACCTGTACGACGAGGACCAGGTGGAGCGGGAAGTGGGGCTGCAGTTACGGTAGGCTTTTGCTTAGGAGGACCGAAAGCCCCAGGAGCATATGGAAGGGAGGTCACGCGTGGTTGTCGTAGAAGCCTCGGCGGCCGGTTGGAGGAAGGGATAAGGGGCTAAGAAACCACCTTAAGGTTGAGCTATGTAAAAGATTCATGCACGGAGAACGACAAGTGCCTGCCTCCGCATTAGCCACCTGGCTCCCTAGCCACTTGGAGCATCGCGGCTATGCTCCTCACCGTCGGCGATCTCGCTGCCAGCCGCAATACCCGCATGGTTCTGGTTCTCTAACTTATCCGCATACCTGCCTGCTTATTTGTCTGCCTGCCTGCGCGGTTACCTGGTCCTCAGGTCCTGCCGGATGCCTTAGAGAGCTTGGTGGCGGAGCAGGACTCAATCAACAGCGACAATCCCGACGACGGCGGGTCTCTGCCTCTGCTGAACTGCGACTTGCCCAGTCTATCCACTGGGGAGCTGTCTGAGCTGCTAGGAGGTGGTAAAATGGACAACAAGGTATGCCGTACAGCATGGAGGCGTGTTCGGGGAAGCTGCTCAGGCCGCACGCACAGCGTCCTGCGGATTTGCAGGAACTGGTCCAGACCAGAAGAGTGATCTCGGCTGGCAGCGGACGGCGGGGGACGGGAAGGATGAAGGCAGCGCGCAATCTGCTTTTAGATGTTCTCTATTTTACCTTCCACGTGCTCAAGCTGTGTGATCTGGGATAGTTGGGATCTGTGTGGAGAGGAATATCTGAGTACAACCCAATCTAGGTTTGCACAAGAGCGTGTAAATATGCGGAAGGGGCGAGACCGGGCCAGCTCCCCCGACCTGCTGAGACCGCACAACATGTCATCCATGGAACCAACTGTCGACCAGCAAGAGGAAACGCCCCGCACATATTGCCCTTCATATATAAAACCCTATATATAATGTTCAACCTGTACGTGCGCAGGACTTGTACGGCCGCATTGCCATCCCAGCGGCTCTGCTGGAAAGCAGCCACAGCTGTACGGCCTCGTTCGCTTTCCTCGAGGAGGAGGTGCGCCCCCTAGCTGCGGTAGCCTCGGCGCCATCACAGGCCCCGGCGCTGCCGCCGGGCACTGCAGAGCCACTGGCTTTGAGCCCTGCATCACCGTCACCACCACTGTCAGGGCCGAGTGCAGCGGTGGCGGATGCTGCACAGAAGCCATTGCAATCACCACTGCCAGCGCCAAAGGAGGCACCAACAGCACCAGCAACGCCAGAAACGTCAGCACCGGCGGCACCAGCAACACCAGCAGCACCAGCAACACCAGCAACACCACCATTGCCAGCACCAGCACCGGCACCAGCACCAGCACCAGCACCAGCACCGGCAACACCACCATTGCCAGCACCAGCACCAGCACCAGCACCGGCAACACCAGCACCAGCAGCTCCGGAGCCAGTAGCTGCGGCGTGTGCGCCTATTCGGACGGCAGGGGAGCGTCCCCACGAGGAGGCTGTCGTACTTTCGGCAGAGGGTACTGCATCCTCAGGGAGCTCGGACGGGAGTCCCAAGGCTGCCGCTGGCATCGCCGCCAAGGGTGCTAAGGGAGCTAAGGGAGCCGCCAAGGCCGCCAAGGCCGCCAAAAAGGCTGCGGCTTCCAAAGCTGCAGAGGCCCGCACTGTCGCTGCTGTCGACGGCGATGTGCTACCGCTAGCAGCTCCCACCGCCGCACCCATTGAGGCCCCCCAACCAGCGGCGCCAGCAGCCCTAATAGGCCCAGCGCAGTCCGCCCCACGGACTTCGGTTCCTGGCAGCCATCTCCCCGCCTCGCGTGCTGTTCCCCCGCCACCCCTGCTGGCCTCCGTTGCGAATCTGCGGTTTGCGCGCCCTGTGACAGCTGCCGCACCTCTGACAGTGCACCCTGCTGCCCGGCCTGTGCATTCCAACAGCGACCCTGATCTTCCAAAGGCAACCACCTGGGCCGCCGACGCCGCTAATGCTACAGCCGACGGCACTACAAAGGCAAGAGCCAGCACTACAACCAACGGCGCCGACGGCAACGCTGCAGCCGCTAAAGCCGATACTGCGGCCGCCGACGGCAACGCTGCAGCCGCTAAAGCCGATACTGCGGCCACCGACGGCAACGCTGCAGCCGCTAAAGCCGATGCTGCAACCGCCGACGACAACGCTGCAGCCCCTACAGCAGCCGCTAAAGGCGATGCTACGGTCGCGAACGGCAACGCTGCAGGCGCTAAAGCCGATGCTGCGGCCGCGACGGCAACGCTGCAGCCGCTAAAGCCGATGCTGCAGCCGCCGACGGCAACGCTGCAGCCGCTAAAGCCGATGCTGCGGCCGCCGACGACAATGCTGCAGCCGCTAAAGCAGCCGCTAAAGGCGATGCTGCGGTCGCGAACGGCAACGCTGCAGGCGCTAAAGCCGATGGTGCGGCCGCCGACGGCAACGCTGCAGCCTCCAAAGCCGATGCTGCGGCCGCCGACGACAATGCTGCAGCCGCTAAAGCAGCCGCTAAAGGCGATGCTGCGGTCGCGAACGGCAACGCTGCAGGCGCTAAAGCCGATGGTGCGGCCGCCGACGGCAACGCTGCAGCCTCCAAAGCCGATGCTGCGGCCGCCGACGACAATGCTGCAGCCGCTAAAGCAGCCGCTAAAGCAGCCGCTAAAGGCGATGCTGCGGTCGCGAACGGCAACGCTGCAGGCGCTAAAGCCGATGCTGCAACCGCCGACGACAACGCTGCAGCCGCTAAAGCTGATGCTGCAGCCGCCGGTTCCGACTCTACAGCTTCTAATGCAGATGCTGCAGCCGCCACAGCTGAAATCGCACATTCCAGCGCAGACTCTGCAATAATCGAGGCCGATGCCGTTGCCGCGGGTGCTGCAGCCGCCGATACTGCAGTTTTGGGAGCCAACACAGCAACCTCTAATACCGATGCTGGAGCACCTGACGCCGACGCTTCGGCCGCCAACACAGACGCCAACACGGACACTGCAGTTGCGGAAGCCGATGCTTCTGCATCTGATGCTGACACAGCAACCTCCGACCCCGATACTGTGGCCGCTGACGTCAAGGCTGCAGCTGCCGATATCGATGCTGCATCCACCGATGCCGACACTGCAACCTCCGACACTGACGCTGCGGCAGCCGATGCCGAGGGCGTAGTTGCCGATATCGATGCTGCATCCACCGATGCCGACACTGCAACCTCCGACACTGACGCTGCGGCAGCCGATGCCGAGGGCGTAGTTGCCGATATCGATGCTGCATCCACCGATACCGACACAGCAACCTCCGACACTGACGCTGCGGCAGCCGATGCCGAGGGCGTAGTTGCCGATATCGATGCTGCATCCACCGATGCCGACACTGCAACCTCCGACACTGATGCTGCGGCAGCCGATGCCGAAGGCGTAGCTGCAGATATCGATGCTGTGGCACCCAAAGCCGACATGCCAGCTACCGACGGTACAGACGAGGCTGCTGCAACGACCGAGACCGCCGATTCCACAGCCGGTACTGATGCCGCATACACTGACACCGACTCTCTAGCCGGGAACAGTGACGTAGCAACAGCCGATGGCGGCGCTGGTCCGGACGCGAGCATCGATGTCGTAACGTCGCACAAAGGCGCTACAGCCGCCGAGATCCAGGCTGCAGCCATCAACGCCGACGCCAAACCTTCTGACACTGACAAAACGTCTGACACTGACACCAGCACTGCCGACACTGACACCACATCCGCCGATGCTGAGCCTGCCGACTCAGCAGCAGACGCAGGAAAGGGCCGTAACCGTCAGTCCCAGAAGGCGGCGGGAAAACAAGGACGGAAGAAGCAGAAGTCGAAGCGTTAATGGTACCGTGCAGCTGGCTCGGTAGGCGGTGACGATGACAGCATAAGCATTTGCATCAGCGTCGGTGCTTCCGCTAAGGGCTTGCAACCAACCATGAACAAGGCCCTTTTCAGGGGCCCCACTGGTACCGGACGGCAACGATTTTTGGCAACACCGGCGGCCCCGGCGATTCTGGTGGCAGTGGAGCTGTCCCCCAGACGGACAAGGACTGCGGCACCCTCATGTCCCAGAAGTACCTCAATCTGGAGCACTAGGGCCGCTGTTCCTGGGCGAGCTTGTTGAGCCCTATTGAGTCTGGATCTGCCGTGACATGTCACGGCAGGAATGACATGCAGCCAGTTCTTACTTCATGAAGCCCGCCTTTGCCAGCAGCGACGGCTTATAGTTCGTGTGCCGTTGCGGCTGCTAGGGCTGGTGGTGATGAACCGTCCTAGGTAACCGTCCGCGCTCACGGAATGTTAAAATGCTGGGATAATTGATGGCAGGAATCATTATAGTGGTTAAAGGGTAATTTTCCGTAATTATAGCTTTGGGCCGGTATTGGGTACAAGGGCGTAATCTTTGTTGGCGTGGGTTTCACTCCAACCCACGCTGCCCTGGTCGGGTGGCAGGCTCAAAGACGCCACGCTTCCGCAGGCTTTAGGGCTTCTACTGGCTTACACCGTGTTTGCATCGGTGAGCTGTTCGAATTCACAGTAGCGTGATTCATCCATTTTTACAGATTGTATAGTCCGTTTCGCTTCCGGGTTGGCTTGCGCTTCGGCGGGTATAAGGATTGAGGGCTTGCATTAGGAATGTGCAGTGAGTCTGGCTGTAAGCGCCTGTTTTGTGGAATGGTAGGTGCGGCTGGGCTAGATTTTGATGCGGTTGCATCCTATACGTCGAGGAAATTGTGGGGCCGAAGCAAATGGTACGGTAAGGCTCATGTACGAAGGGAAGATTGATTGATCATGCTGTCCCTAGTAGCCATGTCCTAGAGCTTCCTTTTGCTGATTGGCAGGGAGATTCGCTAGTTATTCATGAAGCCAATGCCTTTAAGTGGACGAACAAATAGGTCCGCGCCGCATGCAGGTATTGCTGAGCAGATATTATTCCAGTAACCCCGATGGTTTGATACATTGTACACGCATCTGATTGCTACAGGTACCCGAAGCGCGGCAGATTCTTCCGTGTTATTATGCGTGATTGAAGTTGCGGGCACTTCATGTCTTGACATTGTCTCCTTGGCGGACCTTTAAAGTCGTAGCACCCACGTAAAAGCTCCGGCGGGGAGACGGGAGTCATATGCGTGTTATCCTCGTGTATACGTTATCCCACGTTTCCTCGTATGCGGCTAGACAGGCGGCAGATGCCAAACCAGTGAGAAGAAGACCAAGCTGATGGAGAGAAACTCGGCAAACGTTCACGACATTCTACCCAAGAGTGCCACCACGGCCGCCCTCGCTACCGCACACACGGGACATCACAGCCATCGAAAAGCGAAAGGCAGTACCCTTCCACACGTACGTGCAGACTTGCCACACTCTATTAAAAGCTTTTCCCCCAATATGCACATGGTTCAGCTGAACTCTTAACTTGTCGATGCGATGTCAAAGCGCGTTCGACACAATACCACTCATAAACGCGTCCCTCGGGCGAGAAGTTCCCCATTCGAACACATTGCCTACCTTTGAACGCTGGGAGACATCGACAGACATCGCCAGGACACTACAGAACCCGCATTGCTCACAACAACATACTACCTGGACACAGACCCACCCCCACACTCGGCCCCACCCATTGAAACCTAATGGATCGGCACCAGCTCCTACATCTCTTACCCAAGTGCGTACTAAAACAAGGCCCACGACTTTAATACCCTTCAGGGTACACCCACCAAAATAACCTCACAGTCCCCTCGACTGTAGCATTGTAGCATTGTTTGGCCTGTCACCTTCCTCGACACTGTCCTGATAGGCGTCCTGCTGCACATGCAGCTGTTAACCCCCATCAGTGGCAATCAAGGCTCAAACCCGTGCCGTCAAAAAAGCCTTCACAGGAAACGCCTTTCCCATCCCTTTTGTTTGCCAAAGCTTATGTACACCAGCAGCATTGAAAAAAAGCGAATCGACACGGCTGCATCTCGCGTAACACTCGCTACCCGCCACACCCGCCATGAACGCCGCAGCTGCTGCAGTTGCACGTGCTTGACCTCCTGCTAGCGGTGCTTCCATTAGACACACCCCCTCTCATCACTACCTACGTCGTCTGGTTATGCATATTCGCGAGCCTGGCATGTGCTGGCCACGACGGGAGTCACTTATCAAGAATGGTCACCGTTTCAGCCTGACGACCGCCGTCCCAAGCCAGCACCAAGGCCCAATGCAAGCATGTGCAAAAGTTACCGCTGCGCTGACCCCACAAGCCGCTTGTAAGGTGAAGTACTCCGAATGCTGTTTGCAGCTGCCGGGCTACGTCACTGCGGCGACGGTGCGGCAAACCGCAGCTCCTTCTCAAGGAAGGCGAATGATGCTGAACCGTCGCCGTCTTGCAGCACCTCCGGTACAGGTATGCCACCATACAAGTCCTGCGCGATAATTGATACAGGCATGTGGAGTGCCGTATACAGGCGCGATCTACAGTGAACTGCAATCCCCACTGGCAAAGACCCCCCCCAAGCACCCTCAGCGATGCGTCGAAAGTGGCCCAGGCCATGGATGGCCCAACGCACCTTGTCGTCCATATTCGCTAGCAGCTCCGCCGCCTGGAAGGGTAGACTGGAGTCGTCATCCAGCAGGAACGAGTGGCTCGCGGTGCTGTTGGACTCCACCATGGCCTGCTTCATGCGGCTCAGCACCTCGGGGGAAACCTGGGTGATTAGGACGGGCAAGAGAAGGGCATCCTTTAAGAGGAGCGGAGGTGGATACCAGCAGTGAAATCTCTCACAAATAACTCATGTAGCCTTTGGGTGTCTTTGGGCTCCCCTAAAGGGGAGACCTGAAAAAGAAGCCGACAGAAACAGTGCATATAAACCAACACGTGTGTCCCTACCCGTGGACAAAATAGTGCGCGTGGCCAGCATGACAGCGTGACTAGTTGCGTAAGAAAGGCGAGCGACGCACCGTCTCAGTGTTGTACTTATCGTCCCAGTACATCGTGGAGATGCGGTAGAGCTGCTGAATGGAGAGAACGGGGCAAAGATCCGACGTGATCTCCTCCAGGCTCTTCTTGGGCTTGTTGCCGATCACCAGGAAGGTCACCGCCTGCGGAGCGATGGGGATGCGCGCCAAACCAAAACCGCCACATATTGTGACATTGCGTATCAAATTGAGCCCAAGGTAAGGAACGTATTAGCTCAGCACTGAATGTCGTCCACGCGTCTGGCCGCGGAAATGCCAGGGGCCCTGCTATAGGAGGGTCACGTGCGGAACGCTAACCTACGTGACAGGGTTATTACCCGCGGATTTGGACCACAAAACTCGTATTCATGCAACAGACGCGTGTCCATTCGCCAGCCCCCATGCACGCCGTTACCTGGCGGAGATATTTCAGTTCCTCCCACGAATCTGCGATGTAGTCTGCGCCTGCGCCGTTGATCCAGTGCGCCACCTGTTCCAGCCCCGTCTTGACATACTCGCCGTTGCTGAAGGAGCAGCACTCGCGCCGCAGCAACAGCTGGTTGAACAACTGCACGTTGACGAAGCGGAAGAGCTGCTTGAAAAGCGCCTGCGCAAAACGCAATGGAAAGGAGTCAGGTGGAAAAGCCATATCACGGAAACTGCGTGCAGCCATACAGTTATAGCTAGAAGCTTCGCATGTTCTAACCAACCTTACGGACTGAAAAATCGCTTTGAAGATTGAAACGTTTTTTTTCATTTTTTGCCTGTCCCCCCTTCGTGGTTCGCTCACCTGAACAAGGACCTTGGGCACGTAGTTTGCCTTGACCAGGCTCAGCAGATTGTCCAGAACGTGCAGGATGTCCGTCCAGGACTTGTGCGAAGCGGCTTGCTGCGCTGAGCCACCACCTGCAGTCGCACCAGGCGGAATGGAACGCACGCAAGGTTGTCCAAAAAAATCCACATCTCCTAGGTATTTAAACAACGGGTGCATCACACGAACTAACGCTTCAACACTATGCGGCTTGTTCCACTCGATAAACACTTAAGGCGGGTGTGGCTGGCAGAGGTTAAGGCCTGACTTCTGCTCCCGGAGTGTCCGAGTTCAAATCCGCCTGCCAACCCCTCGGTGTGTGAGGGGTGTTGAATTGGGAGGTGGCCCCCCATCTTGTGGACGGTGTAGGACGTGATTATATCAACTTGCGAGCTGACCAGGAACCGTTGGTCTGCGCCGTTGATCCGCTAGATTTGGTTGGATGCTGATGGTGAGTTGCGGAACCCAACGAATACATTCTGAAGTCGGATGGGGTGAATGGATTAGGGTGCCCCTCTCGCAGGGGAGAGCAGGGAACTGCCTCGGGAAAGGGGGCCGCTGGTGAAGCTATACCACCCTGTAACAACATACATACGTAACGAGGGTCAGATTAGCTTCCCTGCGGCTGTTGCCATGACCAAGTCGAAACGTTGACCCGCCATTGGATCAGTACACACAGTCTTTATCTGCATGTTCGTACCTCCGGCCCTGTCGCCTCCACTGGGTGCTGAGGCCCCCGGGCGGGCCACAGAGCGGCCAGACGCCTTAGGAGTGTGGATGCAGTTGTTGAGCATTGGCGAAATCTCCTTGCGCACATTGTCGCGGATCATGGGAAAGATCTTCTGCACAAACGCGTCCAGCTGCTGTTTGAACAACAGGGCTGGGTACTTGGCCTCGACCTGCTTGAAGCCGCCTGAATTTACGCCAGCAAAATGCAGAAGAGCAAGATGAAATTTAGGGTGTTAGCGCAGCAAAAAACAGGATCGTTCCTATGCCATGCCATAAGCAATGAGTGTCACGATTGCCGCAAAAGGGGATTGCAGCAAACGAAGTTACCCAGCCTAAATGCGTTGCGCCAAGACTGGTAACGGTGCTCCCCACTTACCCACGCCGCCGCCATGTATTGACGCTTCCGTGTGTGACAGAGAGCCTGGCGATGCGCCGCTGCGGCTGCCAAACATCGCGCCTAGCACGGAGCGCGTCGCGGCGCCTACACCGCCTGCCGCCACACCACCTCGCGCCTTATTCATGTTGCCGGAGGCGGGCTTAATGTTTTTGTTAAGCATATGCAGCAGCGTCACGGTGTTGGACAGCCAGTAGGCCAAGCAGTTGTTATCATCCTGGCCTCGCTCGACCTGCGTGCGCATGGGCGGAGGGGAAATCAGGCTGGTTAGGGCATGTACAGACTCCAGGTCGGCTCCTCAATCGCGAGGTAAAAAGGTCAGAATAAAGGCGTGCTGACAGAGCGACACCGGGGGAATTCCCAGCATTCGACAGATGAGTGCGTGGCCTTGCAATCCGTATCCTGCACTCCTGGCCTGCTAGAAGTCAAACTCCTGCAATTTTGATTCTGCCTTAGATCCGAAGTCAGCGCTGCAGGAAGGGCAAGGATCTAGAAGCATAACGTGTGCAGTTGATAGCGCTCACCTGCTGGCCAATGACACCCACAATGCGATCGAATATTGCCGTCCGGTCCGCCTGGAAGGCACGGGAGTGGAGGCAGTACCTGTATGCAGGAAGACAGGAAGGGTGTACAGGTATACAGGAAGACAGGACTGTGTAAAGGAAGGACCCTTTCAGAGAAGGCAACGCCTCGATCCACTGCTGCTACCCGCGACAGCGGCACAGCTAATGTTGCCCCGGGGCAGTTACCATCGGGCACCAAAACCCGTTAGCGACAGTTAAAACGCAGCTAAGCTCAAGTACGATTGTAACTTTTACCCGAGCTGTATTAAACACTAGCCTGTTCCGATTGGTCGGTAACGAAGTTTACTATCGCAAACTGCCTTTGCTACAAGCGATATGTGTCGTTCTCGGCTAGCTCGGCCCACGAGTACGAGTTAATCGCGCGCTCGCCATGACGCACTTGCTCTTGTACTGCAAACCCACGCAAGCCTGCAAATACCCTCCGGAATCACAGTGCATCCGATAAAAGTACCTAAAAACCCGTTCTTTTAGTCCTTACCTGAAGATGACGATGGCAGCCACGGGCCGCCCCCTGTGGAAGCCCATGCCCACTGTGCCGGTACCCTCTGGGTGTTGGCCACTGCTCGACGTGGGCAGCGGCGCTGTGAGGGCGGCCAACAACCGGTCTTCTTCTGCCTTGCGCTTCTCGGCCAGCATGGCCACCTGCTTCATCTGTGCCTCTCGCATGCGTCGGTCCGCCTCGCTCTCAGGGCCCGCACCGACACTGCCCTGGATGCTGCTGAGGACGGGTGACCTGTGGGTTCAGGCACAACAGCATCAAAAAGGGAAAGTCATTGCGGCACGCACATCACTTCAGTTGAATTGTGTATTGCTTGGTTCCCATACGGATGCATTGTGTCCGTTTGAAATAAACAAGTAGGACGAAAAAGCTGTGTAGGATAACGGCCTTAATCCAATATATCCGGACCGGGGACGCAAGAAACTGGCAACTTTACATACGCCGGTGTCTTTCCACAGGCTTTTCCATTATGCTTTCCATAGGCAAAACCTGTGTCCGAGCATGGCTCTAAACTTTAGGCGATTTGCAACAAGCGGGAGACACAATCGACCCGTGTTGCCTCTCAACAGCTGACCATACCGCATGTCGTCCTCGCCAACCATGACGCCTGCTCGTGGAGGCGTCCGCAGTGGCGTGTTTTCCTTCGCAAAAAGTCCGCTGATGTTGTCAGCCACATTGCGAGCGTACCCTGTATGCAACATGCAAGACGCACAAGAGCAGCAGAGACGTATTAACGTTTATTGCCTTGCCCACAGATGTTTAAAGCCTTCATGCACGCGCCAGCAGGAACAAACGGCATCGGCTCTATCCACGAAATGCGCACATCCACTTGCCCCATGCACCTGGGGCTGTTGCTTGAAGCTTTTGGAACATGTGCTGCATCGCGCTCGCTGCTGGGGCAACCGGGGTACCGGCAGGCGATGGCGAGGCTGCGCCGGCGGCTGGTGGCCCGACTGCCGACTGTAGCGTCTGTACAGCGACGGCCGCTGCGCTTGCAGCCGCCAGCTCCTTGTCTTTTGCCTGCAGAAATCCGACGTAATTATGGACAGCATGTTGAGCGGTTGGCCCAAATGGCAAAGAGTCAACGGCTTGCTACAGAGCATCGCCATAAACGGGCTACACGACCACCACACAGGCGGAAACACGCCCAAAACTCTCATGCTGCAAAGACTGCACAAGAGTCGTCGGTGTTCCTACTCGATGTGCACCACTCATACGACAAAGCGCAGCTTCAGTCACCAAACAAAATCTCTACTACTGGGATCTCCAGCCATCCCGTTGACAGGGTGAACATGCCTAGTGCGGCCAACATGCACCCGATTCGCCTGTACCTGTAAAGCCTCGGACAGCTTGCTCATCTCGTTTTCCAGCTCCAGCACCTGGCAAGGAAATCACAGTACAATTTAAGTAAAGAGCCGGTTAGCACTATAGCTGGCTGCCATACACATTATCTGTTCAAGAGCAAGCACAAGGGCCCAAGCACATGGGCATTCGGCTGGCAAGGGAAATTAGGGCATGGAAGCGGCATTGTTGCACGCCCCATCGCCGGGGCCTCCCCCTTGTTTGCGGTACTTCCTGTGGAGCGCTGCCGCCCAGGCCGCTTCACAGGGAGGCCTTCGGAGCATTGACGCAGAATCCATTAACTTGCGGCCTGCACTCACTGACATCCGCTCCCAACACTCGACGCCTCCCACCTGTGGCTGGCATGAGCCCGGAGCACACAAAATAATCCCATCCCCTGGCCGCAACGCACCCGCCCGCGGGCCTCGTCACGCTGTGCACAGGCATTCTGCAGCCGGGTGATGAGGTCGGACTTCATCTCGTGGAATTTCTTGTCGATCTGGCTTCGCTCGCTCATAAGCTGGCCGATGTAGTCCTGTGCCTTCTTCAGTGCGGTCGCCATCTCCTGTGCCTTGCGGTTGGCCATCTCCTCTGAAGCGGCAAGCCGCTCCTTCAAAGAAGCCATTTCCTGTGGGCATACCCCACAGGTTTCACAGAGAACGGATACGATGCAGACGTTATGGGTGGCAAGGACGCAGAAAAAATCCGGTATAGAAATGTAGATCACATACCTGGCTCCTGTAGACCTAAGCAGCAATGTAGTCGTGACATTTTCCGCACCTGCTGTAACCTGTCGTTGTCTTGCTGCGTAGCTGCCTGCTGCTGCTGGGCCTCCTCTAGCCGACTGAGACTGGCCACCTCCAGCTCCGCCTTCATTTCCTCCACGCGGCGTTCCAGCTCGGCACGGGCCGCCAGCTCCTCCTTTACCTGTTTTGGCATAATCACGAAGGACTCCAAAAGTAATCGAATGGGCGCGTGAAACAGCAGCAGGGGCAGACAGACGGAGCTAAACACTTTAACCTCATGCACGGCAAACAGCATATAGCGCCCAGCCCTTCCATGAGAAGCTTCATGACACGACCATTTTCGCAAGAGTGCAAATTCCATCTCCCTCGGCAGCTGGGTTCTCCTTTCTGACCTGTTGGCGCAGCTCATTGCGCTGTCCCTGCACCGTCTCCAGCATGGCCTGCAGCTCATGCACCTTCTGCTCCAGGGCTTTCTTGTCCTCCAATAGCTTCGTGCCCTCCCGGGCCTGCTGTCGCAGGGCGCGCAGCTCGCGGCGGGCAACCTGCGTAGGTGACGCAAAACCATTCGGCGGGCGCCATAGTGCTTAAGTGATCGCGCCTAACTCCAGTCAACGCTAGGTAAATAGCAATCGGTCTCAAAACACAGGATTATATAGGTCTTTGCCTCATAAGCCGATCTCGACACCTACACAACACGGAGTTGACCAGTGCCGAATCGATGGGAACATACCTTTACCCAAGTTTGAGTTCAGCACCCCGATTCATTAGTGAAGCACGCCGTAAGCATAACCCGCCAGTTTCATGACAGATGGCCGCAGACCACACATCAAAACATGGATACAGTTAAGCTTGCTTCCTCACTTACCTTGATCCTGAAGCCGCTCTGCACCGCAATAGCTGCCCGCCGTGCCTCCAGGAAGGCGCGGCGCGCCTTAAAGCCCCGCCAGTAGCGCTGGATAGTGACGGCTGCGCCCATGCGGCGCAGCTGCGCCAGGCGCTGGCGGGCGTTGCGACCACGGAACATGGACTGCACAGCCATGATAAGGCGTCGCTGCTCCAGGTAGGTGGAGCGAGCCTTGTAGCCGCGCCACATACGCTAAAGGACAGAGTGGGCGGAAAGGGTTCGTGGTAGGGGTTGCGCGCAACGTAAGTGGGAAAATCGCCAAAGGCCAGGCCTACGATGGACAGGGGCAAATGGCAGCATGCCACCTCACCTGAATCGTAAGTGCCGCCTTCTCACGCCGCAGCTGCGTTGTGAGCTTGCGGGCCGACCATGCACGCACAGCACACTGAATTCTGAGCACGGCAGAGCGCGCCGCAACGAAACGCCAGCGGGCCAGGGTACCACGGACGAAGCGCTGAATTGTGATCGCGGCACCGTTGAGCGTGTCCGTGCGCAGCTTGTCGAGCTGAGCCATCTGGCCGGCGCGCATGAACACCTGCGTTAAAACGAAACGCAATCCAAGGCGATTTGTATGGACACCAGTGCTGCTGAACGGCAATTGCATCTACACTGGTATCACCACACGCCCGCTCCACCTGGCATGCATGCAATCTCGCCTTCCTGGAAAGCGGCGTGTGCAGAGTGCACAGAGGCCCAAACTTCGGCAACTGGATGAGTCCAGCAAGAATGCCAATGTCTGCAATCAAAAGAATGGAGTCTTTTGCATACCTTGGTAAGACCCAGCTGGTAGCCTGTGACGCCCGCCTTCGCCAATATGGCCTTTGTGACCTCTTTGTCGTCTACATCCGTCTTGAGCAGGTCAGGCGCCAGCTGCCAAAAGTGGTCCACGAACTCGTCGTAAGGGCGCTTTGATGGAAATCCTGCACGTGTACGCAGGCACACCCAGGCGAAGCAGCAACCCATTATGGGCCCGCATTTGTCACGAAGCGTTGACGAAGATGTGAGTAGGGCCGCGACATCACGATAACACAAACCTGCAAAACAAAAGCTGGTACCGGTTTGCGATGAATGCACGGGCAATGCAACCAGCAAAACAAGTGAATAGCATGAGCCAATGACGGACGCAGTGTGCAGGCTTCTAGATGACCTGAACGGGACGCGGGCATGGGGATCACCATCTATGCTTCGACGGCACGACGTTATGATGCCACAACTGCATAGCACGAACGTCATGTCACGCCGTACGCACGTGTTTTGTTCGGTGCTACAGTCATGTGACGCGACAGTCATGAAACAACGAAGCGCCAGCTTACCAGCACAGCTAATGCGCACTGCCTCCATGACACCACCGCACTTGAGCTGGTGCAGGACATTCTTGTTCTCAAAAACACCCGGCTGCGAGATCATGGTACAATAGGGACAGATGCGCCACCGGAAGGGCATTACACGTCGACTGGCGAGAAGTGGAGGGCCGTGAAGCTGTCCAACAAGTAAGGCAGTCCCTAGGATGGTTGGGCCCAAGAGCGAATACCAGGACGCGCGCAACACAAGCTGGGTAACTCTTGTGGTAACGTGCATCTTTCCCCACTTGCAGGGTATCATCTAGTGCCGCCGATCTTGGCATCACATGCCTGTAGATAGGGTGATCCATGCCCGTACCTGCGCGCTTTCATTGGGCTTGATACAACGGATGTAGTGCGGCTCCATCGCATGCAGTTGAACCATCAGCTCCGCCAACTGCTTCTTGAATTGACTGCCGACCGAATTGAACTTGACGCCCTTGGCGCCGCCACGGCGCCCAGGTGGCGTTGGAGCCGCTGCAGCAGAGTCCCCAGCCGCGTCCGTGTCCGTGAACAGTGCCGCAATGAAAGGCTGATTGGAGCTGCACAGCAGCGCCTGGTGCTCAGGGACCACGAAGTCTTTGTTCTTCTCGATGAAGTTCGCGGTGTCATACTTCACGGGGCCGGCGTAGTGATCGATGATGAACTGGGTCATGGAGGTCTTTGGCTTGGAAAAGCGGCGTGACTCCTTGCATGTTGTAGCATTGTACAGTTTCTCTGCGAAGTCCTTGCCTTTAGCGTCCACGAATCTAACGTGCACGTGGGTTTCAAGGGCAACAAATCAACCAATAAAGCTTGCGTTAAGCCGCTTAGGTCGGGATGCGGACAGGGTCTTGTATTAAAGGCAAGATGATTAGGACGGGTGTAAACAAAGCGTTACAAAGCCAACCAGGGCCGCCCAGGAAATGTCGCACCTGCAGACCTCGTCTAGAAGGTCCAGAATGCCAATTCTGCCCTCAATCAGGTCAAGCACATCTTGGTTGTCCACGAACTGGATGTAGCTCCAGTCGATCTGCTCGCGCTCGTATTCCGCCTGCGTGGGCGCCAAGCGATGCAACGCTCAATCCGTCGGGGTAAAAAACGAGTGAAGTAGGCTTCCAGCTGCGCAATAGGGCCGCGGTCATTGCTTGCCACTGCTTCTAAGCCGCGAGGCTGCGAACACCTCCAGCGGATCAGTGAACTAGGATGCACGACGAAACTGTAAGCCATGGAAACACGGGATGTACTGGCAGACATGTTATAGTACAAATGAGAGTGAGAACCAGTGGCAAATCCCATAGAAATTTGGCACCCTGAACCCACCTGCTCCATCTTGAAGACGTGCTGGTTGAAGTGCTGCTGCAACTTCTCGTTAGCAAGGTTAATGCAGAACTGCTCGAAGTCGTTATACTGAAACTGCTCAAAACCGTAAATATCCAACACGCCCACACTAGCTGCGCAGCTCCTGAGCGCCATGGAAATTATCGCGGGTAGGCAAATCAGGACATATTACAAGCCAAAGAAAAGCGCCGTTGACGGGGGACAATCCCTTGAGTGTGACTAGGCCAGGATAAACAGGACAGGTGCGGGCCGCGTCACATATCCGATAACAGGCCGCTTATCTCTTCCCCAAGCCTTATCCTCAGCTCCCAAAACTACTAAACATCATTAAACTGCGCACGACATTCATATCATTGCATGGCCGTTATACGAGGCGTGAATGGCCTTGGTCACAGTAATTGCCCATTAAGTTGTGCTTAAATCCCAATAAAACGAAGCCCACTGCTACCCGTCTCACTTGTCTTCGCCAATGGCTGCGTTGATCATGCGCACCAGCCAGTCGAACATCTTGGCATAGACGATCTTTGCCAGCGAGTCGCGCGTCTCCGCGGCCGCGCGTGCGTCCAGCGGGCTGACAATGGGTCCCTCCGGCGTCTGGCGCACGCGTGTCGTCAGCGCCTTGCACAGGCCCTCCTTATCCACGCCCAGCAGCACGGCTGCGGATACCCAACCACCGACACATTAAACCCCCGGCGCGGTCACATTTCCGGGCAAACGGTACGGTGCCACACAAGCACGGCGTGACTGCTTCACCCGGGATGTGCAGAGCTGCTAAAGTGCAACCCTCCGATGAAGTTGACCCAACCCGTTGTCAAGGTATGACTGCTTAACTCAAGTCTCGACGTATCATGAAATGCAGAGTGCGTTTTTTACCAAGACAGCGGTATTACTAGGCCTGGACAAAGCGCGGAATATGCTCCAACCCGGCGTTGAAAGCTGCAGCAAATTGAACATGCAGATTGGCTAGTTTTCAGCTCGATAAGAAAGCACATAGCATAACAACGGCAGTAGTGTAGGGCCTGAAGGGCCTGGAGACGGATGGGGGGCAATACTTGGGGCAACGCTCAGTAGCACCGGTGATCATCAGGCCTTCGCGAGCAGAAGCCACGGAGGTGGCGTTGCTAGGCGGCTTCCGTGCTTACACCACTGGCAACCTTGAAGCCGTCTTATCGCCTGGCAGTGCAACGCAGGGCATCACCAGCCTTACCGGTCGACTCAAGGGCATCTTCCGTCGCGGGCGTCACCAACGAGCTGTCCTCCGGTCCAGGACTGTAGGAAAATCGGACACAAAATAAGCAATCCTAGGTGAAACAGGGCACATCCACCAGGATGACCTGTCGCACAAAAAGAGAGTGCAATGCAAAGATTGCACATTCCTTCCCGCTCTCTGTGGACTAAGGATAAAGCCACAGGACAATTTTCCCAAGAACCTGTCGCATTCATTCTCCATATAGTTCCCTACCCGGGGAACCCATCCTGCCGCCCCAGCATCGGGGCCCGCCGCTGCCGTGACAGCCCGCGTGGGCGGCGCAAAGTGTGACTTTTGGCACGCGGCCTTCGCTGGTTACTTATTTGACCAAAGCAGCGTCGAGCGTATGCAGAACCCAAATCGAGCAGCTATCGGATACAACTTCCCACTACATAAACCAATAGGTCCCGCAATGGCGCAGGGACCGCTTCGCGGCTGGAACGCACAAGTCAACACTCTACTCCTGTCTGGTACGAAAGAATGTTAGGCAAGCCGCGCTCCGCTCAGGAACCGAAAAATCTCGGCATACTTCAATCATGCATGATTCGCTGACATTCTCAAAGCATGTTCTGCGGTAGATCCTTGAATATGGCATGGTCGATCGCCATGATAGTCCATTTCGCGCTTCACCCTTCTGTCGCCTCTTAACATACTATAGGGCAACATGCCATGGAAAGCGCTGAACTACCTACACATACTCACTTGAAGTTGATGTTGCCCAGGTGCAGGATTGCGGCGACCGTGCGAAAAATGGCCTCGCGGTCCGCGGGGGGAATGCCCACTCGCTCCATGGCGTACACGGTGCGCTGCAGTACGTGTGCATGGAAGGCACAAGTGGTAGCATGCGACGTGAAAAAACGACTGAGTTTCATGGCAGCTGCCTATGCCTTGATTTAACATGTGCCGTGAAGTGTAATAGACCTCTCCTGATCTGAATGAGCATCCGGAAACATGGGACATGTTACGAGGAACCCGAAGGCAATGATACCTGACGGCCAGATCGCTAACCAATACGCTGGCATGCATATGTAGGCCCGCAATCCTCTGTAGGGACGGGCCTGAAGCCGATACCCAATTCACAGCAGCACAGCAGCGGTCGCAAGCGAAGGCCAGACTAGCCACTTGCCGATCCTGTTCCGACGCCTAACTGTTCCATCTTCATGCTTCCTCTCCGTGCGCTTTCGTGACCCCCAACTCTATATCGTTAAGCGGTGCATGGCTATAGTTGTGCAACCCAGAGCACCTTAAAATCTTCCGCGTTGTCCGTGCCCGGTAGCTGGAAGCAAGTGGACTGGTTGAGGTACCTGTACTCCTGCGCGCCCTTCAGGCGCAGCTGCGCCCGCTGCTCCGGGCTCGCACCGTCGCAGAGCTGCACAACAATAGGAGCAGTAAGCAATTGCAAGAGATTTCCGTTTTTGCAAATGCATTCGATAAGAGAAAGGGTGATACGAGTTGCAATTTACCAGGCCAGGCTGGGCGTTCTCCAAGGAGCGCATAGGCCTAGTGCAAGTCACCAGCGGCCGCTCGCGTCTGCCGGTAAGTCCAAAACGTTGGCACCAGCCGGCATGCCTCTAGCATGGAACAGCTCTAGCATGCGACCGGACCTGGTAGAAGATGTGGTAATTTCGCTCAGGGTTGTTGATCGCAACAACGCGTGAGCGCTCCAGCAGGTACGTCCTGATGGCCGCGCCGCTAATCACTCCTTTATCGTTGAAGTTAATCTCCACGTACTTGCCGAAGCGCGATGAGTTGTTGTTACGGGTGGTTTTGGCATTGCCAAACGCCTCCAGCAGCGGGTTGGACTCGAGGACCTATGTGGGCACGAAAATAGTCGCTTCGTAGGGAGTATCGGAGCGCTGTGTCCACAGCAAGAGGGCGTATTCGGCTTAAATCACTGACTGCGGGAGGTGTTTCCCATCAAAGCAAGTATCGACCACTGACTTAAGTAATTGCAGCCCAGGACGATGAGGAAACCCTTTCTTTCTTTCCCCTGGCCGTAATACCGTGCTTCTGCCAAATGCACTGCCCAATTCACAGACAAAACCGAACAGATGGCATGAGTAAAGCGTTTCCGATGAGCCTCCACAGGTGCCGGCCTAAGCTCTATGCAACCGCGGTACAATTTTCCCGCCCTCGCTCAACAGACTCGCATTTTTAGTGGCCGATCATGGAAACTATATGCGGTGCCAGTCCTACACATAACATGATGCCAACATGAAAGGCCACCGACACGCACCTGTTCCTCCACGCTGCCACCACTGCCAGTTCGCTCGCCCGAAGCTGAGTAACCGCCCATGTATGCTAGGTACTTCATGATTAGCTTACTGGTCTCCGTCTTGCCGGCACCAGATTCACCGCTCACCTTTCGCAGAGTTCCAGAGGGGGGGCACTCCATCGTTAGAACATCCAGCTGTTAGTCTGACATTGTGGCCACCCGACACGGTTGATCCCGCCGCGGTTATGACGGCCAGCGAGGCCCAAGCGGCAATTATTAAACCGTAGAAGCTTCTCCAACTGAAAGACTGCAACCGGTAGAGCTGGAACAATGGCTTAACCCTGGCTAAGCTAGTCAAATGTCGTCTGAAACAGGTATACCTGCCAAACATTCTGTGCTGAGCTTTGCCGGCCCAGGGTGTCTTTTAGCAGTCAAGCTCTTCCCATGACACCCCGCACGGCAATGCGCCGACAACATTGGGTGCTAATTTGTGAGACTCCGTACAAGCTGAAGTATGCTACTCCTGTAATCATGGCTGTGGGCCACCAACAGACACGGCCAAACCCTGTCCCTGGCCCATCCCCCAGTGTTAACTTCCCCTCACGCACCAGGATGCTCTGGCCCTTCATCTCCTTCCTCATCTGGCGATACGCGGCATCAGCAATTGCATAAACGTGTGGGGCATAGTCGCCAATCTCTACGCCCCTGTACTGATTCATCATGTGCTCGCCATACAGGTGAGGGAGGGACGTGAACGGGTTGATGGCAATCAGGATTGTCCCCGTATACGTGTAGATATCATCGTAAGCGTAGCGGGTGTTGAGGTTCCACAGCACCGCTGGCTCGTGCAGGTAAGACAGCCTTGTCATGTCCTGCGCGCGAACGCAACAGGCGTTTAACTCATGCGCAGCTAAGCAAATGCCAGGAATGCCGAGAAGCTTCTTACATCCACACCCCTATTGTTATGTGGATTTTGCAGCGGGGCATCTTCCGGCTTGCACTTGACCTCGACGCCAGTAGCCTCCGTTCGAACCAGCACATAATCCTCCTCAACCCTGACAACTTCACCCTTTATCCATGCTTCCTTTTCATCCCTGATCCACACCCGTGTGCCCACGGTGTGGATAATCGTAGCATCCATCCTTGGCGATAGCCACTCCTAGGGCTGTAGGTGAATGCCTACGAGGGGGCACAGCCCCCGGTCAGAAGTCCTATGCACTTCGCAAGCCGTACGTGTGTTGCAGCGCTCTGTGTCCAAGGAAAGATCGGAAACTGCGCTCCCTAAACAGAGGTCAGCGCTGATGTTTGAAGTCGTTGCGGCCTATTGCCGCGGCAATAGGTAGTAATTACAGACTGTGAAGGTGGAACTTTGGATGCCCAAACGAGGGTTCCGTCTACTTCCGTACGCTGGAGAAATCAAAATTGCAGCTGGACTTGGGCCAACTGCGTTGTGAGGGGCTAGGGCATCTGCAAGTCTTGATAGTATTTCACTTTATTACAATTGTATATAGTACTGTGCATTAGAAGCGTTCTTGCGTCAGCTGCCCAGTGGACTTGACGAACCCGTGAGGCCATGTCGATTGACATAAAGGAGTTACAGGCAGAGCTTGTTTGTTCACGTAAAAAAGTTTCTGAGTGGTCAGCATCACGCGTACAGTTCATGACGGAACTCAAGGACCTGCATGCAACGCTCCTGCGCGACCAAACCGGTGAGCAATCCCTAAGACATCACACGGTCCTCAAGACAGTTGTAATACTCTTCTTTATTTTGACTCGATACCGTTGTGGCCGCAGAAAAAATCAACAACTTGCAGGGCGTTAAAGCCCAACTCCAGGTTCAAGCAGGACAGATCAGCAAGCGTAGGTTTCAATTCCTTGGGGGAACAGCGTGGGCGCGTTTGTAGAATCCAATACGAAATGGGTAGGCAGAGTGGAGTGCCGTTAAATCGTACCCAGGACAGGGACGGCGGGGCAACTTCCGCACATCAAAGTTTGGCAAGGGGAAACTGGCAAGGGGCCCTTCATGCAGCCCTTCCGCAAGGCGTCTATGATGCAGCGTGCTTGCAAAAAATCGTCATGCACCAACGCTGCTCCTTTATGCAAACTTGCGTGAACCCTTGGTAGTCCCTTGGTGCTGCAGGGCCCCTACACCTCGCTGGCGAATAGTAATTGACGACCCCTTTATTCTTGCGCTTTCCCTTATCGCACATTTCCTGTACCGTTCCGGTGCCCTTTAGGCCTTCAGGATGAGGAGGAAGAGGCAGTGCGCACAGAAGAAAGGTTAGCTGGGACGAAGGCGGAGGAAAGCACCTTGAAGCGGCGGCTGGAGGCCGCGCAGGTGCATCTCAGGAAGCGGCAGGAGGTGTACCGACAACAGTTGGAAGGTGCGTCTGCATACACTGATGCAATCGCGCTTAAATAGCGACAAGGGACTTAGCGCTTTCCGCAATTACACGGCACTGCATCTCGCGTCGAGGACCAGAGCACTCTAATGAAAATCCACGCAAGATCTTAAGAATCGCATAACATTAACAGCCGAGCACGGACGCTCTCTTGCCTTGGTGGGCGAGTTTGCCCACTAAGAATAACCTAGTACCTCCACGATTACGAACGCCCAGAGCAACCCATCGGGTGGAAACTCCTAATCCCGACTGTACGGGGACTCATGATATTCAGATGAGTCCTACATGGGAGGAAGATGGCTGGAAAGTGCAGCCCCTGAGGCAGATGCAGGTGCTAGAGGAAAAGGGTCCAGAGAGCCTAGTTGGCCGATTGGAGCCAGTCTGACGCCCGTCAAGGAACCCGGGCAGCGTAGCCAACGCCACCTTTTCCGTGGACTAGCGGCACATTTCGAATGGCGCCATTGCATAGCCGGCAAAGCAAAAAAACCGGTTGTTGGGCAAGGTATCTTCACTCGCAACAGGCATGTCGGCCTTGGTCCGTGCATGTTCCCACTGATTGAATATGTACCTAGCAGTGGGGACTGCAGCAGAAGCGTGCCAGTCCAGATCCTGAGACGGCGTGCGATTGCTGGGTTGCAGGTATGGAAAGCGTTAACAAGGAACGGCAGCAACAGCTGGACAACTTACGACAGCAGTCGGCGCTCTTTGGCGAACGTTTCGGACTCCATTTCCGCACTCGAGTACCCGGTACGATCCGGCCCATCGGCACCTCATAGCGCCAGGTTTCACTTTTTGCATGTACGCACCTGGGTATGAGAGCACAGCACGGACGCTTGCCAGGAATGCACGGCTGCACTGTATGCCGTGCGTCTTACCTGGCATTGTAGAAACTTTGGGCGCCTCGTTATTGAAAATCCGGGTGTTGAGGGAGGCTTCTACTCCTGAGGTCTAGGCCACCGTGGTATGAAATGTGCCCTTTAAACATGCCTACATATGAACGCCACGCCAAGCGCTTAAGTATGCTCGTCCTACACAAAAACTATCTGGTCAGCGATCCGCTTGGACGCACCTGGGCCCCTCGCAGGCGAATTCACCGTGGTAATGACCTGCATTGACGCGCGAGACCCAGACAAGGAGTTCTGCGTGGCTGTGCGCATGGCTCTGGGCGACGTGTACACGGGTAAGACATAATTGAGGACGGCATGATGCAGCACAGGCCGCTGCACGGCGCCTCTGTGGGAACCCTAATGCCCTTTCCTTTTGGCTATTACAGTGACCAAGTGCGAGCCGCTCGTCCCTGATCTGGATGAGCTCGTCGATCAGGTCAACCGGACAAACGACTTTGGGGCCTTCGTCAAGGCAGTGCGAGCGCGTTTCGTGGCCATCGCCCGGCAGTCGTAGCTCGTAACTGAAATTTGTTGTATTGCAAGCTGGGGAAGTACTGGGACACATAATATATTAACCATGGTGGTATGTATGTGAGCCGAACGGACGATCTTGCAATGCTGCAAAAGGCGTTAGCGTGGCGAAGTTCGGTAGCTTGCGGTTTGTACGAGAAACGGAACGGAAGCTGGATAGGCGCACTGCGCTAACCAAATGGCTTGCACGTGCCTTCAAGCGACTTGAATTGTAGTTGTATGAAATACTGGTAGCTTGTTGACCTCATAGCGTGTATACGGTATTTGGTGTGTACTCACCTGGTCATAGGGCGCATCGCTGTGGTAAGCAAAGAGCTTTACCTTCACCGAATTTTCATAACAGCTCCAGTCACCTTACAGTACTAACAAATGCACTGCGGGATGTTAAGCGCTTGTGGCAGAGCGCCGTCAATTGTTCCCTCGCGAGCCCTACGGCTTGTGGGCTTACCAACCTCATCAGTTGTAATACAACCATTTCGTTCAGCTCTTACTCGAGGAAAGCAGCGCAGATGGACTCGCACGCAGTCCTCAGTTGAATTCGTGGAAGGGATAAGCAAGGAGGAGGCTGCTAAATTTGAACGGATTGCCGCATCTCTGGTCGCAAGGTTAAACGATGTGCAGGATTACGTCGAAGGTGCGCACCGTCCGTCGTTGCCGGTAGTACCGCACGACAACGACAAAGAGGCGGTATCCTTACCTAGCAAAACTCGGCGGGCGAATGGCACGGGACCATCGCGGCAGCCAGCTCGCGGTGGTTGTGGGGACTACCGAAAGCAAAACATATCTTAACACTGCAACCCTACTCAGCGTAGGTGTCCTTAGCACGCTGGTGGCGTGCGCAAGCGATGTAGATACAGGCGCCACCAGGGAAATGCCGGCAAGGAAGGGGACCACTTATGAACTCAAGGGTCGCAAGGACAACAGGAAAGACATAACAGTCACCCTGTACACTTGCTACGACACACAATCTAGCCAACGCAACCTCGCGAATGCCTGTCGCCACTGTTCCTGAGCGCGCAGAGGATTACAATGATGACGGTGATGACAGCCTCGTGCCGTTCGGTGCCTCTCCTGAGGAGATTGCAGCCCGGCAGGCGTGCATCGCGCAGCGTAGAAGCGGCGGCGTCACTGGCAGTAGCAGCAGTAGCAGCGGGGGTGATAGCGGTGCCCTGAGGCTCGCAGACGGCCCCAACGGCTATGTTCCGCGCAGCAAGCGGCGGCGGCAGATCCCAGATGAAAACCTACCCAAGGTAGGCAGTCGTCAGGAGCTAAAATCCTGCTGCAACACCTTTATCTCTAGGCCCGCGTGCTCTCCAAAATGCCACGACAGTATCGTAATGCTGCACGATTTGCGCGACCAACTTGCTCGACGTACGTGATGGTTACTCAGTCTACAGAGTTACCTCGGCGACACCTATGACCTATGATAGCTCAGCTCCTACGCGCGCCCGGCACATGAAGCAACTCGTTTCCCGCGCTTCGAGTGCGCTTGGGCGTAAATGCCTGGGCAGTAACTGCTGCTGCAACTAATCGCTCCAATGTGTTGGGTTATGCTCTTTGTGGCCTCACCCGTCCGTGTTTCTTGGGACGCGACCTTGGGCTTAGGCTTCTTATGGTTCCAAAGGGGGGGGGGTGAGACCAGCAGATCGGCCTGGGATTTTCGCAGTTGCAGCAGTCGATGGAGGACAACGCGGGCGCTGCGACCTAACCCCAACCCAGGGCGAAGCATGTCCTGTCCTGAAACCCCCGTGAAAGCAAGTGGCACGATGCTTATCGCACGCCTGTGTGCCTCTGGCAGGCAGGCAGGCCGCCATCGTCCCTGGCTGCATATCACAATCTCTCCATCACATCCCGCTTTTCCTAAGCATCCGGCCCGCGAGCAGCTGCCCAAACTTCACACGGTTGTGCTGTGCGGCGCTGCCGTCTTTCCGCGCCCGCACGCGGGTGCCGCACACAGGTAGCCATTGTGGGGCGGCCCAACGTGGGCAAATCTGCGCTGTTCAACCGCATCGCCGGCGCCGCCGTGGCGGTGGTGTACGACCAGCCTGGCGTCACCCGCGACCGGCTGTACACCCGGGCCTTCTGGGGCGACAAGGAGTTCATGATGATCGACACGGGTGAGGCCATGACGGCCTTTAGGGGGGGCTTGGTTGAGTTCCGAGAGAGGACTAGACACATTCCGTAATCGCGTTTCAGTTGTTTCGGTTGGATGAGTTGTCGCGGCGACACGAAGGTTGGCTGCGAGGATCAGGCCTGTAGACAGGCCTTCCCAGGTGAGAACGGGATCTGCCGGCCGTCCTGCTGGTACCCTGGGTTAGGCTGGGTGGAATTGCTTATTGACCGGCACCTCCACCACGCCCGGACTGCTGCAGGCGGCCTCATGTCGGACGCGTCACGACTTCCTCCTGACGTGCGGAAGGCGGCCATGAGGTCCATTTCGGCGGATGGGCTGCCTGAGGCGATTGAGAGGCAGGCAGCGGCGGGTAAGGGGGAGGGAAGGGGACGGAAGGAGAAGTCAACGAACGATGTTGGTGCATGTGTTTTCAGAAACTGGGCCGTTTGTGTGCGTGTGCGTGTTTTCGTGTATATGTGTGTGACTCTCCCTGCGTGGCCCCGTTGTTAGTACCTGTTCCACGGTGGGAAATGCTAGCCCGCACTGAACGGCGTTAGCTGATTAGAGGTGCTCCATAACGGGGAGCGGCGTACCCTCTGCACGAGTGTGTGTGCGCGAGACCTACAGCACCCCGCACCTAGGGGCCCGGCTGGCCCTTGCTGCCTTCAGCACACATTGCGCCGGTTCTGCATGCGCCACCAAAACGCACCTTCTCCCCCTTTTCTCTTTCTCTCCCTGCGCAGGTGTGGCCGAGGCGGATGCGGTGGTTCTGCTGGTGGACGGCCAGGCAGGGCTGCAGGTGAGGGGGTGGGGATGAGGGCGGGGGAGAAGTGGCGCAGCACAACGCAATCACATCTGAAGTGGGGCTAAGGTAAGTTTGAGGGTTGATGCGCAGTTGGATCGGGCCGTTGGGCGCTTGGCCAGCCAGCTGCCGGGCCAGGTATTCTCGACCGTGGGGGCCCCACCTTTCCAAGGAGGAACTTGCTTTTATAAAAGGGACTTGGAGACCTCTCCATCTCCTCTGACGTCCCCTCTGACGCCAAACCAGGCCTCTGTCCCGCCCCTGTCCTGTGCTTCGCTCTCCTTCAATTGCTCTGCTTCTCTTGGCGCCTCCCTCCTTGTGTTGGAGTCATTGGAATAATGGGCTTTCGCTTCCATGTGTGCCTTTTTTCGCGATCCGACACCTCATATTCCGTTCTTTTCCTTTGTTGGGTCCACCTCCTCGCTCTTCCTCAGGCAGGTGATGAGGAGATCCTGGCCTGGCTGCGCGCCAACCACCCCGCCAAGCAGGTGCTGCTGGCAGTGAACAAGTGCGAGAACGTCGCGAAGGCAAGTGCTTACACTGCCGTGCGGCGTACTTTGTACTTGCGCAACATCAGCAGCGGCAGGACCGAGGGGTGCAGTGGTCGATACGTCGATTCAGTACCATCCACCATAGTGGTGGTTAATCGGCGTGTATTGGAGGGCGGCTTGGGGCTGTGCTCTGGGACACGTCAGATCCTGGAGCTGGGTAGCGGTGGTGGTGCTGGTGCTGGTGGTAGTGGCGGTGGTGGTAGTTAGTTTGCCTGCAGTTACTTGCATAGCTGGGCTGGCGTTGTCTGTAGCTGATGTGACATTTACCCGGTTCCTGTGGTCTTGAGATTCCCATCTTCTGGAGCTTGTTCCTTGTGCTCAATCGGCGAGAGGGTGCGTGCATGCGTGCGAGCTGAAACTGGAGTCGGTGATAGCACCCTAGCAGCCTAGAGCACCTGCAGCAATATTAAATTTCCGGGTCGCCGGCCTTGTCTCTGTCTAGGACTTGGCGACCCTGTGCACCAGCACAGCTCTTGGGCTTGTTCGTTGCATCGCAGTCATGTCAACGTGATAAGCCTTGTAGGGAGGTCGTTTGGCTAGAGGACATGCATTTCTGTGCGTTCGATTGATCATTGCAGGCCGACCAGATGGTGGCGGATTTTTGGGTGACGGGCCTACAGCCCCACGCCGTCTCTGCTATCACCGGTACCGGCACGGGCGAAATGTTGGATGCGCTCGCGGAGCTGCTGCCGCCGCCGACTGGCCTGGAGCAGGACGACGCGGAGGAGCAGCCCCTGGCGGTGGCCATTGTGGGGCGACCCAACGTGGGTGAGTTTGGTTTTGTTGATGTAATTCCGGGGAAGTGTGTGGAGCAGGCGTGAGAGTACTTGTGAGAAGGGAGGTGCGGTTGCTAAGGGATGGCATGGGGAGGGTGGCACGTAAGCAGTTCGACGCTGGTGTGGGGGTTCACACTCTGACAAAGCTGCCCTAAGATCGGGGCCCATTGTACAACTTATCCTCTCGCACTTCTTAAAAACAGCAATTGTATTCGGCATGCAATGTACCATCGATGAGTATTTTAGGAAGGATCTGTGAAAGGGGGTAACGGCCAGGTCAGCACGGAAACACGAAAGGGAAAAACATTTTGCTCAGCAATAAAGCCTCAATATAAATAGTTTCCTTTGATGCTTATCTGTTGACAAACGACTTGGCAAAATGAGGTGCTTTCCAGTGCCGTCCACCTCAGCGCCATCTAGTGCAAACTTGCCACTCAGAAGGAACGTATCTCTGGGCGTACCACGTTTTGCTCAATGCACGCAAAAGCATCGAAGCCGATGGCTTGGCTTGCAAGTAGCTCTTACGGAAGGCGAGAGTGTCGCAGCGGCGCAGCAAGAACAGCAGCCAGCAGCAGTGGGCGATGACGTCCTAATTGAATTTCATGACGTTTACAAATCTTTCGGAGAGAAACCTATTCTTCGTGGGGCAACCTTCCAAATTCGCCGCGGCGAGGCAGTCGGTATAATTGGTGCCTCGGGCACTGGGAAATCCACTACGCTGCGGCTGGCAGCGGGTCTATTACAACCTGATCGGGGTGTGATAAAGATTCAGGGCAAGGAGCGCAAGGGTTTGCTCTCTGATGAGGCAGATGAGGGCCATCTTCGCGTGGGCATGGTCTTCCAGAATGCGGCACTCTTCGATTCCCTTACCGTCGGCGAGAACGTTGGCTTCCTGCTCTACGAACATAGCACATTGCCAGAAGAGAAAATTAAGGAGCTCGTGGCTGACAGCTTGGCCAAAGTTGGTCTGCGTGGTGTGGAGAACCTTTATCCCGCCGAACTGTCCGGCGGCATGAAGAAGCGCGTTGCGCTGGCCCGCGCAGTTGTGTCCGACCTGCGCAGTGACACGGAGCAGGTCATCATGTACGATGAGCCCACGGCAGGATTGGACCCCGTGGCCTCCACTGTGGTTGAGGATCTCATGCGCAGCTTGCATGTCACCGATGCCGACTTTGAAGGCAAGACCAGCGGTATCTCCAGCTACATCGTCGTCACGCATCAGCACAGCACCATCCGCCGTGCTGTTGACCGAATCATCTTCCTCCACCAGGGCCGGGTGGTGTGGGAGGGCTCTGTCGAGGAGTTCGACACAACCGACGAGCCCATTGTGCGACAGTTCGCAGAGGGCAGCCTAGAGGGCCCGATTTCTTACGTCTAGATGGCTTGGCTTTGAGAAAGGGGCTTGAGCCTTCCTGCCTGCCGTTGGAATTGTCGAAAAAACTTGCGCTTAACAGCAGACGCGGCAGCAACAGCTGGTTGCACGCTGGCAATGTTTTTTGAACGGGGCGTATTCAGCGTGGGCTCGGGTTGAGTGTTAGGGAAGGGAGAGCTGCACCGTGTCGGTGGACCCGTCTGCGAGAACCATGTTTGCTCTGCCACCATAATGGCAGTGAGTTCAGAGTCGCATGGCTGTCTTCCTTGGCTGCTTTCCACTTAGGTCGTCATCACCACCCCATCCCGTTCAGTCGCAAAACTGTAGGCTTGGGATTAGGGCCTGTAAAGATATAGATTTTAGGCAGTGAGGCGAGTGTAAGTAAACTCAGGAGGTGTACATGTGTACATAATGTACAAATACGTTGTACGCTCCGTTGGCGATGATGTAGCCCTCGGTCTCCATCTCCGCCTGGGGGTGCGCACGCTGTATGCGTATGGACAAAAGAACATGGGCTGCCACGCGTAAGCGGCCTTCTACGCAAAGCTCGTATCGTCCTTTTTACCCTGCTGTGCTGAGTGTACTGAACGCAAAGCCAATACCGGTAATGCGCATCCCAAGGCGCACGCCGTGCTGGTGCTGCCGTGCAGCCCCGTGAGCGCGGGGCCCCTTCGCGGTTTATTGGTTCTGGTTGCCGATTGTCTTACCACGTGGAATGATTATACGTTGTCGCGGAATGCAGCATGGCCGGGCATCTTGAGAGTTTAGCACGGGTCTTGTTAGTCTCGGCTTATTTCAAAGGTTTCTTTCGCAGCAGCGCGCAGAGAAGGCTGATTGAGAGTGTCGTTTAAGGTTGCGTTGTCAACGTGACTTGAATATGGGATAAGTGGCACACGTAAGGTGTGTCAAAGGCTGGCTGGAGATTTCATCGACGGGCGCAGCGAGTTCTCGCTTGGGCGAGATGACTTTGCTGCGGGCTTGCGTCCCATTGCCGTACCCTCGCTCCTCTGCACGTGGCACCCATGGACGATGCGCTCTCCTTGAACTTAGAAGATCGGGAAGTGATGGCTTGATGCGTGTATACTTTTGTAGCAAACGGCTGTGTGGAAAGCACTCGTTCAGTGGCGCGGCAGGCGCAGAGTGGGGGCCCAACCCTGATGAGGGGCTGGTGACTCTTGGGCCAGCTCTTGTCCTTCCGGAGTCCGGACTTCCGACTGTGTGCAGCTTTCCCTTTATTTTGTTGAAGCTTGGCCGCATTGGGGAACGGGGCCCGGTGGCAGCCTATCCACCTCTGAAGACGACCTGCTAAACTTACAGTATTTCCTATCTCGTTTCGGCTGGGATTGTCTTCTCCGCCTGTCTGTCGTGCTGGTGCAAGCGAACTTTAACAAGTTAAGATAAGCACTGTCCAATGTTTATGGGTTTAAACGTCAGCGGAATATTACGCAGGTGATGAAGGTTGAAGCCCGTTAGTTGACACAAATCAAGCAGTCTAATAAATCAGCAAAACCGACAAAGACTGCTCCTTTTAACGTATAGTTTTCGCCCTACTTATGTGTCATCAGGCGGTTGTGACTTCGCTGCCGCGAGGTCCGGCCCATACACCCCATGTCTCGCTGCAGAACGTACGTCCTTAGCACGGAAGGCGCTCAGCGGGGACCCCAGTAGACCCTGCGCCTAAAGTCTAGGTTCAAAAACTGCAGAAGATCCCCTGCCTTTTGCACAAAAGACCGAGGTGTAACACACACACACACGCGTACATATGGGTTCTCCAGCATTTTGCAGCAAGGTCCATTATGTCATGAACGTCGGTGCCAAGAGCGTACAAGAGCGTACAACGCACAAGCCGAATGAAGACAAGTCCCCCAATTACGCGCCCAAAGCCACCTTTCACAATACAACTCCCTGTCTATCACATACCCAACCTTCCCACGCTTTCCCCACCTTCCTTCTCCTCTTTCCCCCATCCCTTTTTCCTCGTCTGCGTCCTGCACAGGTAAGAGCAGCCTCCTGAATGCCATTGCGGGGGAGGAGCGCTCCATAGTTTGCGACCTCAGCGGAACCACCCGCGACGCGGTGGACACACGCGTGACTTTGCCGGGGGGCCAGCGCTTGACGCTCATTGACACGGCGGGTATCCGCAAGCGGTCGCGTGTGGCGGACAGCCCCGACGGTGCAGAACAGCTGTCGGTCGACCGGGCCATGCGGGCGGTACGGCGAGCTGACGTGGCGGTGCTGGTGATTGACGCGGTGGAGGGAGTCACGCAGCAGGTGGGCTGGCTACGCCTACAGGGCGGGCGGGTGGGGAGAGGTTGGATTTGGCTTAACGGGGTTCCTCGAATGGCCGCGACCCTTAGCGGCTGGTGGAGACGGACCGGCTGACACTGCACCACCTAGCAAACTGCGACGCGAGCTGATGTGTTCTGTAGTAGTACTTGGACTGAATGTGTTTGAGGGAAAGGCAAGTTGATCTGTGGCTGGTTCCTTTCACCACCCCGGCAGCCGCACCGTGCAGGCCTTGGGCTCCCTTCCTCCCTGTTGAGATGCACTTATTGCGCATACCGCCTCCCCCCCGCCGCCGCCGCCCGCGCACTCACCGAGTCCCGTCGCTTAACCAATGTGGCCCCGGCCCTGCACCTGCACATCACCTCACCTCACCTTACCAAGCAGGACTTCCGTCTGAGTGAGCTATTCGCGTCGGAGGGCAAGTCAGTGGTGGTGGTTGTGAACAAGTGGGACCGTGTGGATCCCCGCATCTGGAGTGTGGAGAAGATGGCGGAGAACGTGAAGACCCAGCTGCGCCACGTTAGCTGGGCGAGTGTGGTGTGCACCTCCGCCATAAGCGGTGAGCGAGGGTGGGGTGGGTGGGCGGGTAGTTGATGGTGGTGAGTGTATGTGCTGGATGGCGCGCCCGGGATTTAAGGGGTAGGGACAACAAATGCACCAAAACCGCGCCCGAACGGGCCCTAGGCTTGATGGGTTCAGGCTTGCTGGAGTTGCCGTAGAACTTTGCATAGTTAAACAACAACATCATCAATATGTACTATGCGGATTGAGTTAACCTTTTGTGAGAGACATACACAGCCGTACCCCACTCACCAGCCACGCGGTTACCGAACCCCCCTGCCCGCGCACGGCAACCCCCCCTCATACACACACGCGGCGGTCAGGTCGACATGTGGAGGACGTATTGGAGGCGGTTCTGGACGCCGGTAAGCAGCACCGCCGCCGAGTGCCCACCGCCACCCTCAACATGGTGCTGCGCGAGGCCACCCAGTGGAAGGCGCCGCCCACACAGCGGGGGTCGCTGCGGAAGGGCCGCATCTACTACGCCACGCAGGCGGGCACGCGGCCGCCCTCCTTTGTCTTCTTCGTCAATGACGAGAAGCTCTTCCCAGATGATTACCGGCGCTACATGGAGAGGCAGCTACGGGACAACATCGGTGAGCACAGGTGGTCCGGAAGGGGAAAAGAGGGACGGGGGGGAGGTAGGAATGAAGTACAGCTGCTGTATGCTGTATATCCTCCGCGCCGCGACGCCAAGACCATTTGCCAAAGCTTTACGCTAGACCACTGGGCGTCGCTGGCTGCACTGGTGCATTCCGACGTGCGCCTCCTCCTTGCGCCCCTTCCCTAGTCGGCAAGTCACCGGGTCACTCTCGCCGCCGCCCCACACTCCGCAGGGTTCCCAGGCTCGCCGTTGCGGCTCTTCTGGAGGGGGAAACCGAAGCGGGAGCAACGAGCCAAGCCATCCGCCGCTGCCGCTGCCCCGGGCGGTGCTGCAGCCGGAGGAAGCCGCCGAGGTGGAGGTGCCAAAAATTGATATGACACCACACAGGCTGGGCTACGAGAGGAGAATGTCAGCAAGGGGTGTTTTTTATCGGCAGCTGCTTGGAAGGGAGGAGGAGGAGGTGGTAGCACGACGACGTGAGGGCTACAGGAAATGGACGCGGCGGGAGGAGGCTTGATGTGGTGATGAGGGGTAGCCTTAGTTATTGGCCGGAGTAGGTGTGGTATTATACATTTTTAGCGACTCGCGGGTACATGCGGGCGAAGGCTTCTTTGTGTGCGCGTGATTTTAGTTTGGTTACTTCGTTCCAGCTGTCTGTGCCAGGCTTAGATAAGGTATAGGAGATGCCTTATGCGTTGTAACGGTGGCGCGTGTGTGTGAGGGAGCTGCGATTAGGGTCGCGTGCGCATCGTCATGCTGCGACCTTTTAAGAGTTGATAAGATCAAGGGGGGCGGGGAACCAAACAACCAAAGTCGCAAAAGAATTACCAGGGATCACCGCAACCGCAGCAGCCCACCCAAGACCGCATTTCCCAAACGGCTGCACGCACAATTGTTGTCAGCGTTGACACGCAACACAGGCAAACAGCACCCTGAACGCGATGCCAACCCAGCAACACCCTGAGCTGGATAAGCTGCCATTAAAGACCTAGCCGAAGAGAACACCGCATCCCAGGCGAGGGTGCGCAAGGAAGGGCGCAAGACTGCTGAACGAAACCCGGAATGCGATTGCGCCGACAGCGGAAAAGTGATCCCCACAGCGGAGGCGCTGAACTTCCCACCTCGCTGCAGCCCCAGTGGGGCCCAAGTGCAGGTGAACGATAACGCCACACGCCGGGTACAAGGGGTTGTGGACCGTGATCCGCTCGACCCCACTGAAACTCTTTACCTCGCTACCTCCTTGCCCTTATTGTTTATTCGCACATCCGACCATTCGCTGTGCTCTGCCGCTGTGCTGTGCGGCCCCAAACACCCCCTCAGTTATCACGCACTCGCACTCTCATACTCGGGGGCCAGCCCACACCAGTTCGCACCACTCATAAAAAAAGGTCCCTCATCACTCCTAGCAGCTAAGATCAGCTGAGACAAAGCTCACCAGCAAGGTCAATCTAGCGCCTTAGTCTGTAAATTTTCAGCAACGCAAAAATAACATAATGAAGACCGCCACTGTCCATCGCTTAACGCAGTACAGGGGAAAATAAAACATAAAAGACCTGTCAAAGTGGAAAATTCTTCCGATGGTGGAAAGTAAAGTGCCCCTAGTCGATGGACGGTGGTGACCTGGGATAAAGTTAACTTGCGAGCTGACCAGGAATGGATCTGAGCCGCCATTGATCCGGCAGATTCCGTTGGATGCCCCGGTGGTGGATTCGGAACCTGAGCGATTCACTGAGAAGTTGACTGTGGCGACTAGATGAGGGCGCCCCGAAATACCGGGGAAGGCAGGGTCTGCCGGGTAGCGGCCGCAGGGTGAAGACATGACCCCCCCCTGTCCCACACATCATAAAAGTACAATATTAACGATTCGTTCACTCCGCAACCTCGTATACACCTCATTTCCTACCGCCAATCACGCAGAGCCAAAAGAGTTAGCAGCCCTACAGCGCTGCGAGAGAAATCTCCACTCGTCACCTCTCCACTCGAGGAGGTGAGCACAGCCGCCGCAAAAGCGACACGTACTACCACCGTGTCTCAGATAGTACTACCCCCTTCCCGTGACCCTCCCTGAATCCATTCACCACACGATATAACATATATAACCCTTTCCAACCCCTTTACAAAGGTTCTCACCTAATTTAGCCACAGCAACCGGATTTGCAGCCTGCAACCCCAAAACCTAATCCGACCTTAACAATACCTCCTAACCTAGAGGTCGAACTACTATCCGAAAACCCCAAAATTTCGGGCGGCTTCTTGTTAAGTTAATCTACTTCGGCGGACCTTCCGCCCACCCACCGCCCCAAGACTCCGGACAGAAATTAAATTACCCCCCCGCTCAAGATGCACCTCGCATCAGCTGCACCGCACTCCATACTCCTCCCAACCCCCCACACCGCAACAACATATCTGTGGTCCCCGTCGCCTCATACATATCTTATTTCCCTGTCATTAGCCCCCAGCCGCCTCCAACCGCTCCAGGGCCCCAACCGTCTCTCGCAGCACATCCAATAACCGCTCTGGGGCCTCTACGTGTACGGCATGCCCCACACCCTTTAACCGTACAAGTGCATGGCCGAGCTGCTCTAGCTGCTCCGAAACCGACATAGCACTGCCTGCCCGGCCGACGGCCTCCTGCTGCTGCTGCCGTAGCTCCGGACGCTGTCCCGAAAGAGCCATCGCCGGCGCCGGCGCCACTGCTGCTGTTGCATGTACGGAAGAAGTTGTAGCAGCGGCTGTAGCCACCGCCGTCACCGTGCGTTGTCGAACCAGTCGCGCTAGGGTGTAGGTGTTGATGTCGACGAACTTGACATCCAGATCTCCGACCGCCAGCACCACGGGGGGTCCGACCCATGGGTCCAAACGGTCCCACAAGGGAGCCTGAGATCACACACACATACAAACACATATACAAACACATACACGGATTAAACCCAACCGGTTGAGGCCATCAGGGGGACGGGCGACACGGGGGTTAATGGTATTTCAACGAGGGGTCCTTAAACCGGCCGAGATCTCTCCAAACAACAACACCGGTACGGCCGGTCGCTCCTACAGACGACTGCGGAGGTCGTCATGTTAGGTAGCTCTGGCCACGTCACCATTGCGCACATGCCGTGACCTGACAGCCACATCCCCACCCGCACACTCACACTCACCATGCGGCCGGTGCTCATGCCGCTAAGGGCCGCCGCCAGCTGCGCCGCAGCACCCTCAGCCGGCACAGCACCGCTGCCATTGCCGCTGCTCGAGGACTCGCGGGGGGAGCTGGAAGCGGCGCCGGTAGGGATAGCGGCAGCGAGACGGAGCGACAGCATACGTCCAAACGCTGGATGGCGGCGCAGGGATGCCCAAAGAGGCTGCTCGTACCACCGCCGTACAAAGTCCTCCAGACCGCCGTGGACCAGTAATTGCGCGAGGCGGTCGTCGTTGGCGGCTCTAGCAGCGGCTGTTGCGGGATCCTGGAGGGTTTGAGGGTTTGAGGATTTTAGGATAATTGAGGGTTGGCGTTTTTGGGTGGGTCGGTGAGGTCGGTGGATGTGTGAGATTGCCAAGCAGGGCGGCCTAGGTAGCGGGGTAGGTAGGTAGGTAGGTAGGTAGGTAGGTAGGTAGGTGGGTAGGTAGGTAGGTAGGTAGGTGGGTTAGGTGTCCACAGGTAATCACATCACCATCGACGCCCAGCTGCCGAGGTCCAATACCCCCCTCCCCCCATAGATAGGTTCACACCACACGCTACCAGCGGACCCGTCCCGATCGTACCTTGATGCCTGGAGTGCCGGACACGAGTACGACACCTGACCACAGTGACCGTGCTGTGCTACTGCTTCTGCTGCTACAACTGCCACTTCTGGCCGTGTCGATGCCGTTACCGTTACCGTTATCCTCATTGCTGTGGTGAGAGGTATCTGCGCCAGGTGCAATCGCCGTCGTGGCGCCACCGTCCACTGCGGCCTGCCGTCGGCCGGAGGGGATGGGGGGGGGGGTCGGGGGTTCGGGGTTTCATCGGTGGGCACGCGCGAGGTAAACTCGTGGCATCACGGAGCTGTGCGGGCGCTGTGTGTGGCGGAGAGGAAAGGAAACCCGGAGGGGGTCGAAAGCAGCTCAGGAAGATGCAGGTGAGTGGTGACGTAGGGCATAAGAGTTGCTGCCTGCGCACTCCGTCACTCCCTTTTCCCACCACCACATCATCATCACCACCACCACCAACAACAACAACAACATCAGCTGCACACCAACCCGCAACCACAAAAACCGCTTCAAGCCCCAAAAGGAGGCCAGGGCCCGCAACCGCACCACCGAGGACAGCCCTTGTCACGTACCAGCCACCCCCCAGTCTCCCCCTCCGCCGCCCCACACCCAAACGGGACGACCGCGGAGAGGGCAGGGGAGGGCCTCATCACTACCACCATCATCATTGCTATTATCATTCAGGCCCTATCACGTGTGCTCCCATCACATCCACCACCCATCCGCATTCCCCCACCCCACCCCACCCCAACCCACCCGGCCTACCTGCAGCGCCACCCTAGCTCCGAGGCTGTAGCCCACCAGCACAGCCCCCTCCACACCTAGCTGCTGTACAGCCGCATGCACACAAGCTGCGGCTCCAGGGATGCTGTGCAGCCCCGTTTGGGCCCCTGTAGCAGCACCGCCACCGCCGCCGACACCGCCACCGCCAGCGCCAGCGCCAGCAGCGACCGCCACCTCAGCATCGCCGTGACCGAGGGGCGGCAGCGTGCCGCCATGTCCTGGCAGGTCGATTGCGACGCAGCGGTGCCCCGCCACCGCCAACGCGCGCATCAGCGGCAGCCAGTCGGAGCTGCTGCCCAGGAAGCCGTGAAGGAAGACAAACGGCCGCTTGCGACGGTCATGCTTGCCTGTGCCGCAGCTACTGCTGCCA